AAGCGCTGGGCGCTTTCCGCTGCATGACATTCCAACGCATGCTCTATAGTGTCACGCGCAGCCAAACATCGACAGCAGCGCACTGGGAGGGGTGGAGCCCGTCACCAGTTGCCTGCCTGAACCTCGTTGCGCCCAAGATGGAGGCAGCGAGTACCTGGGTCAACCGGTCGCCCCCGTTGCGGCTGAACTCTGTCCAGAGTTTGCGCGCCTCGGTTCGTGTCCACTGGAGGAAGCTCCCGACGGTGAGTCCGCTCTCACTAGGGCCAGCGAGGTCGTCAGGTCACCTAATGCAGTCAGAAGCCCGAGCTCTTGCATCTCGAGGAGGCGGCGGGCGCGGCTTTTTACCTTTTCGTCTGGCATGGGTGGTCGCCACTCCCCCGCGGTGGGCGCGTGAGTCGTGCGGGCGATGTTGGCTGCCCCATCGGCGAGCTCGTTAAGTGCGTAGCCCACGGGACTGCGCACGTGATAGACGTGCACTGCACCGCAGAGAACCGGCGAGCGCGGCTAACGCCTGCCGATCAGCAAGCCCGGCATGTCCTCCAGTGCGGGCGAGGCGACGGACATACTCGACAAGTGAAAGCGCGTCTAGGAATATGCGAAGCGGGTCCGCATGTGTAGCACCGGGGCCATCAGGTGGGGGGGTGACATGCTTCGCCACGTGCTGGATGGAGAACTCCATCCCTTATATTGAAAGCTGTGAATCTGTTTCTACTTCCAGCCTGAATAAATCATATACAGCAGGCGACAATAGATATACGTAGAGCTCTCACGATGCTCATGCTCATTCAGTTACAATTTCTTTTGATTCTTAGTTCTTGCCATTTGTATTTTTTCACCTTAATAGATCATCTTTACTTCCATAAAAACAGCCCTGCTGCCCCTATCCTCGACCCAGTAATTCTCTTTCTCGCTTATCGGCTTCGTCCCTGAGCGCTTGAGGTACATTGCGACGCTGATGCGCTTTTATTCTTGCTCGCGCGTCCGCCTGTTTCTCACTGGGCGTTGGGTACCCTTTCAGATGGCATAAAGCTCGGTCACACAGGTCTCGCACGCCGTTCATTCTGCAACTCAGCAGTGGCTTGTTCGATCAAGCGCTCTCGCTGTTCATTCATTCACCTGCGAACCACGTGGCAACTTACGCTGCCTGATTCCGTTGCGACCCGAGCAGAGACGCGGCAGAGCACCGATAGCGCTTTGGCATGAGTGACGCCGACACGCTCGGGTAAAGAAAACCGATAGCCACAGAAACAACTCCAACCTAGTAGTCACCCTACTTCGCTTACGCCAACTACTCATGGCCCTAGCTACTACGCTATGCCGTGTAGGGGACCTACCTGCGGGTTGTGGTGTTCCTCACCGAACAAGATGGAACATAGGACATACGCTTCTCCCGCGGGTGCGACATAGACGACTGGAGAAGTTGTAGTGGAGGATGATGATGAGGAAAATGACTGTGACTGCTAGTGCTAATACGAGTGATCCTGATCTATGAATAGAAGTGAAACTGCAAGTATGTGCTTCAGCAAACTCTAACTCTGCATGCTGTATAAGTAAATCTATTCGTCATCATCACTACATGACGAGGAACCAGTGAGCAGCAAGCCCGGGGTAGATAAATAGTCAAAAGTAGTACATCCTTTATTCATGTTTTCGGCTGTGATTCCGGACAAGGATGACTCATAGCGTTCGCTACCAAACGGCCATCAGGATAAGCGGTGACCAGGATCGCATATCACAAGTGGAGGCTCAAAACCTGGTATGCTATGAGACGACACTAATGGCGCCCGAAATGCGAATTAGAAAAATTAATATGCGATGCTGCACGCACGAGTTGTCATATGCGTGCGTGACCTACGAAATTAAAGCGAAATGATAAAGATAAGAAGGGCCAGAATATATTCTTCATTTTTGTTTCAAGCACAAAGCGGAGAGGCCACGACTAAGTTGAGAGTTGTCACTGAGCCGAGACCACATAATCGAATGAAGTGCTACAAGGACCTTCGGCCCCGCCCATCCGCATCCGCTCCCGTTCCATCGCAGGCACTAGTTGTCGTGCAGAACAAGTGGTGCCACCGCGAGGCGATCTGAGGCTGTTTTTCGTTGAATTTCCGCTTTCAGAAGAGGAGCGCGACGCAGCACTCTTTGCCTGAGGCCTTGCCGCCAGCGAACTGGCTCCTGGCGAGTGGGACCGGAGGCTTTGTGGTGCATTAGAAGAGCTTTGTGTCAACATTCCAGTTTCTTATCGTATCCGTAGGATAGAAGTGGGCTCAGCTATGAGGGGCAGGGGGTGAGCGTTCGACGCATCCGTAATATTTCTGACCATTGCCATTCGCATTGCTGCTTTCTTTCGTTGTAAGCTAGTAGTGGCCCTGGTGGAGGAGGTGGTCCCAATCATATTTGGTTTTGGGGGTCTGATATTTTGTCCTCTGCCATGAAGAAACGAATAGACGACCATCGCAAATGCCTTAAGGAGAGGCGTCGTGTCATGGCTGGAGGCAGGTCGGGAGGACGTTGTAGGCCCCACACGGTAAACCATGTTCAACACCGTGTTGCGGATTCGGGCTGATGCGGTATTATAACCTGAAGATACGACCACGGTTCCACGTCCTCCCGGTGCCGACTGTTGCTGCTGCGCTGCGCGGCTCATAGCCGCTTTTGCTGTCGTATAGTTTGCATTCGTAAGCATGATCATTGTGTTTGCTCCTCGGCGTTTGATTTAGATTTTTCCGGCAGAAAAAGTATTGCATCATTAAGCACAATGCACAATGACGCGCTGGCGCCCGCCGTCATAACTACCTCCGGTTGTAGTTTCGCCAACTCGTCCATCTTCTAGTGGACACCACAAAGAAGCTGTCCTCCACTTACCGCGGCATAAATCATCGAAAACCAGTGGCCCTCGCGTTGAGTCATATTGTCGTTGTCCTAGGGTCGGAAAGCGAGTGCCTGGTTGCAAAGGGCCTAGTGATCTCTCCGCTGCCGAGGACATCCCTTAGTTCGCCCTTACTTGTAGTTAACATCAAGTTTCGTGCAGGTCGCCCGATCGAAGCAAGAAGACCGAAAGCACAAGAAAGACCACATCAATGACACACGACAGACCATAGACGTACCGATAATTCGGCTTGATAGAGGACCACTAGAACTATCAGCATCAGGCGTGTTGCAACTCTTACTATCAGGCTTGTTTCGAAAACAAAAGCTTTGCAGGAGCTCCCGCCATGATATTTTTCGCAGAAGTGCAAAAAGAAGTTGTATTTTTCTTACGGCTTCCATCATCTAGTACGGGGTCGTCCGTTGATTTGCTGCAATCGATCCGAAGTACCTAGAAGCAGGCACTCACTAAACGACCATCACTCCTTCAAAAAATGGAAAAAATTACAAGACGAAATCACGTAGTTAGCGTCGAGGACTTAGCGATGATGTAGTACCATGTGGCGCAATTAAGCACCTGCTCACTTTTCCTCTTCGTTCTGCTATACATACATGATTTTTCTATATCTTCGTCCTATAAAGTATTACGATGACTTTAAATTATGACCACTGAGTACTTATTCTATAAGCCGACGTCGCTTGTTCTACAGGTAAGGTAGTTGTTGTACTAGTTCTATCTTCACACAGCACGCTCTACTTATGCATGGAAATCGAAGTACCACGACCATGATCTATATTTATACATGTGCAACTACTTCACTTCACTTCAGTGGGCGACTTCGGCGGCTCTCGTCTACTTAGGCTCTCTTTTTTTCCATAGGACTATATGCTCGCTCCCATTTATTCAACTAAGCACTTTTATCAAGCAATGAAATCGTTGCATACTGGGGAAGCATAGGGCCGCACATTTGGCAAATAAGTCACAGCAGTCGTGCCTACACGAGTGAGAACGAATCCACGCCGTCTCGTCGTACTAGCTACTAGAACTATAATATCTCTTCTATTCAAGGTCCAAGGTTCAAGGTCCGCGGCTCTGCGGCCAAGCCGCGTCGTCCGGGACGAAACAGGCTCGAGTAGAGCCAGAAAAACCTTGTTATGTATAATCAGTATCTTCTATTTAACCTTATAAATATCTAAGTACACATACCACAAATACTCGTCCGCGGCGTCTTCAGCTGCCGAATCTTCTATCTGACAAACTTGACAAGTCATCAATCTGTGCCACGTGCGCACGTCAGAAGTGTAAGAAACAAAAAAGATGTGAATATGTACAAGTACGTAAGTTTTTTCCAAATAGTTGAAAAGTCATGTCATCGTCATGTCATGTGTATGTGTCCCCTATATGATTTTACTTTGGTGTCCTACTGTCTACGCGCCCGTGCCTGATCATGCAGCGAATTAATCATGATGATGTTGACCGAGGAAGACCAGAGACTGAATACTTGTTTAGAAATCGGGAAGCCATTGGCACAAGTCTACCACTGTACTCAAACTATCATCAAGAGGAAGAGCGCCTTCCCAATACCAGTTCTTCATCGACAATATATTACTAACTTACTAGTATAGCGTCAGTCCTGGAGCACCAAGTGATCCTTGAGACCAGACCCCTAGGGAACGATCTTCAAAGCCGAGTAGTTGAAAGTGAAAAGTTGAAAAAAATGCTCCTATGAAGACCTACATCTACTGATGAAAAATAAGCAACAGCAACAAAAGATATTACTGATCACGATTGAACTCATTGTCATCCATTTCCGTTTTGTTTTTGGTTGAATATATTATACATAGATACATAGATTGATAAGTGTAACATTAGAACTTTATTTTCTCTTTCTGTACAATGTTGATAATATTAATATGTGATTACCACGACGCACTATATTGCGTCGACGTTGTATTAGTCATGAAAGTATTCTTCTACTTCAGTTGTGCTTGTCCTCGTGCTTACACGAACGATAATAGAAAAAGTGAGAGGATATCACAATTTTCTTCTTCACATGGCTATTAAACGTGAATAAACACCTGCTTCGAGGATGAAAACTACACATTTATCAGTAGAATCAGGAGGAGTAGTACTAGGAGCTGTCACTAGCGGCTACAGGCTTTGTCTCTGACGCCAACCAGTCACACATCGCGCTCTGCCAGCGTCCCTCAAGATCGTTGCTTCTACGGAAGAAGAAAATGAACTCTCTGCTTTTCTTAGCGGTTGTAGAGGGTCTTCATTGTCTTCCCTAGAGTAGTTGTAGATGCCTCTAGTTCTACTTCTAGTGGGCTGTCTGAAGGTCCCTCAACTTCTGAGAGAAGTGGCCCACCACCGCTAGTAGAGCTCAAAGTCAGAACGACCGCTAGAGCAAGAGCTCATCAAAATAACGATTCACTTCTTAGCTTCATTTTCATCCAAGACTCTTCCCAAGAGAAAAACAGAGAGGAAAAATTCAATGCCTACAACTAACTTTGGAACAAATGAGATGAAAATAGAAAAATGGTGGTGCTGGATAAAGATAATGAAAACCTATTGCCGCCATAAACTGCTTAGAAGTACAACCTCCGTCTCCGCTCGACTGCGCCGAAGCTTTAGGGATCGTTTCCGCTCCCTCGCCGGCGCTTCCGCTTCGAGTAATTGATGTCAAGAATGATTCGTCCACCGTATCATTAGACCGTGTTGATGTAGTTCTAGCTGAACTAGTACCTAACTACAAGTAGTACTGCTACTGGCCAGCTCTATTATAAATTATATTGCATTTAGTTCATCTAGAGTCATACTGCATCTAGAACATAGAAGCTCTAGTAGACTTCTAGCTTCATCTGAGTGGTAACGTATTGTCGGGTTTCGAAGAAGAAGTAACGTATTGTTTGACCTACAACATGAGAGGACACTTCTTCCTTTATCCGAATTGTTATCCTTATCTTCCAGCAGCAGCTGCATTCAAGCATACTTCTAAATACTAAAGGTCGTCGTGCTCCTTTTCCTTCAGCATCAAAAATACCAAATATTAAGCAGAAATCTTGATCTTCTTCAATTGAATAGTAGTGCAACTAACTCTAACTCCTGCAGGAGCATCAACGAAAACAGGAAAGCATTCATAACTCGATGCCGCAAAACGAGAAGCGAATCATCCATCACTCGAGCTTCAACTTCCACTGCTACCTTGCTCCACGGGGTAGGAACAACATGTTGGAAGACCGCGGCAACACCACCGCCATTGAATCTTCCAGCGAACGGACGCGGAAAAGCGCGGCCGCGAACCGTAGAAAACGGTGTTTGCATGTCGCGCACAGCGTTATCCAGCTTCAATTAGAACTCACGACTACAATGCAATTATCCATCTTTATAAACTCGTCAAGGAGAAAGATCACCAACAAGATGGATATATCATCTTTAACTTTATTAAGCAGAACAATATATAACAAATATTAAGTGTCCGTTGTTGAGGCCTTAATTCCAGAGCTGGGTAAAGTTTAATGGACTGAAACGACTGACGTGGAAGAAGCTCAACACCATCTCAGGAGCTGCCACTTGCTCTGCCTGGGAGGATTCCCGGTGGCCACCTAGACCTGCTCCAGCTCCACCGCCTGCTGCGCCAGCGGTGTCATTTGATCTGCATCGAAGCAACGGGGTGTCCGACAACTCGGTCACTGAAGGCAGACGGGCGGCCACCTTGTTCATGTCTTCAGTACTAGTGGGTAACCTGCGTCTACTATTCGGAAAACCGGTGTCCGCTTTCGGATTCGGGGAAGCGAGCTCAGAGTTGCCTTGCTGCAGTGACAATTTCAGGGTAAGCCAGCTGCTGGAGTAGAACAGGCGACCCACCTTCATGACTCGCATAAACCACGAAGGCGCGAGCCATTCCATAAACGCGCGCAGACCGCACATGTTGACGAGCTTCCACTCGCCAACCATATCTTCCAGTGCGAGCTTCACTTCTTGTGAGACGGGGCCGCCACTCAAAAGAAGCGGCCTTGGAACTGCAGCGTGGGAGCTCCGTTCGTGCTTCGTGTTGGATTTGACGTCTTTGACTTCTAATTCCCGCACGAACGCCGTGACTTGCCGAATATTTCGCACCGCTGCCCCGTGAGGAAACAGGAGGCGATCGGCAATACGCGAAAAAACCGCATTCAAATACCGACTGAGCATGTCGTCCTCCTCCTGCAGCTGCGCCGCTTCCATCGCTGAACCAAGCACCTCCTCTACACCTCCGAGATCAGACCGCACAAAGTCTGGGTTAGTAGACGAGAAGCAGTCGTGCCACATAGAGGAAATGGATTTGGATTGATATTGGTTTCTTAATAATTGTGATTGATATTGATTCATCATTGAAGATTTTTGACTCACAAGGCCCTGGCAAGAACAAGAGATAGTACCTGAAAATCCGAACAGCCACAAAAATCTTCTTCGTTTGGGTTTGTTGTGCAACCGTTGCACAAGCCACAGAACAAGCAGGGTGCTCCAGCACACCAATCCGGCGCCCGCGGCACCGGAAAACATGCACGATGGGTTCAGATTCAACCGTTCCTGCCGCGCGACACGCTCGGGAAAGAGAAAACGATAGGGGTAGCTAAACCACTTCATCCTCGAGTCGTCGTGAATCAACTTCAAAACAGCACCGACCGCCCTTGATGCCCTTCCAGATCAAGAATATTTGAGGTGGGAATATAACGAAGTCATCATCATGCGTCTTAGGTAGCTACTCTCGACTACTGGCAAGACAAGATAGTAACAAACGGTGTGTCATGGAGACGGCCTCGAGACTATTATCCCTACGTGAGGGGACAAAAAACAGACCTGAACCGGAGTCTTCCTGAAATACAACCGAAGTAAGTACAATGCAATACAATAAATCTCGCACGAAGATGTACAGTGCAGACTCCCGCAAGGGCGTTGCGGTCGCAGTTGTTCGGCACGTTGAAACTCACGCAAGGTTTTTCAGCTAATAACTGCGAAGCGGTACGGGACAAGTAGTACTTTGAAAAATATCTGACGAGAACGAATAATTTAACTAATAAATGATCCTGAGCAACTCATGGCACAATATGCTCACGCAGATGTTTAATTATTTACAATTCGATACATTGTACAATGTTTGCAAATTCCGCACAACAGAAACGACCCTCTACTTGAAGTAGGAGATAAGGAAGATATAATTACAAAGTATAAAGGACCATCTCACGCCAAATGAGGGATACGGAAAACACCAACTGAGGGGCTGTCGGAGCAAGGGTCAACAAAAAACACATCAACGCGCGTCCTTGCGAACAATTCTGTTTGTGTGAATTTGTTGTAAACTCAGGGATCCGATATGAGGATGAGCAATTGAAATTGATCATAATTATCTACTTAGTTAGTTTTAGTTGGTGATAGTTGTTATGCTAATGCTAGTGCCTGTGAAGAAGTAGAAGGTCATGCATTATTTACAATTTTTGGTTTCTGTCTAGTATTCTTCAGGGATGAAATTTCTATGAATTATTCATCCCTCACTCGACAGTTGTACTCAATTATCTCTTCAACAATCGGACGCGACACTACAGACCACGAAGCAACAAACACACGAGCTGCCACGAGGGACCCCCACACGGACACGAAAGGAAATGGCACAGATTTAGATCACAAAGTGGTAAGCGTGAGAAGGGAGCCGAGAAGTTACAAGCATGATGGAGGAGCATTCATCAACGATCTAGTCCTAGGGAAAGGGAATTTCGAGGGAGTATAATATTGTAAAGAGGAACAAACCTGTTCCCACTCGTCGGCCTCTCTGGAGTAGTAGGAGAGGAAGAAACTGGGAATCACTGACTCGCATAAAAAAGGTGAGAAGACATAAAGAAACCGACGGCGCGAGGGACCACATATAACGAATGTGAAGCGCACTTTGAACACGAGGACAAGCGAGAACACACAACACGACGCGCACGCACAGACACGCGCACGACACCCAACCACGGACACGCACATGACGAGCGCACAAAGACATGAGCACGCACGGACATGAGCCTGGAAAAATGCGCACACACATACGAGCGGCATTGGTCAGCACAAGGCAAGCACATGAACGTACTTACACGCGATACAAACTCGAGCAAATGTTACAAAATAATGACGTCTACGTGAGTAAGCGAGGGCGAGGCTATCAGATAATTAAGCACTCATCACAAGAAGCGGAAGCGCCTAGAAGTAGTCTGGAAATACTAGCTGCGCAAAAGTATAACAACAACCAGCACCGAGAGCAGATCGTTCTTGGGCGGCAGAGTTAGGTTCCTTCTTGGAAATAAGAAAAATGAAAAGTAAGAACGAAACAAAATAAAGACTGCTTCCTCCACCTTTGTTTGGATGGCTCTAAGTACAAAAAAAAACCGAGTTGCATAGGATCGGTGCTCAGCTTCATCATAGGTTCAGAATCAGGGGGTGTCGGACCATCAAACTGACACTAAAAAAAAATTCTAGTGGTCAACCGAAACGAGGAAGACACACACTGTCCACGACGTCGTGCTGTGGCAACAAGAAAGGGGCAGCAAGATGGTCGTGCCAAAAAAATGACAGACGATTCGTCTACATCAACAGACTCGACTATATGTTCAGACTTTAGAGGACCGCAGCCGTATGATGCTGATTTTTCCTTTTCTCTTTTCGGTTGTATCTCTGCTCACTCGGATGCATGATAAAGACCATCAATCATGTTCATGTTCTTGATGATCTTGTATTGTCAGGAAACAAGAACAAGAAGATGAAGATCACAAGAGCTTCCAATATTAGAAGTATTATTCTTGCTCGTCTCTTGTCTGTACTTCGTGCTCGTCGTGCATAAAAAATGTTTCCTGGAAGCGCCGAACCTCTCATCAAGATCAACAACATCTTCTGGCTATGTTGACAAAGACAGGTGAACACTTCTTCCACTTGGTGCTGGTTCTTGTATGATATCGGTGAAGCCAGCCTAACTAGGAAGCTTGCTGGTTCTTGTATGATATATTCATAATATATCTATATTACGCGCATCAACTACAAGACCCAAGATAGAAAAAAAGTAATTATTCGAATCTTTTCCCAACATTCTTGTTATTTTCATTTCTAGTTCTGTTCTATGTCATTTACCATCGTTTGCACATATTCCAGTCCCGTCATTACATTTGTACAACTTGTTCCTCTTCCATCCTTCTGTACAACAAGAACCCTATTCACCCTATGCGATCATAATAAAAGTGAAAAGAAAAATATCGCAGGCAAAAGTGTTATCATTATCGTTTTTTTGATTTTTTCAGATTGGGATAACAAATCCCAGGCATTGGTGGGACGCTGTGCGCGTGGGCATAAGAATGGAGGGGCGCCAGCGTTCGCCGCTTCCTCTTGGCGCGTCCGTGGGTGGGCTGCGCTTCCCATGACTCGGACAACAAAACAGCGGCGCCGCGCGCGCTGCTGTCCTGCTCTGGCTGCTGGGTGGTGCTGCGCTCTCCGGGAGGCGCTTCCAGTAATGGCAGACGCGCGTGCGTGTAGCTTGTTTCCTCGTCCCCTCGCGAATCTGGGGCCCGAGTGTCAGGGGATGGCCTGCAGCCCTGCTGCTTGCGGCCGCTCCGCCACCTCTGGCGCCCCACCTCCTCCGACCTCTAGCGGCTCGGCGCCTCCTTCCTGCTGTGGCCGCTCTGGTCTTCTAGCCGGGCTGGAGGTGGTCCGCCGCCCCCCTCCACCGACCCCTCCAAACACTCGCCAAAAACGCGATAACGAGCAAGCAGAAAAGGCGCCCACCTGTCACCCGCTTGCCCCTCGAGGTTCCGAAAATTTAGGGTGTGTCTCTGGGCTTCGGCGAAGACTGTCGGGCGCCAGGAGCCTTATCGCCTATCTGTCGGGCGCCAGAAGTCTTATCAAATGGGGTCCCTCAAAACAAGGACCCCCCTCAGACACCCCCTCCAGCTGACCCCTTCAGCCGGTCGCGCGTCTGCGGCTCTCGGTCGTCTCCTCGCCTCCTTGGAGCTTGAGCGAAGTGGCGTCGCGGCTTCCATTCGATCGGCTTGGCGTTTCATATTGCTTGCCCCCAGGAATCGCCCCAACGATTGCCAGCGGGGCTGCTTTCCGAGTGCGCCGCGCTTGGTTCCCGCGGTGTGCTACTTTTGCGGATAAGTTTGCAGGGCCAGGCCACGCCGCTGCCCCATGGGCGTGCGTAAGCGGAGGCCGCGGCCTTTGAGCTTAGCGGTACCATGATGCCCCGCCATGAGTGAAGGGCCGCGCCAATGGGAGGAGGAGCGCAGCGTCTGCTGCGGCACCTCGTGGAGGGAGGGCCGGCTTGCCCATCGCAAGGTGGAAAGCCCCAGGATCGCAGTGCTCCATGTTATGCTTTTCTGAAAAATTCAAAAAAACGATAATGATAAAGCTTTTTCTCGCGATAAAAAAGAGATCCAAGAATTCATGAATGTGTACATGATCTCTATCATCTATTTTCATGAGTCACCCTCGTGAAGAACCCCATCCCTCATATTGGAAGCTGTAAATCTGTTTCTACTTCCACTCCAGCCTAAATAAATCATATACAACACCAAGCGATTACAGATATGCGTAGAACTCTCATGATGCTTATGTTCATTCAATTACAATTTCTTTTGATTCTTAGTTATCATTTGTATTTTTTCACCTCAATAGATCATCTTTAATACTTCCATAAAAAAAAGCCCTGCTGCTCCTACCCTCGACCCAGTAATTCTCTTTCTCGCTTATCGACTTCGTCCCTGAGCGCTTGAGGTGCATTGCGACGCTGATGCGCTTTTATCTTTGCTCGCGCGTCTGCCTTCTTTTCACTGGGCGTCGGGTGCCCTTTCAGATGCGCAGGCATAAAGCTCGGTCGGACTGGTCTCACGCGACGCTCATTTTGCAACTCAGCGGTAGCTTGTTCGATTCGTCGCTCTCGCTGTTCCTCACCACAAATCGAGCATAGGACATACGCTTCTCCCTCGGGTGCGACGTAGACGACTGCGGAGATAAATGGTGGAGAAAGACGACTAATACAACTGGAGCTGCAACTTCTGCAAGCTGTAAAAGTAAATCTTAATCTATGAAAGGAAAAAGTGCACTCACACTCAAGAAAGTGACTAAGATTCAAGTGGGAAAGGAGCTACTCTTGAGTGTGAGTGCACTTTTTCCTTTCATAGATTAAGATTTACTTTTACAGCTTGCAGAAGTTGCAGTTCCAGTTGTATTAATCTATTCTTCATTACTGCAGGACGAGAAACCAGTTACACTTCTGCAAGCTGTAAAAGTAAATCTTAATCTATTCGAAAAACTGAAATAAGCAAGTAACTACTTGAAATAAGCACAGTTAATCCTGAACAAGGAAGAGTAGCCCTGTCAAACCTACTTACCTCACTTATTTCAGTCAGTAACTCGGTTATTTTCAGTTTTCGAGTATTCTTCATTACTGCAGGACGAGAAACCAGTTAGTACAGTTAGAAGCAAACAAGCAAGCCCGGAGAAAACTAGTACTAGTGGACGAGCAGATTATGAAGTAGTCAAAACTACTAGTACATCCTTTATTGAATCAAGTAAGTAGTCAAAACTACTAGTACATCCAGTCACTAAAGGATCTTCATGTTGTTTTCCACTGTGAAGAAGATTCTAAAAAAAATAGTCAAAATAAGTAGTACATCCTTTATTCATGTTTTCGGCTGTGATTCCCGAAAGAGAGCACTCGTAGCGTTCGGTGCCGTAGTGCAGAGGCAATTCCCGCAGTTCCTCTAGCGTCCTTTTCGTCAGAGGTTTGCCATTTGGACTTAGGGCAACTGCCTCTTCCTGGATCTTTTTAGCCGCTTCAGGAGACAAAGCAACGAGCCCTTTTTTGTGATAGTTCTTGTTAGTGATGGAAAAATCAATGTTGACAATGTGATCAATGTGACCAAGCTGTTTTTAAGTAGTGATGGAAAAATCAATGTTGACAATGTTCTGGACGAGCATTTAGTTGGACGATTGATGATATTGATAGTACTTCTCTTCTTCATACGATCAACAGCATCTGCTGACTCCTAGGTACTACTTCTACTTCATCCTGATGTAGTTTGTATGGTCTGATTGAGATAGTACATCTATATCTAAAAATGTTCTTGACTAAAACTCGTCTTACTAGTACTTGATCATGTTATAGACTTCATACATATTAATATCTTTATGTAATATAATAGGGAAGCTGCATCAACAAGTACAAGTACCTGCTTTCATTTCCTCCGTCATTTCATCGCCCGCATTGACTGCTTCGCCGGCGATCACATGCGCATAAACCTCGCGAAGAGGAATCATCTGCTCAGCCAGCAACACGAATTCCGGGAATTCGATAGCCCCTGATCGATTCGTATCGAAGTGGTGCATCAGCTTTTCGACTTCGGGCACGGCAATCTTCTCTTCGGAACAGAGTTTTTGCAGGAAGTTGAAGAATTCATCCAGTTCGAGTTCGTTGTTGCCGTTGACATCCATGATGTCAAAGAGGGAACGGAGCTTGCGCAAGTAGCCACCGCGCACTTCCTTGGGAACAGGGGAGAAAGGGTTGGCACCTGGAGGAAGTAAGTAGATGTTCTTGGGTGGACGACGTGGAGGAAGCATATTATAGGACAACTGGTTCCTTTTGTTCATGTTGGGTGGACGACGTGGAGGAAGCATATTATAGGACAACTGGAGGTTCCTTTGGAGAGATGGCTGGTCCGTAGTACCCGGATAACATTCATAATAAAGAAGTGTGGAGGGTTCTTGCGTAGTTTGGGGATGTAGTTGAGGTGGCAGGGATGTTGAACACAAATTATTTGCCTTTTGACATGGGCGACGAGGGCCAGGAGACGCGGTACTAGTATCTATGTGTGTCACTCGATTTTAGAATAAACTTGCGAGCGCGGACCTTCCTAGAGAGCCAAATATCATATTCCACAAGAGATGAAAAAAGTCCTTATATATAAATGTACTTCTTGATATACTTCCACCTCCACAAGAGATGAAAAAAGTCCCTATATATGAATGTACTTCTGAATATACTTCCACAAGAGATGAAAAAAGCCCTTCTCCTTATAAAATAAGTCGATTAGTATAAACGTACAACTTCTTAACATATAGTAAAATTCATAAACAACTTCGTAATGTTGAAGTAGATGGAGGTATACTTCCTGAAGGCGTCAGACGTCCCGGGACATCTCCGGAGAGGTTTGCGCTCCTCGTGAACCCAGTGTTTCCTGCATTTGCTTGCTGCATTTTTGTGGAGGATTCACTATTAGAAGCAGATCAAGAACGAAGAACCAAATAAAAGGAAGAAACACAAGAACAAGGGTGGCGCTGGTGAGTAGGATGTTATAATGCTTTTGCTCGACTAGTAGAGATGAGAAACAATATGATGTGAGCAAGTACAAAGGAGGACCACGTCTCGTCGAGAAGATAAAAGTAGAGTCTGTGAAGCTCGAGGAGGGTGACGAGAAAAAAGTTTCAACACAAGTGAGGTGAAATGGGCCTGTAGGTGACGCAAGAAATGATGGAGGTCTTGATTTTAAACTTAACCTTAACAAGAAGTATACTACTAGATCAATAACTATAATTTTCAAGAAGAAAGGAGCATTCTCTCTCCACTGCACAGCACAACCACAAACTGTGGGACAGACGAGATTCATATGTCCGAGTTTTTAGCTCCTCAGTCACATCTACTTCTCTCTCGACACAGAATAGTTTTTTCTTTCATCACAAGGAGTGCGCTGAAATCAACTTCTAGAACAACTATCTTCAGCCCTCATTCACTCAAACGCTGAGTACAACATGATCACAGAGGACAGAGACGCATTTATTCGCTATAACAGAAACAGATGTTGACCATACTTCATCAACATCATGGATTGTAGATCGCTCGCCTGAGGAGCTCAGCATCTTCATCTTATATTCCTAAGTACCTTCTTATTAATAAGGACAGGCTCTGGTTCTTGTTGATGTACAACTTTTATTTTATTGATGTTGTACGTGGTACAAGGTGGTAGATATCTTCGCGGGGAACAACAAGTCCTGGAAAATTTGATATAGAAATCAGCATGAAAGACAGACACACTAAAAGAACGCGGACAAGGAGAACCTTCTCTTCTAAAACTTAATTCTAGTTGCCGGTTCGCTCAACGTCAACTCCGTCTTTTTAAAGTTTTCTTCCCCTAGACTTGCTAGAAGAAGTAGTTGTAGATGCAACTACTATAAAAAAGTTGAAGGACCACCTAGGAGTTCTCATCATGCCGGAGCATACCAAACCTCTAAAAGTAATAGACTAGTACAGGTAAAAAGAGTAAGTAAGCAAAAAGGTGGTCATGGCTTCGAATATTCATCGTCAAGGACGACGACTGTAGCTAACGAGAAAACATGTATTTCATCAAGGATGAAGTGCACCCCGCTCTACGCAGGACGGCCTAGCGGGACTTCACATCGTGGCCCTCATGCTCACCAATGTTGAGGGACGTCGAGTACTCCACCCAGATGTGCAGCATCCTCTTCATGTAACCCTCACTAGCGAAGGTCGAGTACTGCCGGGAGTGCGGGTATTGTAAAAAGTGCCCGCTAAGGCTTCGGCATATCGTTCCCCTATCCCTGCTTGAGACATATTCGTGGAAATGGAGGAAATTAGATTTACTAGAGTGATATTACGATTGTTCACTACACGTAGGCTCGTGTCGAATATTTGCGCTACGACGGGTCTTTCGACTTTGGCCGGGCTCCCGAACGCTGACAATGCTGGCCGGGCTCCGTCCGGCCCAGCCCACTTGTATTTATTTCATTTGATATTACAACTGTCATTAAAACGTAAAAAACGCAGCACCTCAATAAAAAAGTGGCCTTAATAAAGAAGCCCGAAGACCACTAGAAGGTCGAGATGATAGATGTCGAGCGATAGACGATGAAGATGTGCGACGTTGTAATTCCAAGAGGGGTGACGCGAGGCCCTTTTCTCGCATATCGAAGGTGGATGAAGTCCGCTTTGCCCCTAATGATTAGCGGGTAGAAGTAAAAGTTGTAGAACTTCACTGGTCTTGCTAGAAGGAAGCGAGAGCGAGACCATCGACTGTCTGAATATCAAGCAACATCACCATGTCATGATGATACTTCTCATGACTATAGATGAAGTCATGAATAACAAGCAACATCTCTACTACCTAGCTGATCACGTTACGACTATTACGCAAAAACCACATCAACCACACTGAATCATTGTTTTTCATAAGTGAATAGTCCTTCCTCTGTACTGCTCGCGCCGACTGACCTCCGTTGATCCCAGAGAAGGAAAAGTGGCAAAGCGATGGTGAGTGATTGACCCATGGTCAAGGCGTGATTTACCGGTATGCCTTAGAAGAGGAATTTTCTTCACTTCAAATGACCACGATGAAGAAGAAGCAACTATGTATAAAAAGTTGAAAGAGCGACCTACTTCATCATCTCGAGATACATCCTGGAGGTTGAGATAAAGTCTCACCGTCCTCCATAGTAGTCGTAATTCGTTATAGATGACCCACGACCTCCACCGCCCTTTGCATTTTTTCTCCACCAGACCATCACGATGATGTTGTGGACGAGAAGATGCGGTGGACTTGGAACTTGCTGATGTTGAGTAGAAGAAAGCGGGAAAATTACTTAAGTAATTGATGATCCGGTGGAGGAGGTGATGGAAGCGGTCAGAAGCAAGGAGACACAACAACAACAACAACAACAGAGGCAAAGAGATGCAACAACAAAAGAAGCTAGACGACACAACAGAACACATCGCTTCAATGCAGCAGCAGTCGACTACACGGACCGCTTCCATCACCTCATCCACCGTAGGATCAAAAACGAAATTTCTAGAAGAAAGCGGAAAAATTTACGCAGCAAAAAGCCCCGCTAGCCCTCCTTAAGTGTAATCCCCATTGTATCGGCCGTTGACGAGAAGTTTGAGGAGGTACTGACTGCTATTCGCGAGCCCTGCGACGCTGCAGACGAGTCCATACAATTTCCCAAATGTTGCAAAACCAAATCGGCGAGATGGGTTAGCGGAAGCAGCTGAAAATGTTGCAGCTGGGCACCAGGAGTCTCAGTATGTACTAAAGCTGAAGAAGATTTCTAAAAATAGATCAGGAGTACAATTTTTCGATCGATTTTTCTTGTTCAGTACTATGGGTATGGTGCAGGTTCGACGAGATAGCAAAGGTCCTATATTTGGCAGTAGCAGAATTTTTCTCTTAGCAGATAAATATGATCCTTGGTTGGTATTGGGAAAACTTCTCTGGGTTAATTCAAGGATTCCAAATCATCTCGTTGGACTTCGCTGCCTTAACTGTAAAGACTGCCAGCATCGTGTAGAATAGAGGTCTTGAGAAGCAGATGAAGAGGAAGCTGGAACATGCGAAGCCGAGATCGAAGAGGATCTGGAAGCAGAGAAAAAAGGACCACAGAGCAAACCAACTGGTGATGAGACCACATCCGTCTGTGAGAAATCCAATCAAGGGGATCGCGAGAAATCCAGCTGCGGGAAGTGATGATTAGAAGAGGGTCTGTCGCTGTTGAAAGAACTGACTCATGACATGATCAGTTGATCATCTCTCAGTTGTGGTTTGGAAAATAGTAGTTGTACTTCGACAACTTTTGCACTTGCAGATAATGTTGAAGCGGCCCTGGCCCTGTTGGAGTTGTGTAGATATCTAGGTTCTTGTACGGTACCAAAGAGATCAGGTAAACACGATCGACCTCGACCCCCGAGCCTTAAAACAACGAAAAGAATTGAGTTCTGGCTTCCGCTTCGTGTGGGGACTCGCTGTATTGTTGCATCTGTAAAGGCACAGACTCGATGAAGAAGTTGAGACGTACCATGTAACAGCTAGCGGAAAAGACGAAGAGGAGAAAATCGGGCGTGCGAATCTGCTCTCCGAGACAAAGGTCCTCGTACTTGGCAACATCTGCAAATGTGCTGAGGAGATTGTCTTCAACAACTACGTCGGCATTTCTCACTTGTTTCTGCGCGCTATTGTCCTTGGTTTTAGAAGAGCTGGAAGAAGCGACGTGTACATATCATATTTTGCGTACTTATTTTATTTTCACGCAAGGGTGGTCGCTGACTTAGAGAGTAGACTTCTGTTGTATATTTATATAAGCAGGTAACAGTGTATTTCTACGACCTTCACATTTTTATCCCCTGCGTGTGTCGATAGATTGCCTGCATTCTGCCTCTTCCCTCCGTCCTCAGTACTTCTATCTTCGTCTGCCGTAACGATTTTCAGTGAGTTAGTCGATGAAATTCTTGCTGTAGTTGGAGAGAAGTTGTTATTGTTGTCGTCAGTACGAACAGGAGCGCCAGTTGTAGTTGTAAAAGTACCTGTAGCACTGGTAGTACTCTCATCTACGTCGAGTGCTACTGCTTCATCCCTTTGGACGGGCTGCTCTGGGTAAAATACAAGGCACAAAACCGCGAGTAAAAAACCCACCAGCGAATAAGCCACAAACACACTATCGAAGGACGCTACCCCAGTCTGCATCAGATATGCTAGAGCGACGAAGACGAACAATGAAGTTTCCTAGTAGTAGTACTGGAGGCATTGATTGAGAACGTCTTCTTAATGGAAATGGAAATGGCCTTCAAAGACTACATGGTGCTGCGACGTCCCTTATGAATCTGAGGAAGATTGATATCTTCCGTAGTATCAGAGGACCCAATTTTCCTTCCCTTGTTTCTACTTCGTTCACCTCAATCAAAGTTCTTCACATTCATTGACCCCGTAAGAAGGAACTAGCATCGAAGCAACCAACGCAGAGACTGGTGATCAACCCACCGTGCTGTGGATACAGGTTCGAGAAACTGATCGTGCACATGTACACCAAAGGACCAGACACTGCCAGCAATAGGAATCCCAGGTAGTACCAACTATGAGATAATTGCATTCCCGGAAGAGACTGCGACTGCGTCAAGGTGTTCGGAGGTGGTCGTGGTTGCGCTTCTGTGGCTGTGGAGGTCTTGGAGAAGATGGTTCAACAAATATGAAAGACAAAGAGAAAGAGGATGAAGATTTGTTGATAATTCACGAGGAACACTTCGCAAAAAAACGCTGTTTTTCCATAAGTAGAACGAGGATAACCTATAATCTTCTGACTCAATAATGAGATAGTAGGGTGGAAGGTATTCCAGCTCTGATGTGTTCATTTACGCGTCGGTGATCAACATTTATTTGACACTCACTCATGATTTCACGATTTCTGTTCATAATCGAAAACCCTTCCTCGTAGTTCACCATTTTCATTGTTCCAAATATACCGCTTCCTGCCAACCCAAAAAGTAAATTCCCTATTCCACTTGTTGACGTTGCAAGAGCAGCTGCCCAACGAGGGCCTAGGTAATCCAAAAGCATCCCTGAAAAGAATGCGGTGACGTTCAGCAAGGTCGTCGCCAACGTAAACATAAAGGACAGATCCAATTGTTGCTGGACACATGTTTTTGTAGTTGTAAGTGGCAGTGGTGATGGCTGTGAGGTGGATGCGGATGTCGTTGTAAGCCTGCTAAGCCAAGGAAAGTACGCATCTTCCTTATCGGGATCGAATTCGGATGTAAAAAAGCTTGAAGTTGTGTCGCCAAACAACAAGAGGTCTTGTGAACTTTGAGGCCGCAAAGGTCCTCCTCCCTGGCCGTCTCCTCCAGTCGCAAGACAGTCACCATAGAAAACCCTCCTTCGCAAAAGTTGGGGATAGAGTCCGGCGAAGCCGAAGACCAATCCCGCGCAGAGAAACGAACTTAGAGCTCCAAGAAAAATGACGAATATCTTTCGCCATTTGGGCCATGCTGGGGCTCCTCCTGTAGCAGTAGAGCTACTATAATAAAGATCGTCTCCTGGCTCTGGAGAAGGGTCTTGTTCCGTGGTGTTCTTCATCTTCTTGTTAATTTTCGTATTTACAATTATTGGGGGCGGGAGGTTACCTGAAGATCATTAGGCTGTCGTCATCGTGGATGTTCATCTTGTTAAGTAAGTAGATAGTGTTAGTACGTGGTCGTGCTGCCAAGAACATGAAGAAAATGTAGACGTAGAAGATGATCCATTTGCTAATGCTACTAGTATGAACGATGTTTGTAGTACTGTGGTGACTGGCGGCCCACCAGAGTATGAGAAGAAAAGGAAAATCACATTTTTCATTTCGCCGTGCATTCCGGTCGCCTATCGTTTGTGCTCAGAGTATGCTTGTCCTTTTTATTGTTCGCCATTGTTGTCTTCCCTTCTCCTCAGAGCCCCGAAGCGAGACATCACAGTCTCCGCATACCATCAGATGCTGGTGGACGCCAAGATTTTATGCAGTAGAGAAATTCCTAAGTAGTCGTCTCCTGGCTCATCTTCTTACTTCGTAAAACTCCAATATGATGCATCGTGACCGTATCGATGTCTCTTGCTCTTCCAGTTCCAAATTCAAATCAAATCAGATGACAGAAGAACATGAACGAGTAGAAACACAAGCGAAATCCATATCCATTCGCCATTGAAGAACTCAACGAATAGACGCATCTCACATCAAGCAGACCATGCTCATCTCCTTGAAGGTCTTCATCTTCAGTTTTCACATTCCACTTCCTGTATCTTCTCTGTGTCGTAGTACCAACACGACACCGCTACTCGAGGCTCGCCTGCGCCTCCTTGCATCGGCATTACTTCGTGCAAATTGCGGGAGTCGCAGAGGAAGACGAGAAGGCGACTATGCAGAGGCTCAATCTCGAAACAGGGTCCCTCCGGTTGCAACTTGCGTCGTGCTTCAGGCCACAAGCGGAGACAGCGATGATTAGATGCATCTTGTTTGGTTCTCTTCAAATTCATGTTGATGATGATGAGGTTGAGATATTGGATGATGAAAGAGAAAGAATATTAGGAGCATCTTCTTAACTCCATGCTCCACTTGCCAAAAAGGGTTGAGGTAGAGTATGCATGTGGCCACGCGCCCATTGTCTCCTCCAACACAGTCGAAATGAGGTGTATACCGAGATCCTTTTCCGTGATACACTGTTACCATGGGTCGACCACGCATCAGCTTTTTTCGGCCTTTAGATGAGAAACGTACTTTCACTTTCACTCAGCGTCAGGCGCACGTAAAAAATAATAAAAAGCAAGCTGCCGTCAACTAAATATCGTAATTCGTAAATCTAAAATAATTATAGTCCATGTTCCCTAGAGCCTGCTTGGTTTTGGCTGATCCCTTGACACGGTCTTCAAACTTTCAACAGAGCCAGAGCACTAGTCTTTGCTTCAAGTGCTTGAGTCACAAAGTGACAGATTGACACGTGAGGCCATTCTCTAAATTGGTATCTTCTTCACCCTTACCTTCCAGAGCCGCACAACTCCCAGTTAGTTCAAGCATGAGTTTGTCCAATGCTTGAGTGAATACGCGTAGTGTTGACTCGTTCAGTTTTTGCTCGTCGATGTGCGTGTAAACGTCGGAACGTGGTGCAACTGCGGGTTTTGCTTCAGAAGGTGATGGATTTGCATTTGTTGACCCCGTTTTTGCTGGACATTTGTTAGACGAGTGGGAGTGAGGACTGACAACGAAAATTTAGTAGAGCTACTCAGTATCAAAAGGATCATGATACTTACTCGACGAAGTCGAAATGTTCTTCAGCGTCATTCTTGTCATGATCATCGCGGTAAAAATTCACTCATTTCTTCATTCATTTGCGAACCACGTGACAACTTACGCTGCCTGATTCCGCTGCGACCCGAGTAGAGACGCGGCAGAGGAGCACCGATAGCGCCATGGCATGAGTGACGCTTATTCGGTACATAACTTCAATCTCCCCTGGAAGCAACAAGCCATCTCTCCACATTTGTAGGATTTGTCTGCGAAGAAGGTCAGCAACAGGTACGGTTAGGAAAGCATCTAAAGCACCAAAGCCACGCTTTGGGTTGTCGAGATGCGGTGCCAACTCTCTGGCTAGAGTTGCAGATGCACGCACTTCCGTCGTGGTTTTAGAAGAGGAAGGAGCGCTTCATCTACTTTCTTCAAATCAACATGGAAAGGAGCACTACTAGGTTGTGGTCCTGAAGAAAGGCACTTTCATTTACTCAAGAGAGACACTGACTTGCACATTGTCGCACCCGCAGCACTTCTCTTCATAACGCCACTCTCTGCTGGCGGATGTTGGAGTTCGATTTTCAGTTTTCCAGTTTTTTTCTTGCGGGTAACTCTAGCTTTTTGAGGATCACAGGGGGGACGGAGAGGAAGTTGAAGCATACTGGAAGGCCATCGCAATTTGACCCAATCAGCGGAAATATCGACATCTGGTGCATCTTCGCTTCTTGGCTCCTCCAAAATTTCTAGCTCTTCTGCAGCTACCGTGTGGTGCTTGTTTTTAGAAGAGATCTTTAAGTGAGCAGCAGTTCTTTCAGCGCTTAGAACATCTTCAAGCGGTTCTTGTTTCTCTATCATGTAATGCTTCATGATCTTCTAGGACTTCGAGGACTTACAGTTGCAAGAACTTGCAACTTTGTCTCGGTTATCTTCATAACAAGAGAGGTTGCCGATGACGAAGACAAAAATCGGTATGAAGGTTTTTGCAACTGTTTCGTTGCGTCTGCTTGTTCAGCTTGTCCGACGTCGAATTCCGTAGCACCGCATGACGTCTCTGAGTCGCGAACAGGATGACTCCAAATGCTTTTGGTTTCAGCAGTAGGAGATGAAGGCTTTTGCTCCAGCTTCGAGTTCGACTCTACTCCCACATGTTGCTCTAGCCTTGCTTTCGTCTGCTCGTCTTCCTTGTTCTTGCCTGCTGTGATGTCATCTGCAGGACTAGTTGCTTTTTTGGTACTGGCAGTTCCTGCACCTTGTGCTTGTTCTCCAACATTTTTAGCAGGCGGTTCTTCTCGACTCGTCTGACTGTTTTTCGCTTTCGGATCCGAGGATGTCATTCTCCCCGCTCCGGCTCCTCCACCAATTCCAAGCTTTGCTCTCACTGCCGCCAGGTTTTCATCGATGCGCTCTTTCATGGCGATGGCTGTCTGATATTCGGTCAAAAGACCCTGACTTAGGTACTGATCCGCCATTTCTTTGGTCGAATCTGACTGTTCCTGCAGTTTTGAGATTAACCCTTGCATCGTAGCTGATATTAGAGGACGAGTAAAGAAATGTGACTTACTTCTTAGGATCATTAGGAAGATGACTCAGGGAAGATAACTCAGTTCCTTTCGACGATCTGTGGTCCTGTTGTCTTTGTTGTATTCTGAAGCACAGAGACTTACCTAAAAACAGCCGCAATATAATCTACAGACAATCCTGAATGATCCTCTAGCTGCACAACAACCACACTTCTCGTCCATAACAATAGTTGTGCTTGAGCGGAATTCGTAGTCCCTTGGAGAAAGCTTGCTTTCCCTGATGCACCACCATCCGAAGTAGATAACAGGCCACTTCCTCCATGAGCAGCGGTCGCGGCATTGGTTGACGTGCTGGTCGACTTGCCAGGGCCACCTGCCTTTTTGTTCTTCTTTTCATTTTTGTGTTTTCCCATCTTGTTTTTGAATTATTTGATAATGAACTGTCTTACTAATCTGAAATTCTAATCATACGCCACAAGTCGCTGGCACGACACACTGGTTAAAATACAGTAGATGTAAGTAGTATCTTATCATTGTAGTCTTCTAGGTCAGAAGTCAAACTCTATTTGGAATATTAAATTATGTCACAACATAAAAACCAGAGGGTAGTACTATGAGGAGGTCGTATCACAGGGTGGGCCTCTGTCTCTCATCTGTCTCTTTCTCTCGACGTGGTCCACTCGCCAACTCTTTCTTCAGTTTCATCATATTGACAGTCATTCTCTCTTATTAAATCATGCAGTCCTTCAGTATATCGACACCTATGCTGGGAAAGATGATGGGGTGCTTAGTGGGATTGCATGTTTCTGTTGATGCTTGTTTTGTAAATGAATATGAAAGTAGTACTTTCAATGATATTTGTACATATTTTCTCACATGATACTTTCAATGATATTTATTTGTATCATTGTTGGATGTTGTGTTCTCCTGTAGGTTGCTAACTGCCCAAAAGGTTCGCCAAACCGTAGAAAGGTCAGTAGAAGTTCTTGCCCAAATCGTACCGCCGGAGGAAGACAGGCAAGGAACGGCAAACCACAACGAAGGAGGAAGCTCTTGCTTGAACACCACTAGGATCCAACTCAATCGAGCACAGTCACGCTGATGCTCTCTCACGAACTGCACTCACGTCAAACTACTCCTACCTAAAGGATCCAGGACCATCAAGATGATAAGCAAGGCTGATTGACCTTTGAGCTCTTTGGCTCTTCCTTCTTGTGTTCAAGTGCGCCGATTGATTCACATCAAGCCGCCAAGTCGGGAAGTGGAACACCTTCAAGACCTTACACTTTGGTCACTTCGAGCTGTCTCCGACATTCCCCCCCCCCCCTTTGGTCTTGTTTGGTTCGCTTTGGTGTCACTGTTTCAGGGCCCATATGCCTGCCTTCTTGACTGTAGTGGTGGATCGACTACGTTTCTCCCCCCCCAAGAGCGAAGCCGTTTTCATAAAGTCCAAAATCACCCACAAGCAAATGTAGGATCACTGCGGACAAAGACCAGTAGAACACGTAAGCCACTTCAAGTGACAAGGCCTTTTAACGCTCGGGGGTTATCAAGGGATAAGGCTTAAGGCTTTAGGCACACACTTCAAAGTCGATCTCTTCATACAGACAGAGAAACGACGACCCAGCGACAAAATAAGCCGTATTTTCATGAGATTCCGAGTTATCAGGCGAAGGTACTTGTTTCGTTTTTCTTTTGTTCGTCATGTCTGGACTGTGCCAGAATACATGATCTCGAACTTCACGGGGGACGTTATTCTTGGTTAAACTGTCTGCTTTCATGTGCTCGGTGGGACAGAAGTTTAGGCTATCTGCCATATCACACACTTTGTGATACCTCAGAGCAACATGTCTGCTGCGAGGACGCAGCGCGTCGGAAGGGGATTGAGCTACCGTCTTAGCGGTTAGATTGTCAATCCATAAGTCCTCAGAGGGAGCTTTATTCTCGAAGAAGCCTTTGAACGAAGCAGATTCTGACATGATTAAGCCATCTGAACCGGCTACGAATTCTGCTTGAAAGGTCGAGTCTGAACGAACTGACTGCTCTGCCGTTTTCCACATGATTGGACATCCGCGATAGTATAAAATCGCTCCTGAGACGCTTTTCAGAGTTATAAAGCACGTGGCAAAACTCGCGTCGGTGAAGAGATTCCAATCTTTCAACTTTCGGCCTTTCTCTAGCATATTGCCATAGATCTCTTTGAACTTCTTTTCGTTCTCGGGCGAATAGAATAAGCCCACATCTGGCGTAGAGATCAAGTAGCGCATGACTTTCTTTACGCAGGCAGCAATTGCTTTCGTTGCCTTCTTGGAGGCGACTTTCGACAAGCAGTTTACGGGCTGTGCTACGTCAGGCCTGCAGACCGTGGCGACCCACTGCATAGAGCCTATTGCTTCTCGTAAGGGGAATTCACAAACTGGGCTTGTTTCGTCATACAGTGCAGAGGTCGGGAAGGATGGCGAGTCTACTGCCCTACATCCTTCCATGCGGAATTTCTTGCAAAGCTTCTCTTTGATATAAGTGCCCATAGAATAGCGGAGGCTTTTCTTCTCCTTGTTGTAAAACACATCTGCACCCAGCAGATCGCACTGAAGTTCGCCACCAGGGTGCTTCTTAGGTTCTATTATTTTCCCCGGAAATATATTGAGTATAGCCTGCACCTCAGCACGAAGCTCATTACGATCAGGGCCACAGGCTGTGTTGTCATCAACGTACACGGCTAATTTGAGGAATCTACCCGGCACTACTGCGGATGGCTTGCGCCATAGTCCTTTCTCATCAGATTGAGTCCAACCCAGCAGAATAAGCTGTTTTTCGTAGTGCTTGGCCCAAAGCCTAGGGGATTGCGGCAGACCATATAAAGCACGGACTAGCTTTCTTATGCCGGTATCATTTTCCTCACGCCAGATTGGAGGCAGACGCACAAAGATGTCGGAGTCGATGAGACTTTGCACAAATGCATTAACGATGTCAAAGACCTCGATCTCATCTCCTGCAGCAGCAGCATCAACTAAAAGATACCTGCTCGCGCCAAAACTAACAACAGACGCATAGGCATCAAAGTCATGCCCTGGCTTGTATAGGTTGCCTAAGACGACAGCCCTGCACTTGTATGTGCCATCGCGCTTCTTTGAAAGCACTAAGGCAATTGGGACTACACCCTTTGCCGATTTGAGTTCTCGCTCATTGCATTTCCGCCATGTTTCGAACGCTTCTAGCTTAGTTCTTTCTTTACCTATGGCCTGAATCCAGTGTGGGGATTCAGGTCCCTTTACAGCCTCTGACTCTGATAACTGCACCCATACGTCCTCTATTATTTCCCCAGGCTCTAGGTCGTCCTCCATACTTTCGACATAGAAGCAGTCTTCGATCACTTCAGCGAACTCGCCATAGAATTCGTCAGAGTCTACCTGCTCTGCCATCTGCTTCTTCGTTCTTCTTTTTCTGCCACCTGGGACTTTGTCTTTAGACCCTTTAGGTCGGCCTCGTTTTCTTTTGGCCTGTCCATAAGTGACGTCTGGCTTTCTTTCAAATTTGTAACTTTGCTCTTCCTCTGGAGGATCATTGGCTTTTTGTTTTTCACCCCCCCCGGGCTGTTTATCACCCGCAAGCATAGGAATGCTCGCAGATGCACTTTTGTTTTCCTCACCGGGAACACATGCCGTGCTGGCCTTGTCACAGACTGGACTTGGGACGTCCAATAGTTCCACTTTCTTATCTGCACCAGGCGCGACGGACGGGGAGGAGGCGGATTCGCCCCCCCCAGAACCAGATGAACTAGAACCACCAGGCGCAGGCAACGTCGGAGCACAAGGCTGGCCGGCCCCGACCACCGAGCCGCTGTCCATCGAGCCACTAATTACATCTAGGATCTGGCGATCGTTAACGATCACACCTTCGGAATACCCTGGGCGTAGAGAATCTACATTATCGATGAGTATACTCTCGACGAACTTAACGCAGCGAGTCTCATAGACAGCCCATCTTAGTCCACCGCCTTTCTTGGTGAAGCGACCATCTGAGACGTAAGTACCTACTAGGTAACAGCTGCTCTGATCATTATATCCGAGGAGTACGCCCTTGATATACTTCTCTACAAGTTTCCCAACCGCTTCGACGGGTTGTTTGAGAAAATAGCATAAGCAGCCAAATCTCCTGAACTTCGAATCGAATTCAGTAGTCGCGTTATCGAGCTCATCGGGCTCTGTGGACTCTAAGCGGGAAACTTTCCGGTCATCTTGCAGTGACCCTTTCACTCTTAAGCGTCTAGCTTCATGGGGGGACTTCCCATTGAAGTGTGGCGCACGTTTGTAGGCTTTTCTAGGGATTCTGACCCATGTCCACACAAAATATTCCGCAGCATAGTCCCATAAGCGGAGGTCAACGCCTACTAAAATAGCCCTTAGACCGGGACCCAGCGTATTCATAAAACGCTCGCAGACACCATTCTCTTGTGGTGTGTATGGTACCGAGTGGGTCCAGAAAACGCTGAGCTCTTGGAGTGTATTTTCCCACTTCTTTGAGCGGAAGAGTGGGTCATTGTCACTGCGGACATACCAGACTACTTTGTCGGTTAAGTCCCTACTATCACTTGCGCGCAGCTGTTTGATCAGCTCTCTAGCGACTGCATCGCACTGGTCTTTTACTTGCAACGGGAACACAAAGACGAAGGATATAATTGGGCACATTACCACTAAGAGCCATGAGTTACCTCTAAGACTTTTTGGCTTCACTGGGCCCCAACAATCCGCGTCAAGTTGCTTTAAAGGCGTAGGGTCGATGTACTTTTGAGGTCGTTCACTACGGCAACCTTTTCGACCACCTTTCGCTAAGGCACACTCAGGGCAGAAAACTTTCTCACCCGGTATTGATATGTGTCCTCGACGCCTATGTCTTTCTAACTTGGACAGGCACTCTAGTGCCTCTAAGTCCTCTACGCAGTCGGCCAAGGCTTCAGCCTGGAACTGTTTACTTCCCTCGGTAAGCTCTATGTTTACGCGGCGTCTTTTGGTGCAATCGGCTAAGCAATCCGTCGAAAAATTGCTTCCGATAGTGACAAGATTACTTATTCGCTCTTCAGCGCAGAAGTCACTTACCTCGCGCGAGCTGATGATACCAGCACCCCCAGACTTCGATGGCAAAAATAAAGCATCGTCTGGCAAACAAGGCAAAGCTGGTGGGTTATTTACCACTGGGATTTGAACGTCTGCAATGCGCGACTCTATCTTTGAAGGACTTGGCGGAGAATCTAATATCACTCGCCATCCAAGCGCATTCAGGGGAGCTGTTGGGCAAAGCCTTCTCACAAGCAGTCTTTCATGATAAATCCCCACTGAATACCCTAAGCGATTTGATCGCAGTCTCCCTATCCTAGGTGGATTCCCAGAACTTTCCAGATTGCCATCTACTCCACAGATCTTAACAGGGTTAGACCTGAAACTCACAAAGTCGCTCAGCACTCGGCTGACGACATGAGAGGCCCCAGAATCAAGTAAATCGTCATCCCGAGGCTTGCTCTTTTCAGAGGGATTTGTAGACGAAGTGGAGGACGCAAGTTCCTTGGTCATCGCCGAATTTATCTCTACACGGATCGCATCTAAGCTATCATCGATCTGACAGCAAAATAGTTCACTTTTATTTGGGTCATAGTCAATATCATCCATCTGATCACTGGTCCTGAAATAGTTGGAGTCAAAATCAGTTGTCAGCAGCAAATTGTCTGAATAGGACTCACAGTCCATGTTTTGTCTTTGTTCTTCAGGGGGTACCTCGCAGGGGTAGCAAAGGGGAAAGGGCTTGTCTTGTTGTTCTTGGTCGTGCTGTGTACAGTTGTAACATGCTACAGCTACATATTTGAAATTTGAAGAAGTTGAATTGTATGACTTGAAGTGATATGTTGAACTTTTAGACACGTTATGACTGAAGAAACTATCTGAGTTCGAAGACACATTCAGCATGTTATAACTGTCCTCTTTTGTTGAGAAACTTGTTGTTGGTTCAGCTTGTGTAGACACTCCGAAGCACGTAGCTTCCTTTCAGCTGCCCCCAAGGCAGTCCTTTTTCTCGTTGTTGGCTCAGTGCTTCTTGAAAACACCCTTCGCCTTTCCTTTCCAGCTGCCCTTCACTTGTGCTGGTCCTTTTGGCTTTCCACCTGCTTTCTGCTGGTTCTTGCCACCTCCTTTTTGCTGTTGTGCGCCACCGCCTTTCTTCGTGCTTTTGCCGCTACCTTTGGTGGCTGCCGCAGCAGCTTGTTGCTGTAGCCACTTTTTCTTGCGGAAACAGTTGTCATCGGTGTGACGCGGCTTGTTGCAAAAGGTACACCAGCGGCTGTCGGAGGAACTGCTTCCACCACCACCAGCCAAGAAGGCATTTGGATTGGAACTAGAGGCACCGCCCGGAGTGTTCATGTTGCTGTTGTTCATCATCATCATCATCATCATCATGTTCTGATTCTGGATGAGCATATTCTGCATCGGATCACTAGAACACATCATGCTGAGTGCAGAATTGTTGCCGTTGCTGTTGTTGGACACGGTCGCAAGGTTCATCCGTGCTTGGATTTCCTTCTGCTTTCCTGCTTGACCGCTGTTAACGTAGTCTTGAGCCTCAGCCAGCATTTGTTGCCAGGTCATGGTCTCGAACTTCTGGCGGAACTCAGCCATCTTGTCATCTAGTGCCGGATCAAGAAGATTGGTCAGGATGTGCTTCATCTGAACCTCGACCCGGTCTACTGGTAGCATTGGAGCTCCGACCCGTTGCGCCTTAGCATACTGGTCGTAAGTCCAAACTTCTAGGTCGCTGTTTTTACTGAGTTCAAACTTTTCATTTTGAAGTTCGTTGTTCATCTTCATCTTGTCAATCTGCTGATTGGTGCTGAAGTGCTTGCGCAGCTGACGGTAAGTGTCCAGGAACGTGAGACAACCAGCATTGACAGTGATCGTCTTGGCTTTTCCTTGGACCGCTGTAGCAAGTGATGCTTCCATGGCCAAATATTTTTCCAGCTGTGCTGCATCGAGGAGGGGATTAGCATCCTCGATCTGGTTCGATTCATGATCCACCAGGTTGATGAATTGCGGATAAATTCCGACTGAACGCACTAACATCTTGACAGAGTGGGCCCATGCGTCCCAGTCTTTTTTCTCGCTTATCGGCGGCAGACGCCAGGTAGATGACGACGTCTTTGCTGTAGCCGCGGGGGAACACTAGAACACGTCGAACAGGAACACAAGTGTTGCTAACTAGTCTAGTGCTGAAGCAGCAGAAGTTTTTGTTCTGTAGTGGTAGAAGAAGTAGCCACAAGTTCTGCTTCAAGGTAGGAGTAGAATGTTGGATGTTGTGTTCTCCTGTAGGTTGCTAACTGCCCAAAAGGTTCGCCAAACCGTAGAAAGGTCAGTAGAAGTTCTTGCCCAAATCGTACCGCCGGAGGAAGACAGGCAAGGAACGGCAAACCACAACGAAGGAGGAAGCTCTTGCTTGAACACCACTAGAATCCAACTCAATCGAGCACAGTCACGCTGGTGCTCTCTCACGAACTGCACTCACGTCAAACTACTCCTACCTAAAGGATCCAGGACCATCAAGATGATAAGCAAGGCTGATTGACCTTTGAGCTCTTTGGCTCTTCCTTCTCGTGTTCAAGTGCGCCGATTGATTCACATCAAGCCGCCAAGTCGGGAAGTGGAACACCTTCAAGACCTTACACTTTGGTCACTTCGAGCTGTCTCCGACAATCATATAAATATTAATTTGCTTCTCCTTCATTGACGAGGAGGAGCGAGTCTATTCTGTCCGTGAGTGATGTTGTACCTTCTACGAAGATAGATTGGGGAGTCTGGCACAAAGTAGCGATAATGAGCGCCAGATCAAAGCTAGAGAACGTAGAACCTAGACCTAGTAAACATGATGGGTTTTAGCTGCCCCCTTCAATTGCATTTATTTATTCATCCAAACTTCTATCTTTATGTCGGTCATGACGCAACTACTTGGCTTTGCTTTGCGCTTGAATGTTGTACCACTTTAGTCCCGATAGGCTTCATGATGACGCAATCTATTTCAAACCTGTGCACGCAAATATTCTTGTTTTTTTGTGCGACCAGAATCCGATAGAGTACTTCTACACGGGATAATGTTGGATAATTCAAAGTACGAACTGTTAATTTCCTTTGCATGATCTTTCATTTTCACGATTGAATTCTGCTTCGGCTTTTTCTATGACAATTATGCAGAACTACAACTATTCAAGCTATGAGGAACATACTATTTCTAGTCATCTCTTTCATTCGCACTCCCCCCACTTCGTCTGGTTGCCGAATTCCCTGTCTCATCTGCCGTTGCGTTTTTAGAGAATGCTTTCATTCTACATCCTTGGTACCTTTCCCCTCCCACTTGACGTTGTGTTCCTCTATACTGTGACTGTAGTTTTATCCTCATCATGTTACGAAGAAATTCTAATTCTTCTTCGAAGCCATAATTGTAGTACCTGCAACAAGATGAGTACTTTCCAGTCCCGCTGCTTTTTCGTCTTCTTCTGCATCGGCTAGAGTAACTCTGCTTCCTGGCACGTCCACGACGTACAATCGCATAAACAGAGTCACCGTCTGGACTATGAAGCCGAAGGTTAGAGAGTAGACATCAGATGAGAGCAAAAGTGGTAAGTTGTTGTAGTAAAGCAGTATCAGAAGATATTGAATTTCGAGTACGATAGTAGATTTTGAATCGTTACAACTTCAGCATTCCGCTACAGCGACAACTAGTAAGAGAAGGCAGTGGCAACATATCACGCACAATATGGACCAGGGAGGGAGCCCCCCCCTGTGGATGGAGCGGCGGTGGCGTCCGCGCGCCCTTATTTCTTTCTAATATATTTATAAGAGCTTCTATATACTTGTTCTGAAAGCAAAACAGAAAGTTTACCAGTATGAAGATCTCTAGCTCCTCGTCCTCGCCATAAGATTGAGTTGTGAACCCAGATCCCGAAGTCTTTGTAGTATATGAAACCATTCAACGTCCAGCAAAGCGTCATCCCGATAGCGACAACGTTCATAAACAGAGGTCCAAAGTATTTGCTATTGTGATCCCGGATCGCTCTGATTTTGTGGTTGGTGGTGTGGTGGTGGTGGTGCATTGTGGGAAGTAGATCGATGTTCATTTATTTGATTGATCGAAGATGAGGATGACATCAGAGAGATAGAAGTTGATGGGGGACGACCAAGCAAAATCTATCAGCTTCTATCTTTTAGCATTCAAAATGTCGAGGAAGTAGAAAGTTCTCTCAAAGATAACCTGAACGTGAACAAAAATCACGAAAAACAAATAAAAATGATAAAGATGATCTAGTAACTCTGTATGCTAGATGATACACTGCACAATAGCCGCGACTTACTATGTATAAGAGATGATGCTGCACAATAGCCGCGCCTTACTTCTAATGGTGGGAAGTCCCTCCGTTGATGTTCCATCCGTTCCATCCAAGTCCATCCTACATCCGTTCTATAAATGATTCTAAGATAATACTGCACAATAACCGAAACCGCGACATCCGTTCTATAAATGATTCTAAGATAATACTGCACAATAACCGCGATTGGAGCTGCGAGCATGAGTATTCCGGAAATATTGCCGCTCACGCGCAAAAAATCCAACCATCTCGACTCATAATTCGCATTTCGGATTGCTCCTTTGTCCATCAGGCCATAAGACAACCACAGGAAGACTGCGATCATTAGAGCTAGAAGTACTGCGTAGCTCGCTGCCTCTTTCCTGATGGATTCTGCATCATCTTTCATCTTATTGCGAAAGTAGATGCTCTGTATTTAGTTCACCTGGTACTAGTTGCCTTAAAAGTATTACCGCAATCACAGCTTCGACGTAATAGAGTTTCCCGAATATCTCCTTATGCATGCAGATTGGATACACACACATGTAAAAGGCGCTGGCAGATTAGAGGTCGTATAGTATTTGCGCCGTCGTGGTCTCCTGCGAGCAGGAGCATCAATCACATGATTAATAAGAAAATAAGTTGGCTAAACTGCATGCAGGCGCAGCATTACGAAATCTTATCTGACTTCACCCCATTTTTACGTAAGTAGAAAGCCGTAACCGACTTAGAAGACTTAGAAATTACTTCTAGTTCTTAAAAGAAATATCCTATGACGTTTAAAATAAGGCCCTCCATTACATCGCCGCGAATCGCCATCAACACTAGCTGGAAGTTGGTGTGTATCAGGGCACCGAATAACGGGGTAGGCGCCAGATCGAATACGTAGGAGCCGTCGTCTGAACGTATAGCAGGATACCAGTTACACAGTCACTATAGTAAATTAGATCGAATACACAGATACTAAATTAAAATTTTAGTGTCTGTTGCAGGTGCTTGTTCGGGAATGGGAAGATTCAGAGGTGGGTGGATTTATCAGAATTCGACCACGTAGTCAAACAAGTACTCGAGCGAGTAGGAATATCATCCTCTTGGTCTATCTGTAGTACTGAGTACTCGACGAGCCAAATAATGCAGTTTTTCTAGAGGATAGTGGATGTAGTGGATTAATCAATCTTGATCAAATTCCAAACTTAACGCTAAACAAATATACTCGAACCAAATAAGTCAATCATCACAAGTACAAGTAGAAGAAATGAGCAAATACGTCTTCCCCTCCACCAACGAATGAATGGCTCTCCTGGCGCGATGAAGAAGAGCGGTGTGAGGATCAGAGCTAAGATTTTCAACAGGTTCTGAAACCATGGGAATCTCGAATGCCATTCGTTTCCGTCTGCTTTGTGTTAGATGTTGTACTTGTAGAAGTAGAGGACTTCTAAGATACTAGTCAAGAATCTGATCAAGAAGTAGGACTCAATAAAAGCGACCTTCTTCTAAGTCGAAGGATGAAGTCCTCTGCTCGCCTCGTCCTGCTTGGTAAGGAACAGAATGATTAGTATGAGATGTAGTAGTAGTATTCAAGAAGATGCAAGGCTAAACAAGAACTACTTCTTCTTGTTCTCCGAAGTTGTTCATCTAGTACAACTAGAAGTATCGTACAAGTAGAAGAAGGTCTCATCTTCTACTCACCTAATATGAAAAGAACTTCTACTGCTCAGTCTTCTAGTACAGCACCAAGAATTCTTTTCCTAAGTGAAAATCAAGCTTTTTCCTAGGAATCTTGGTGTGAATTTGGCTTCCAGATATTGCGGCCCTCCCTTTGGACTCAGATCCAGGTAAGCGGTAAAGGAGTCATGTGATAAGACACCTGTTGTCGTGGAGAAAATGTCGAGGATTTTGTTCATCTGGTCGGTGTGTAGAAAAAAAAGCGCAGTTGAGCAAGATATTGTTCTTTATCGTCATGGATAAGCAATTATTGTGCGTCTTTCTAGAAGATCTAGTGTCTTATGAAACAAATTTCTGGATCATGTGATTTCTTTGTGCTTCTTTCTAGTTCTTGTTATGAGACAAATCCCAGATGATGTGATCAAGTACAGCACGCCGTCGACATGTTCTTCATCAGTAAATCGACGGCGTGCTGTACTTGATCACATGATCTAGCAATATCAGTTGTAAGAACTAATCGTGAGAGTACAATATCAATACGAAAAGAAAATCTGTTAGCATTATCAGGTTTCTTAAGTAGAAAAGTATGATAATGATAACATATTTTGGTTTCATCATATACAACATCATCTTCATCCTCACTAAAATTATTGATTCAAAGTAGCACCGGTGCACGCAACAGCAGGAGTGTTCGGTTTATCGACTACCAGGATGTTCATTTTGAAGCCCTCTTTGTCTTTTATCTTCCCGTATTATTAGATGATTCTAGATCAATAGAAACCTTCTAAAGGTATGATCTACTGCCGAACTGCCACTGTTACGATGCACAAACAGTTACAGTTACTTCTATAAATGATTGCTCTGAAGATTCTTGTAGTTCATGAACAAAATAACTATCCTCAACGACCTCAACATGTACAACAACATTCTAATTTTTCTCGTCGTTGTCCTCATTCTCGATCGAGTCTCTTATTCTTTTGTAGCAAAATTAGCAGACACATTTTGTCATAAATTTCTCCTGTAACAGTGATTGTTCTTGAACCTCCAGGATGGTTTGGGTCTGCATAAACCCCATCCCAAGGGTGGTGATGAGCCTTTCCTCCACCAGCCTTTGCCTTCGCAGCTGGCTGGTTTCCTCCTGCTGCAAATTATTAGACGAGCAGGACCACGGTAAGGCGGAGAATTATCTGGCTTGTGGTCATGATGATGTCCATGTCGATGTGACGATACCTACGTGCTTGGACTAGGACGAGGACCACTAGCTCGTTGTTTTGCGCTGAGTTTACTAAATAAATTAGTAACTGCTAGAAGTAGATGATTTGCACTAACCTTCACGACGACTTACAAGTACGAGCCATTGCCCTAATCATGAATAAGAACAACAGACTGAACAATTAGTTCAGATCATTAGCATTTTTAGCTTAGTTACTAGGTAGTCATAATGAGTAGCAGGCTTAGCCCATTCTCTTGTTGTTTGGACTTGCAGGTAGGCCAACGCACTCGTTTCTTCGTATTCCTCGTCTTGTGTCGTAGTAGCGTGATTAGACGAGTACATAAAAACTACTTTGAGCATCTTCAACTTCATCAGCTTCAGTGAAAATCAAGTCTATTCTTACGCAAACTACTGAGTAGTATAGGAATTACTTTACAATTTTCATGTATCCTGGTAGAAGTTGTACATTAGAGCAGAAGTTTGTTGCAATGTCTACAAGCATCTTCATACTGCATATTCCTATGATCAACAAAGGTAGCATCACGTTTAGTGCCGTAACATGACCTAGAAGCGGACCCTTTGATGATGCACCTTCAACACTTTCCGGTTGTCGCAAAGATTTTTGCGAAGCTGCATCTTCAATAGCGTGGTGCGGCTCTCGTAATATTAGGGATTGAGAGTTGACCGAGCTATCTCGCATAATATCCATGACCTTCCTACTTGAAAATAGATTCAACATGTTCATATTTATTAGACTGAAAAATATGCTCATAGATGATGAGACGAGGCCAACCTCACTTCCAAATGATCATAATTGTACTTGGTCTTCCGTAGTCGTTCTCGTGGCGTCTTCTTTGAGGCCAAGGACACGGAAGTGCTGCCAAAACTTACCTAGGAGAAGGAGTCGGAAAAGAAGGAGTCGGGAACTTCGTCCGGACGAGGTAGAGTCCACACGTGGCTGCAGAACGAAACTGCTCAAACCCTCCTTAGAAGTGCGTTTCCTGTTATTTGACAGGAACAGGACCATTGTTGTGGTTTTGAGTAGTAGTATTGGCTGTAGAACGAATCGTAGACTACAACGCGTGAATGTTGTAGCTCAACGCACGTGTTCTTGTGCTCGTGCTTGTTCAATGTCAAGAATCATTCGGATGAAAAAGAAAACTCTTCTGAATATAAATGGCGCGTTCTTTTGGACCAATCAATGACTCTGCAGGCGGTGGCTGTGCTCAGAATATAAATGCCAAATATAAAGAGGACGAGTGAAACGACAATACTGTAACCATTTCTTTGAATTTTTCGTCTCTAGACAATAAGTTTAGGCATAGGCTCTCTACTTCGTCATGCGAATTGGAGATAAACGGGAGGTGCGTGGCCAGGCGGAGCAGGGAGATGTATTATTTACCAAGGTGCACAGAAAGAGAGGGAGGTAGGGGGGCAATCAAATGGATGATCTGTAGTACGCCACCGACAAGGGCACCCAACAACACTCCTCATGCGTCATCAACATACTCCGACTATGGTCACCACCAACACAGCCTCTACCGATTTCAGAAAGTAGATTCATATTTACAACAGAGCGCACCGACCGCGAAGACTGACCCACATTCACTATTGAGAGACACGACTTTGCCGAGAAAGACGACGCGCTCCTGCTCCTGCTAGTGCTAAGAGATACTGGCAGACACGACACACAGGATGTCTTTAATGCTGAGGCTGGTAGTTTGAACGTATCCCACGAAGTGAAGACTCAGTGTGATCCATTTGGCAAATCCATCCACTACGAGCGTGTCTGTGTGAAGTTAGAAGATTGTGTGTTTAGTACCCTCAACAACATGTGTGTGTCTGGCCTGTTATTACTACTTGGAAGTCATCTGACCTGTTCTTGTCACATAAAAATATTGGCTTGAAGATGTTTTTACTTCTTGTGAGTCAGTCCTCGCATGCATTCATCGTCGACGACGACGAGTCTATTGATTTGTAGTACTAGTGTTCCCGTAATCTCTAATTCTTGTCCCGACGACTAGTTCTTGTGTAGATATTGCATTTGATGGTGATTTTATTGTCAATATTGGTTGGAAGATCATGATGAGACTTGTCAATAATGTTAGCTGAAGGTGAAGCGAGTGATGTATGATACGTTTTTGTTGTTACTACGTTGCCAACGAAAACTCAAAACATGATTAGAGGCTGACTCGACGAAACACGAAGTGCTCTATGTACTACAACTGGTCTCTTCATCTGCAGTTGATGGAAATGCCAGGCAACCTCCACTAGAACATGCTCCCCTTACCGTTGTATTGGTTCTTGTGATTTTTCCCTTTCTGATCCTATCCGATTGGCTGCGGGGAATCATCGTCCATATCAAGGTCGAGCAACGAAAGCCCAAATGTCTATGCGAACCGCGAGCACAACCAGGACGTCCAACTCCTTGTTGCAGTGGGTATACTGTTTAGTTGATGTTCCACTACTTCTACCAGCACTATTCTTTTTCCAGCACAAGCGGCAGACGTTCTGGTTCCACTACTACCTTCTCCATCGCCACTCACTGAGGAGCTAGTCTGTTTCACATCCTCCTGCGGACGTTCTTCTCGGCAGCTTGCACAGAAGTTGTTGTCCCTTCTTGGCCAGGTGATTGCGCGGCCAAGAAATCTTGTCCGCTTCTTGTTCTTCTATTTGTTGTACCACGTCAAAAACAAAATCAAACAAGTAAGAAGCATATAACTACGAAGAAGAATGACGAAATAACTAGATTGCGATTGATTGAGGGCAAGGATTAGCCTAGCCAGTAGAACTAAAGCCAACGCCAAAGCCCGAAAACTGGCTAAGCATATCGCGAACCGGAAGCGTCTACGATGCTCTCCAGTTTGTTTTTACACCGGAACGCATCGGATCAGCAAAGTAGTTAAGGGTCCATAGAAGCATGAGGCTGGCATCAAAAAATAGCACCGAGCTGTAGCGGATATTTCATCTATTTCTTCTAGATTATACATAATATTCTGAGGCAGGCGGGCCTTTAGTCCTAATAAATTCATTTCATTCAGATTCAGTATAGTTGTAGATATTTTTTTCCGAAGACATAGTACCTAGCACCTAGTAGGTCTTCTGTATTCTTGTCCAATACCGACACCCCTACGAGGAGAATCTGATTTTTAGCTAGCAATTGTAACATTCTTGATTGATGAAGATGACATGCGTTCTTGTTGCGTTTTTTTCGCACTACAAAACTTATATTTATAAATCCTTCTCTTCACGACTTCTACTAGGTCTTGATGTACAAACATTTTTTGATTTGATATTGTTTTTTGTGAGTATATTTGCTCTTCGTTCGATGATGCTCGTTGTTTATTTTTGCAGTCGCAGTGAAAAATACAACTGTTCTCTTGTATATAATTCATGTTGTAAACATTCTTGTCCTCACTATTTATAAGTGAACAACGTGGAGTCTTCGATGTAAATGTGTTTTTGTTGCAAGAAAAGAAAAATTGAATAACCGATCAATATTAAGGATAAGAAATGGCATAGACATTGTTACTGTAGTACTAGCTCTATAATTATTCATCGCTTATTTGTGAACGTGGGCGTCGTACTAGTCTCATGATCGAAGAATCTTCTTTCAAGAAAGACAAAAATCTACATAGATACTTTTGAAGAATATCAATAGCCTTCTCGTTGACGACTTCTTGTGTCGTTCCTTCTAGTTCCGCATGTGTCGTTCCTTCTAGTTCCGCATGTGTCGTTCCTTCTAGTTGAAGCGTAGTGAACCTCTCAGATTCTTCTTGGAGCCCACAGGCGTCTCCTTTGTGGAAGCAAGCGCCTCCTGTGTGAAGGCAACCGCGTTCGCCTCGAAGTTCGCTGAGCCTCGCAGATTCTTCTTGGAAGCATGTTCTTAGCGGCAGTCGTTTTCCCCGTTTCTTGGGTGAGATGGAGAGATGCCTTCTGCTGGTTTGTGTAGAAGAAGTACCCCTTCTTGGTTTGTTTCCGCGTTGAATCATACCAAGCAGGGGGTTTCTTCAACAAATATTACAGCATTTTATACTGCTCCACAACGTGTCATACGACAGTCGTGACTACATGGGTGCCACGTATGGACTTTGTATACTCCAGACCCATCTCCATGGGATAGTATCGGTGATTGAATCCAGCCTAACTAAGAAAAAACAAAAAATTCAATACTAGAGGTTTAGAATATTGAAGAGAATAAATTTGATGGCCATCTCCATGGGATACTGATAAACTACTAGCCTTAAGGACGAAACGAGGTAGCTGCAGAAGGATCTCCAGAAGTTGCAGGACCATCTTCAGTTGCTGCAGTCTCCTTTGCATGTGTGTGCGGAAGAAACGAAGAAGCGGGAGGAGCACCTTCTTCCGTTGACGAGGCAGGAGGAGCATGTTCTTCAGATGACGAGGCAGGAGGAGCATGTTCTTCAGATGACGAGGCAGGAGGAGCATTTTCTTCAGTTGACGAGGTAGGATGAGCATTTTCTTCAGTTGATGAGGTAGGAGGAGCATTTTCTTCTGTTGATGAGGTAGTAGGAGCATTTTCTTCAGTTGAAGAGGCAGGAGGAGCATTTTCTTCAGTTGATGAGGTAGAAGGAGCATTTTCTTCAGTTGAAGAGGCAGGAGGAGCATTTTCTTCAGTTGAAGAGGCAGTAGGAGCATTTTCTTCAGTTGACGAGGTAGAAGGAGCATTTTCTTCAGTTGAAGAGGCAGGAGGAGCATTTTCTTCAGTTGACGAGGGAGAAGGAGCATTTTCTTCAGTGGTCCCACTTTTGCAACACGTGGCAGTCGGAGCGTTATATTTTTTAGAGTTTTTTCTTCTCAACAAAATTCAAATTGAGATTCCAGCCTTTGAGAATCAATCCTGTCAAAAATAAACTCGAAGATGAACTGAAGAACAAAGTCAAAGAACTGTGTCTGTGTGAAGAATGTCATGTCATGTGTCCCGCCATGTGTGAAGAATGAGAAAGAGAAAGTCCTCTTGTTGTACTTGTTGTAGCAAACTTATAGAGATCTAGTAGACATAGAGGCAGAGGTAACAATCTAACAAACAAGACCTTATTAAAATTTATTACCACTACTTGAAACAGATGAAAGGTAAAACTTGAACTACATCATAGGTGAAACATCAGGTAAAGCCTTAACTTCTTGCGTTACTGTCTCATCGTTTCCAGGCCCCGCTGCGTCCTCGTCCCCTGGTGCGGCAACTGCAGTCGCGTCGCCCCCTGGTGCGGCAGCTGCAGTCGCGTCGCCCACTGGTGCGGCAGCTGCAGTCGCACCCTCGTCCCCTACTGCTGCCTCATCGTTCACCACCGAGGCTGCCCCCATCACATCTGCGTTTCCTGGTCGTGCGGCAGCTGCAGTCTCCTCGCCTATTGCCGCTGCTGATGGCTCGTCGACCGGTGTCTCTCCGCCCGCTGCCGCTGGCTTTGTCTGCCCTTGTACAACCGCATCTTTGTCCGCGCCGTCGATTTCATTCTCCGTCGCTTTCTTCATCGGGTCCTCCAGCACTGTCGCATGATCGCTCTTCACTTGCGCCTCCCCCTCTTTCACTCCTGGTTCCAATTCTGCGACATTGGTGGCTCCAACAGCTGCGTCAGTGGAGTTAGAGGACCTTCATCCATGACGATAGCCGATATATATTATAACACGTTCTCTTCAGCTCGAAGGGCCAGGTGAAGAATAAGAAAATCCTTGTACTTGTTGTAACAAACTTATATTAGTATTTATAGTATTAGCAATTGCCAGAAATCTCTTAAGGGGCTGCCTTAAGGAGCTTCCTTAAGGAGCTCCGTTAAGGAAATCAGTTTCCTTAAAGAATTTTTATTATAAAAAGTTATTATAACTTTCCTTAAGAGGAAAAAAATTTCCTTAAGGAGCTCCCTTAAGGACAAGCTGTTATAGACTTAGGCTAATAACAGCGGCTCCTTAAGGACCTTGCTAGTACTACGAGGCCAAAGGTGTCACGAACGTGCTAGCGTGTTCGCGGCTGTTTAGTTTGTAGGCTACTCACGTACACCAGCCACACCCGCAGCAAGACACTACGCGCCCACCCCTAGCGAATCGCCCCAACGAACTGCCAACCGCTACCCTTGTCATATATCGCCCAGCGCCTTCACTTTTTTTCAAAAACTTCAGGGAGGTCATTCAAATACAGAGAAAACTGAACGACCTCCCCGAAGTTTTTGGAAAAAAGTTAGCTCGCTCCCCTTCCGCGACTACCTTCCGCGCACAGCAATCGACCACGGCACAGGAGCGCGCGGCAGCCCTTGGAGATGGTTGACCAGTATACTTCTAACCAGCACAAAAGCGGGAGAATTGTAAGGGAGAGGGTGAGCACTTGAAAAGGCAGAGGCTGACGAGCGTGATCATATTGATCGGCGAGAAGGCCAAAGAAATACATCTCGGCGCTTCAAAGTCGCAGCCGTGGAGGATGTCGATGGCTGTGAGAATGATAGCCGTGAGCACTTGCGTGTCTGAAGGGTGGACCCTGGTGAGCATCATCATATCCATGAGAAGACCAAAGGTGTGCAACTTTGCGTGTGAAAGTCGAAGCCGTTGAGGATGTTGATGTCTCTGAGAATGATAGCCGTGGGGACTTGCGTGTCTGAAGGGTGGACCCTGGTGAGCGTCATCATATCCATGAGAAGGCCAAAGATATACATCTCTGTGTATGAAAGTCGAAGCCGTTGAGGATGTCGATGTCTGTGAGAATGATAGCCGTGAGGACTTGCATGTCTGAAGGGTGGACCTTGGTGACCGTCATCAGATCAACGAGAGGGCCAAAGACATACATCTCTTTTTGTGAAAGTCGAAGCCGTTGAGGATGTCGATGTCTGTGAGAATGATAGCCCTAGCCGTGAGGGCTTGCATGTCTGAAGGGTGGACCCTGGGTTGTGAGCGTCATCATATCCATGAGAAGGCCAAGGGTATACATCTCTGCGCTTGAAAGTCGAAGCCGTTGGGGATGTCGATGCCTGTGCGAATGATAGCCGTGAGGACTTGCATGTCTGAAGGGTGGACCCTGGTGAGCATCATCATATCCATGAGAAGGCCAAAGATGTACATCTCTGCGCTTGAAAGTCGAAGCCGTTGAGGATGTCGATGTCTGTGAGTCTGATAGCCGTGAGCACTTGCATCTCTGAAGGGTGGACCCTGGTGAGCGTCATCACATCCATGAGAAGGCCAAAGATATACATCTATGCGCTTGAGTGTCGAAGCCGTTGAGGATGTCGATGCCTGTGAGACTGATAGCCGTGAGCACTTGCAGTTCTGAAGGGTGGACCTTGTGGAGCATCATCATACTCATGAGAAAGCCAATGGCATACATCTCTGCGCTTGAAAGTCGAAGCCGTTGGGGGTGTCGATGTCTGTGAGAGTGATAGCCTTGAGCACTTGCGTGTCTGAAGGGTGGACCCTGGTGAGCGTCATCACATCCAGGAGAAGGCCAAAGGTGTACAGCTTTGCCTGTGAAAGTCGAAGCCGTTGAGGATGTCGATTTCTGTGGGCAAGTAGATAAGGGCGGACCCTGGCGGGCGTCATCATGTCCATGAGAAGGCCAGGCGCATGCATCTCCGTCGGCGAAGGCTGAAGGCTGAGGACGTCGATGCCTGTGCGTGAGAATGATAAATGTGGGCCATTGGTTGCATGTCTGAGGCGCGGACCGTGGTGGGCGTCTTGCGTCATGTCCATGAAACGGCCAAGCTTATAGACACATCCCCGCGCCTGAAGGTTGGGGCTCAGCTTCTGCCTCTGCGCATAGATATGCCCAGGCGTGGCTTTCTCATGGGCCTCGTCCATGACGCTCGCCAGTGTCAGCCTTTTGCCATCCCATGGGTATGCTATGCTTTGGGATTCTCCTGGACATGATCACACTCAAAAGGGCCCAACCTCTGTGCCTACATATGTCCAAGCGTGGCCTTCTCATGGACTCCATGACGCTCAGCGGGCCAGCCTTGGCGCCCATTGGCTTGCCCCTAGCAAGCAAGTTGGCCAAGGCAGTAGCCATAGCGGTAGTCTCCTCACTAGCCTCGCCACAGTGGGGGCCAGCTTCTCAGCCTTGGCGAGCAGACTTGGCGACTTTTTTCGTTTGTCTTTCTGTCTCTTAGTAGTCAACCTGTCTAGTTGTTAACCTATGCCCAGCGCAGCGGGCCCTTGATGGGCCCGCTTTCTGGGCATGTATTTATATAAAGACCTAGTAGAAGACAGTAGACATAGAGGTAGAGGTAAAAACAATCTAACAAACAAGACCGTATTAAAATTTATTACCACTACTTGAAACACAAACAGATGAAAGGTAAAACTTGAACTGCAGAGGTGAAACATCAGGTAAAGCCTTAACTTCTTGCGCTACTGTCTCATCGTTTGCAGGCGCCGCTGCGTCCTCGACGACTGGTGCGGCAGCTGCAGTCGCGTCGCCCACTGGTGCGGCAGCTGCAGTCTCGTCGCCCACTGGTGCGGCAGCTGCAGTCGCACCCTCGTCCCCTACTGCTGCCTCATCGTTCACCACCGAGGCTGCCCCCATCCCATCTGCGTTTCCTGGTCGTGCGGCAGCTGCAGTCTCCTCGCCTATTGCCGCTGCTGATGGCTCGCCGACCGGTGTCTCTCCGCCCGCTGACGCTGGCTTTGTCTGCCCTTGTACGACCGCATCTTCGTCCGCGCCGTCGATTTCATTCTCCGTCGCTTTGTTCATCGGGTCCTCCAGCACTGTCGCATGGTCGCTCTTCACTTGCACTCCTCGGTCCCCTCCTGCGGCATTGGTGGCTCCAACAGGTGCGTCAGTGGAGTTAGAAGACCTTCCAGTTCCATCTTGACGTTGACGATAAACGATACTATAACAAGTACATTTCAGAAGATCGAACGAGACGTGAAAAAGTCAAAAAAAATGGAGGTGCAACATGTTGATCTTGGAGCATTAGGCTTTCCAACCCCCTTCTCAATAAAAGGGTCTCAGGAACAGGATGCTTCTCAGAATGGGAGATGATTTAGATTTGTGGAAGCCTTAGCTGCATTGGGTTCATCTGCTGGCGTGATCGGGGCCTCTGATTTGTTGATCGACGCGTCCTCTGTATTGATCGCGTCGTCTGGTTTGCTGATCGATGCGCCCTCTCGACCTCGACCTGGTGAGTTGATCGCGTCATCTGGTTTGGTCGCGTAATCTTCTCCGTTCATCTGCCTAAGCCTATCTTAGAAAGACCTAGTCAACCCAAGATATTCATCTTCAAGTTCAAGTGCATCTTTAACAGTTCATGTTCACTTCTACTTGAAAATTAACACGTACACGTCAACAAGGTCAAAGATGCTCATGCTTCTCACATTCAGGATGAATTAAGTAGATGCATTCTGAAGCCTTAATCAACATTTTCAGACGAGGATGACGCCGCGACACCCGTCGACGAAGACTTGGCTGTTGTGCTGCCACGTTTATCTGCGGAACCAGTTCGGCCATCGCTATGCCGACGCCCGTTGTGATCTTCAGGGTTCTTATGTCGGTCCCGGTGATGATCCTCGCTGTTCCTATGCATTTGTAGTTCAGCTTTGTCCCCGTCCATCTCTTCTGGTGGGCGTTCCTGGCCTTCCTGATTCCCCGTTTCCTCCATCTCTTGGCGGCGTCTCTCTTCGTCTTCCTCCCTCGCCTTCCTCTCCTTACGGTCACGCTTACGCTGACGTCTCCTCTCCTCCTTTTTTGCCTCTTTCTGTCGTTGTAGCTCATCACGATCTTCGGCTCCGTCCTCCTCCAGTGGATCATCTTGATGTCGTAGCTGCTCATCCTGCCGTTGCCCTTCACTATCTCCCCCGGGCGTACTTTGTAGTTTCTTCTCCTTTTTTTCAGCACGATTACTGATGCTCGTCTCAGCTTGTGGCTCTTCCTTATACTCCTGTTGAAGTTGATGTACTTCTCGCTCATGTTCATTCACGTGGCCATCAGGTCCTTTGCCATCGCCATTCTCCGCCTTCTGCTTCCTCTTTTCCTCTCGTTGTCGAAGAGGCGGCTCATTCTGCCCTACTTCCGCGCTTTGATCCCCTGATGACGTAGTTGCTTCCATATTCTTCTCCTTGTTCTTCTTCTTCTTCCTTTTTTTTCCAGCACTACTTCTACGACTGTTGCTGCTGCTCTGCTGACCAGAGGACTTGTTCTTCCTCTTTTTCTTTTGTCCTTGTAGTTTACTCTCCTGTTGTTAGCGCTAGTTTTTCACTATGCCTGGTTCGGTTGAGTGGGTTCTACTCCTCTTCCCTCCTTCTATTTTCCCTGTTAATAACGGGTGGGGCGTGAGATAACAATAAGTGCCAATGAATTTTATTGGGAAACTAATCGATTTGAGATGAGTCACAGAACCCTGTTAATAAATCAAGGGGGCTCCACTCTTCAGCATAGTTCTCATGGGATAGTGATAATTAAACACGCCTTAAAAATGCTGATCTGGATCATGTGGTTGTCCATCCAAAGCATGGCTCTTCTTGTGGTCGTCATGATACTTTGTATCCAAGAATTCCGCTCTTCCCGGATCAAGACCATGCTCATGGTCCGATCTCGTCCTTCCGCGCGAAGACGAAGAGAACGCACTCGGCCGGCTGTAATAATGATTTGAAGACGAGGACCCCTCGAACATTGAGCTCGACCACGAAGAAGAAGAAGAACCACTGCTGCTGCTGCTGCTGCTGCTGCTGGAAGATGAAGATGAAGATGAAGATGATTCATTGAGATCGCCCATTCGACTGCTATATTCTGATAGAATTTCGCCCACGAGCTCCCCGTTCCTCAAGGCGTGGCGCACCCCACTCCCGACATGCTCTGCCACGTCCTGCATCCCGTCCACAACGTCCCCGCCCACATCTCCCACGCGCCGTAGAATGTTTCCGAACGTGTCCACAATGTTTCCCGTCGCATCCCTAAGGTTTCCGGCCGCATCGTGCATGAGGCCCCCAACGGCTTTGCCCGTGTCCTGTATCCCTTCCCCGACAGTTTCGGCCGCATCTCCCGCCAACTTCATGGCGCCTTCTGCCCCTGCCCCAAGTTGATCAGCCGCAGAACCCGCCGCGGCCCCAAGTTGATCAGCCGCAGTCCCCGCCGCGGCCCCAACGTGATTGGCCGCACCTCCCACCGCGTCCACAGCGTCTTCGGCCGCATCTCCCAGCGCGTCCACAGCGTCTCCGGCCACATCTCCCACCGCGTCCACAGCGTCTCCGGCCACATCTCCCACCGCGCCCACAGTGTTTCCCATCGCATCCACAAGGTTTCCGGCCGCGTCGCGGGTCAGGTCCCCAACGGATTCAGCCGCGTTCTGCATCTCGCCCCCAATGTGTCCCGCCAGATCTCCCGCTGTGTCCACAGCATGTTCGGCATCCGCATGCACCTCTCCCAGAGCGTCCTCACCCAGTCCTACAGCGTTTTCAGCCACGCTGTGCACCTGCTCTGCAGCGTCTTCGGCCACGCTGTGCACCTGCTCTGCAGCGTCTTCGGCCACGCTGTGCATCCCGTCAAGAGCGTCGCCACCCAGTCCTACAGCGTCTTCGGCCACGCTGTGCATCCCGGTAAGAGCGTCGCCGGCAAAGTCCCCAATTTTTCCGAACAAGGTGTCGCTCTCCTTCTGCTCAGCCATCTCCTCCCCGTCCTTCGCATCCTCGCCCCCCGCCTCCTCCTCCTGTTTCTCCTCCTCCTTCCCCTTCTCGTCCTCCGCGTTCGCATTACCTTCTTCTACCTTCGGCCCAACATCTATTTCGCCTTCATCATCGGGAACCCCTCCTCCATCTCCAACTTGCTGATCCCCATCAGCATCATCCCCAGTACCCGCAGGTCCACCTTGTCCAGCACCCTCTTCAACTTGTCCAGCACCCTCTTCACCAACCACGTCTCCATCACCGCCAGGCGGTTTTAAGTCCTCCACGGTCGCCGCTTCCCCATGCACTACTCCACCTGCACCAGCAGCGCGTTCTGTATCCGCATCCCCCTCCTCCGGCGGCGGACCATCCTCCAGCCCCTTCTCCTCCGCCGCCTCCAGCCGTTCCTCCGTCTCAGATCCAACAGCTTCCCCATGCACTACAACTTCACCTCCAGCTCCAGCAGCTTCTCCTTTATTCGCATCCCTCTCCTCAGGGTCCTTCTCCTCCGCCACCGCATCCACGGGTGCCTCCTCCTCCTCCTTCTCCTGCCCATTCTCCCCGTGTGGCTCGCCATCCTCCGCACCCTCGCCCTTCTCCTTCTTGTTCTCCTCCTCCGCCACCGCATCCACCGGCCCCCCCTTCTCCTCCTCCTCCTCATCCTCGCCGTGTGGCTCGCCATCCAGCTCCTGCAGCGCCTCCACCTGCTCATCCTCCACCCCCAGCCGTTCCTCCGCCGCAGCCGCCTCCTGTTCCTCCTCCTCCCCCTGTTCCTCCGCCGCAGCCGCCTCCTGTTCCTCCTCCTCCAGCCGTTCTTCCGCCGCAGCCGCCTCCTGTTCCTCCGCCTCCTCTTCCTCCTCCGCTCCCTCCTCCTTCTCCTCCGCCTCCTCCTCTTCAGCGTTGTCTCCTCCGTCAGCCCTAGGTTGATCCGCGTCGTCCCGCACCTCAGCCGCCGCTCCCTCCGCATCTGCAGAGGCATCGCCATGGCTATGCGCGTAAGTTTGCTCAGCCAGTTCACCGTCTTCCCCACCCACCCCCACCTCCTCCGGCCCCTCCTCATCGCCCTCCCCACCCTCCTCAACATCGCCATCCACCTCCTGTTCCTCCCCCTCCCCACCCTCCTCATCGCCCTCATTCTCATCACCGTCATCCACCTCCTGTTCCTCCTTCTCAGGATCCACCTCCTCAGGATCCTCCTCCACCTCATCCCCCTGTTCCTCCTCCGCCTCCTCCTCCTGTTCCTCCTCCTGCTCCTCCTCCGGTTCCTCCCCCTGTTCCTCCTCCGCCTCCTCCTCCCCATCCTCATCATTTTTCCCTTCTTTCTCCATGACCTGCAAAGCTGCCGCTTGAACGTTCAGTTCAGCCTGCTGGAGCTTCAGTTGGTCCGGATCTGCTTGTTCCGCAGCCTTTTCCGTTTGACCACGCCTTTTCTGTTTCTTTTAGAAGAAGCAAGATGAAGAACTCTCGGATCAAGAAGTAGTACTTACAAGAACAAGATGAAAATTTACAATATGGATGATGTCTAACCCCTGATTGCAACAACTAGTACTAAATCCACAACTACAACATGTAGATGACGTACAACAACAAGGAAGCTCCCGAAGATAGTTATTTTCTTCAAGTAGTAGGAGAAATAAAAATCAGATATCAACATGTTGGTGCCTTAATTCTTACTAAAACCGCTGATCGTCGTGACGGCTCCCCCCACTGCCGCAGCCCGCGCAAACTTCGAAAGGGTACTGGGCATTTTTGTGCTTGATTTGTTGTAACCCTAGCCACTTGTTCTACTGCCCGAGGACCATTACTAGATAGAAAGAACAACTACTTTCTTTGAGGGGCTACACGCTAGAGGTAGAACTAACCGGTTACATCAACAAGTACAACTGTTTTTACATTACTAGACAGATATGACTACAACGACCGCTTCCTTTTTGGTACTCGACCTACATTTTTTCGAGTAGGAGTAGGAGATGGATGTTGGATTGACGCCAAGGCCAAATCTTCAATGCCGTGCAAGAATAGATGGTATTCGCTAGACCTTGTCGTCCATAGATGATGCGAGACGTAGTACTACAAGTACTAGGAGATGGAACAACAAGAACGAAAAAAGTATACAAGCTAAAGGAGGCGGGGTAAGAATGTTGGTTGTAGTACGCACATCAATTATATTATGTGTAACAGGTAGGGGGTGTCTATTCGGAGGTAGGTAGCTGGTCTAGTACTCAACAGCGTAAGTGACCTTTTGGAGGTAGTGCTCAACAGCGTAAGTGACGGTGACTAGACGTAGATCTATGATGACAGATATTAGATATCCACTGACGTATCTGATAACGTTGTGGCAGCACAGACCACTGATGGCATTTTCAATCTTCAAAACCGATTTGTTATATAATCTTCTACTTGAAGTCCTCCTCCACCTAGGCTTTTTTGAGATCATACCGATGGCAAAAGTCTGAGCACCGACGATGATCACGATTCTTCTGCACCGACGATGATCACGATTCTTCTGCTGGTGAACCTGAGCGACCACTTCTACCGACCACCATCTTCGAGCAATCAGGATATCCTCTGCACATTTCGTAGTCCTCGTAGGACTTTTTAACTTCGAGCAATCATTCAGTTCAAGAGTCAGGAGGATATTCTCTGCACATGATTCATCCTGGCGGATGAGGTTGAGGGCATCGTCAGTCTAATTAACCTCGATTTTATTCTTGTTCGCTTTCCATTTTAAGATCTTCGATGAAGATCAGTCATGTATGACCACCGCCCAGCGCTCCTGACCTCGACCTCGTCCTGAGCTCGCCTTGAGGAAGTCGTAGTGCTAGACTCCTCTTCGTACGATTTGTCGTGAAAAAATCTTAGCTACTTAACTCAAACATGCAACTCCTTGATAGTCTTGCTCTGCTGCGAACAGCAATAACAAAAAGAATGGATTGATTTATGTGATTGATATGCCTGGCAAGAGGTGTTGTTAATTGGATAATTCTTAGAAGTCTTTCATCTTCCTCATTTTTCCTCTACTACCTTCTTCGGCACCATTTCCTACAGCTTCTTTGTCATTTCCGGCACTGCTTCGAACAGATCGCATACTAGTCCGTAATCCGCGATCGAAAAGATGGGAGCATCCGCATCCTTATTAAGTGCTACAATTGTCTTTCTTAGAAAAAGTAGAAATAATGGGGACGGAAGGGAAAACGGTTTTAAGACGGTGCGGAGAGTTCCACAAGTTATTTGTTCTAGGAGGTGGTACAGTTTTTCGTTAATATCCATATATAAGTAGAGAACAGGCCAACCACGCCTAATTCCCCACATCAGTCAACATTATGTTCGGCTAATCATCTAGAAGACCACCTTACACTTGCGGGTGAACATGACTTCTTACAACTTCACCTTATCTTGAAGATGGAAGTTACAACTTCACCTTATCTTGAAGATGGAAGAGTTCTTGTAGGAGTAAGACAAAAGTAGAACAAGTATTCGATAAACTGAAATAAGCAAGTAACTGACCAGAATAACCGAGATGCTGAACAAAGAAGAGTAGCCCTCTAAAGCTACCTCCTGCCATATTTCAGTTAGTAACTCGGATATTTTCAGTTTTCATCGAGTATTTATTTCCTTAACTTAGAATCCTTCATGCCAGCTAAATGTTGGATCGCGCCAGAGAGTCCGACAGCAACGTAGCAATCAGGTGCCACGACTTTACCGGTCTGTCCCACCTGGAATCATTGGAAAGATAAAGCTGCACTGTCGCTTACCAATTTTATATACAATGTAGAACTAGAAGTTTTTATATTAGCGTGCTCAGTACTTCTACTAGTTTTACGTTTAGTTGTGTTCAAAATAACACTTTCTTCTGCTCATACCTGCATTTCATTCGGTACGTAGCCTGCGTCAACTGCAGCGCGAGAAGCGCCCATAGCAGCACCCATCTTGTCACATAGAGGTTGGAGAACCGTCTCAAAATTCTCCTTATTCGCCAATCCGCGTCCTCCGGAAACGACGACCTTCGCTGAGCCTAGTTGAGGCTTGTATTAGACGTGGTGGAGGGGAGTACAAGTGGTAGAGGGGAGTAGAAGTGGATGAAGAAGTTTTTTTTACATGTCAGACAGGTAGCATTTTTAAAGACAACGACGAATGTCAATATGTAAGAACCTGCATAAAAGAACCCTACTCGTGCGAGTACTACTAGTGCGAGAAAAAGTGGATTTATATATAAAAGTACTACTAGTACTAGATGTTGAACATCAAATTTAAAATCATAATCATGATATAGTACATTCAAAAAACGAATCAATGTTGTCAGTTGATGTTGCCGGAGAAACGTTAACGTTGTACTTATCGTACTATTTTAACTAAAAATAGCCATAATTGTCGTCCGTTTTGACAGATTCGCTGACAAACTCGCTGATTCCAGAGGAGGGGACAGTGACCGTTTCAATGGTTGTACCGGATGCAGCTGAAGACAGAGTTGAGAGTAGGAAGATGAACAAGACAAGAACAATGCAGTAAGGAGGCTCGGTTAGGTTATGGATCCTTCACAACGAGCCCCACAGGCACCCGCTGCTCGTCTCCGAGGATGATGAAGGAAAAAAGGAAATAATACTCTACAACTCAGTTGTAGAGCCGCATTTTCTGGAGCTTTTTTTGGTACTTTTTTTAACCAGTAAGTAGAAGAAGTACCTCCTGCTTCAGCCGGTTCGAAAGCAGTCGGTCTCACTGTGGCAATGACTACTGGATCAGTGCTCTGAACAGTGGCAATGGCATTCCCAGCATACATAGGCCGCTTAAAAGTAGTTGCATCGATTACTTCCGTGATCTCCGAAATTGGCTGAACGTCTCATTAGAAATAAATAAAAACCTGCTTGAGCTTGATGTTACCTCCCGTATTGATTATCATCCTGAAGATGAAATTGAAAACAGAGAATCTTCGAAGGCATCTTGATGGTCAAAACCCCTCCAACATCCTATTTTTTCATTACAAAACCCTTCCAAGATGATGATTGTGATTCGTTCCCAAGTAATTAATAGTAAGTAAGATGAATTAGAATTTAATCATGACAAGAACAAGCCTTAATCTAACGTCGCTCCGACACGGGGCAAGCAATCCCTCCCGAGGTCACCTGCAGCAGCGAGTATATGCTTAAACCCCTGCGCCTTCTGCAACTCGACGATAACAGGAGCACTAATAAAGGTGGTTGAGGAGCACTTCTGAAGAATGTAGGAATTCGAATTGATTGCGACTGTTCCATTATCCCATTGAAGAAGCTAGGAGATGATCGTGTGCGACGAAGGGGAGGTTGATGACTGTCGACTTACTTTCCAGCCAGAGTCAGTGCTACGCCTACGGCTTTTTTCTAACCCCTGTTATGTACTAGCAATATCATGTTAGAACAAGCAAGAGGTAGTGTGGCCGACATTTACGATTTGGATTTTTACGATTTTTACGATTTACCCTAGCATTACCGTAGTAATACATGACATCCGCAGTTTTGGCGCCTTCCGCTAGGTACGATNTAAAGGATAGATCTGACAGCAGGAGAGGAAATGGGAGCAAAGGTTCTTGTGCTCGTTAAAGGATAGATCTGACAGCAGGAGAGGAAATGGGAGCAAAGGTTCTTGTGCTCGTTAAAGGATAGATCTGACAGCAGGAGAGGAAATGGGAGCAAAGGTTCTTGTGCTCGTTAAAGGATAGATCTGACAGCAGGAGAGGAAATGGGAGCAAAGGTTCTTGTGCTCGTTAAAGGATAGATCTGACAGCAGGAGAGGAAATGGGAGCAAAGGTTCTTGTGCTCGTTAAAGGATAGATCTGACAGCAGGAGAGGAAATGGGAGCAAAGGTTCTTGTGCTCGTTAAAGGATAGATCTGACAGCAGGAGAGGAAATGGGAGCAAAGGTTCTTGTGCTCGTTAAAGGATAGATCTGACAGCAGGAGAGGAAATGGGAGCAAAGGTTCTTGTGCTCGTTAAAGGATAGATCTGACAGCAGGAGAGGAAATGGGAGCAAAGGTTCTTGTGCTCGTTAAAGGATAGATCTGACAGCAGGAGAGGAAATGGGAGCAAAGGTTCTTGTGCTCGTTAAAGGATAGATCTGACAGCAGGAGAGGAAATGGGAGCAAAGGTTCTTGTGCTCGTTAAAGGATAGATCTGACAGCAGGAGAGGAAATGGGAGCAAAGGTTCTTGTGCTCGTTAAAGGATAGATCTGACAGCAGGAGAGGAAATGGGAGCAAAGGTTCTTGTGCTCGTTAAAGGATAGATCTGACAGCAGGAGAGGAAATGGGAGCAAAGGTTCTTGTGCTCGTTAAAGGATAGATCTGACAGCAGGAGAGGAAATGGGAGCAAAGGTTCTTGTGCTCGTTAAAGGATAGATCTGACAGCAGGAGAGGAAATGGGAGCAAAGGTTCTTGTGCTCGTTAAAGGATAGATCTGACAGCAGGAGAGGAAATGGGAGCAAAGGTTCTTGTGCTCGTTAAAGGATAGATCTGACAGCAGGAGAGGAAATGGGAGCAAAGGTTCTTGTGCTCGTTAAAGGATAGATCTGACAGCAGGAGAGGAAATGGGAGCAAAGGTTCTTGTGCTCGTTAAAGGATAGATCTGACAGCAGGAGAGGAAATGGGAGCAAAGGTTCTTGTGCTCGTTAAAGGATAGATCTGACAGCAGGAGAGGAAATGGGAGCAAAGGTTCTTGTGCTCGTTAAAGGATAGATCTGACAGCAGGAGAGGAAATGGGAGCAAAGGTTCTTGTGCTCGTTAAAGGATAGATCTGACAGCAGGAGAGGAAATGGGAGCAAAGGTTCTTGTGCTCGTTAAAGGATAGATCTGACAGCAGGAGAGGAAATGGGAGCAAAGGTTCTTGTGCTCGTTAAAGGATAGATCTGACAGCAGGAGAGGAAATGGGAGCAAAGGTTCTTGTGCTCGTTAAAGGATAGATCTGACAGCAGGAGAGGAAATGGGAGCAAAGGTTCTTGTGCTCGTTAAAGGATAGATCTGACAGCAGGAGAGGAAATGGGAGCAAAGGTTCTTGTGCTCGTTAAAGGATAGATCTGACAGCAGGAGAGGAAATGGGAGCAAAGGTTCTTGTGCTCGTTAAAGGATAGATCTGACAGCAGGAGAGGAAATGGGAGCAAAGGTTCTTGTGCTCGTTAAAGGATAGATCTGACAGCAGGAGAGGAAATGGGAGCAAAGGTTCTTGTGCTCGTTAAAGGATAGATCTGACAGCAGGAGAGGAAATGGGAGCAAAGGTTCTTGTGCTCGTTAAAGGATAGATCTGACAGCAGGAGAGGAAATGGGAGCAAAGGTTCTTGTGCTCGTTAAAGGATAGATCTGACAGCAGGAGAGGAAATGGGAGCAAAGGTTCTTGTGCTCGTTAAAGGATAGATCTGACAGCAGGAGAGGAAATGGGAGCAAAGGTTCTTGTGCTCGTTAAAGGATAGATCTGACAGCAGGAGAGGAAATGGGAGCAAAGGTTCTTGTGCTCGTTAAAGGATAGATCTGACAGCAGGAGAGGAAATGGGAGCAAAGGTTCTTGTGCTCGTTAAAGGATAGATCTGACAGCAGGAGAGGAAATGGGAGCAAAGGTTCTTGTGCTCGTTAAAGGATAGATCTGACAGCAGGAGAGGAAATGGGAGCAAAGGTTCTTGTGCTCGTTAAAGGATAGATCTGACAGCAGGAGAGGAAATGGGAGCAAAGGTTCTTGTGCTCGTTAAAGGATAGATCTGACAGCAGGAGAGGAAATGGGAGCAAAGGTTCTTGTGCTCGTTAAAGGATAGATCTGACAGCAGGAGAGGAAATGGGAGCAAAGGTTCTTGTGCTCGTTAAAGGATAGATCTGACAGCAGGAGAGGAAATGGGAGCAAAGGTTCTTGTGCTCGTTAAAGGATAGATCTGACAGCAGGAGAGGAAATGGGAGCAAAGGTTCTTGTGCTCGTTAAAGGATAGATCTGACAGCAGGAGAGGAAATGGGAGCAAAGGTTCTTGTGCTCGTTAAAGGATAGATCTGACAGCAGGAGAGGAAATGGGAGCAAAGGTTCTTGTGCTCGTTAAAGGATAGATCTGACAGCAGGAGAGGAAATGGGAGCAAAGGTTCTTGTGCTCGTTAAAGGATAGATCTGACAGCAGGAGAGGAAATGGGAGCAAAGGTTCTTGTGCTCGTTAAAGGATAGATCTGACAGCAGGAGAGGAAATGGGAGCAAAGGTTCTTGTGCTCGTTAAAGGATAGATCTGACAGCAGGAGAGGAAATGGGAGCAAAGGTTCTTGTGCTCGTTAAAGGATAGATCTGACAGCAGGAGAGGAAATGGGAGCAAAGGTTCTTGTGCTCGTTAAAGGATAGATCTGACAGCAGGAGAGGAAATGGGAGCAAAGGTTCTTGTGCTCGTTAAAGGATAGATCTGACAGCAGGAGAGGAAATGGGAGCAAAGGTTCTTGTGCTCGTTAAAGGATAGATCTGACAGCAGGAGAGGAAATGGGAGCAAAGGTTCTTGTGCTCGTTAAAGGATAGATCTGACAGCAGGAGAGGAAATGGGAGCAAAGGTTCTTGTGCTCGTTAAAGGATAGATCTGACAGCAGGAGAGGAAATGGGAGCAAAGGTTCTTGTGCTCGTTAAAGGATAGATCTGACAGCAGGAGAGGAAATGGGAGCAAAGGTTCTTGTGCTCGTTAAAGGATAGATCTGACAGCAGGAGAGGAAATGGGAGCAAAGGTTCTTGTGCTCGTTAAAGGATAGATCTGACAGCAGGAGAGGAAATGGGAGCAAAGGTTCTTGTGCTCGTTAAAGGATAGATCTGACAGCAGGAGAGGAAATGGGAGCAAAGGTTCTTGTGCTCGTTAAAGGATAGATCTGACAGCAGGAGAGGAAATGGGAGCAAAGGTTCTTGTGCTCGTTAAAGGATAGATCTGACAGCAGGAGAGGAAATGGGAGCAAAGGTTCTTGTGCTCGTTAAAGGATAGATCTGACAGCAGGAGAGGAAATGGGAGCAAAGGTTCTTGTGCTCGTTAAAGGATAGATCTGACAGCAGGAGAGGAAATGGGAGCAAAGGTTCTTGTGCTCGTTAAAGGATAGATCTGACAGCAGGAGAGGAAATGGGAGCAAAGGTTCTTGTGCTCGTTAAAGGATAGATCTGACAGCAGGAGAGGAAATGGGAGCAAAGGTTCTTGTGCTCGTTAAAGGATAGATCTGACAGCAGGAGAGGAAATGGGAGCAAAGGTTCTTGTGCTCGTTAAAGGATAGATCTGACAGCAGGAGAGGAAATGGGAGCAAAGGTTCTTGTGCTCGTTAAAGGATAGATCTGACAGCAGGAGAGGAAATGGGAGCAAAGGTTCTTGTGCTCGTTAAAGGATAGATCTGACAGCAGGAGAGGAAATGGGAGCAAAGGTTCTTGTGCTCGTTAAAGGATAGATCTGACAGCAGGAGAGGAAATGGGAGCAAAGGTTCTTGTGCTCGTTAAAGGATAGATCTGACAGCAGGAGAGGAAATGGGAGCAAAGGTTCTTGTGCTCGTTAAAGGATAGATCTGACAGCAGGAGAGGAAATGGGAGCAAAGGTTCTTGTGCTCGTTAAAGGATAGATCTGACAGCAGGAGAGGAAATGGGAGCAAAGGTTCTTGTGCTCGTTAAAGGATAGATCTGACAGCAGGAGAGGAAATGGGAGCAAAGGTTCTTGTGCTCGTTAAAGGATAGATCTGACAGCAGGAGAGGAAATGGGAGCAAAGGTTCTTGTGCTCGTTAAAGGATAGATCTGACAGCAGGAGAGGAAATGGGAGCAAAGGTTCTTGTGCTCGTTAAAGGATAGATCTGACAGCAGGAGAGGAAATGGGAGCAAAGGTTCTTGTGCTCGTTAAAGGATAGATCTGACAGCAGGAGAGGAAATGGGAGCAAAGGTTCTTGTGCTCGTTAAAGGATAGATCTGACAGCAGGAGAGGAAATGGGAGCAAAGGTTCTTGTGCTCGTTAAAGGATAGATCTGACAGCAGGAGAGGAAATGGGAGCAAAGGTTCTTGTGCTCGTTAAAGGATAGATCTGACAGCAGGAGAGGAAATGGGAGCAAAGGTTCTTGTGCTCGTTAAAGGATAGATCTGACAGCAGGATATGAGTTTTGTGAATACTTACCTATTTCCCGGAGGAGTAGCCCCTCAGTTGTAAACAACTTGACGTCGAGCTGCTGGAAATTGACTATACAAGAACAAGTGCATCTATTTGATTAAGTGCTCTGGGGAGGTGATCCCTCGTTAAAAATTAAGTACTCTGTGGTGATCGCTCGTTGAAAATCGAGGAGTTGTAGGTGTTGGTCTGTTTAGCAAGATCGCTCCGTCTTTGCGACGCTTCCGCTGCTACTTGGCCTCCAGAATTGTCGCTAAACACCGACGACTGAAATGTTGGATTGCTACGCCGCATTGCTCTGGTGGTATCCTTCTTGCTGTATAAGAGAAAGAGCCGATGTACTTACTATGCGCCTGTTCACAAGTAAGCTACCAGGTAGAAAGAGCTGGTCGGCTGATTTGCCCAGGTGGCTGTCTGCTCTTTTTAGCGGCCGTATGCTTTACAGTCGTTCCCTCGTGAATCGTAATCGTTGGTGCTACCTCAAAGTGATTCTAAGTAAGTATTCTAAAAACTCTATGAACTTCGTCCTTAATATCAAGTCTACTGTTAGACAGCGTGCGCGTGATCAAGAACTTGACCTACAGAAGTTTCCAGTCTACCTCATCTACGAGAACTAGGCAAGTGGGAAGTGGTGCTACCACGTTCTTGCACCGTTCTCTTGAAAATCCTTCTTCTAAACGTTTTCTCTTTGCATATGATTATGTGTTGATTCGAACAGAGCATCAAATAACATCGTTTTTGACTTTTTTCCCTGATAAATATTTATGAGTCTGTCAGACAATCGTGCCGACGCCATTATTTTCGGCAACAGCACAAGTTTGCATAAACCACGTTTGACTGTGTCATCTTTGAGTGGAAATGAACTTTTTCTAATTTGCTTACGACAGTTTTTCACACGAAGTAGAACGACAGAAACTTCGATGTCGCTCGTGCCTTATCTTATCGTCCATCCCAATGGCAGGAGCGGCAACATGCTGGGGAACAAATAGAAATAGACCGAATAGAACAACAAATCAGATGCTGCCTTTATCGAGGCGGTGGTCTCCGTATTCGTTGAGGACAACAGGAAATGCTCATTTCTTCGAACCCTGTAACAGCATTCTTGTCCTTCACGAGTTTTCGTCATCGTACATCAAGTTGAAGCAAGGAAAGAAAACTGTAAATAATCTACTTTTAGTTGTACAATAAAATATTAGGTTAATATTCATACATCATACGTACTAGTACTAGGCCAATTCTTTTGTTCATCATTGGATACTGGAGCTGGCACACACTGAAAATCATCATAGTGTTTTCCTTCCACCGCAGTGGCGGTCGGAGTTTACAACAGATGCAAATCAAAGGTCTTGTTCCTATTTCTGCTTCCTCAAAGAACTTTTGCTTCGACTATTAGAACTAGTCCGATCCATCTGCAATTGTTTTTCTGCGGTCGCCAAAGCTGCTTCGAGTAGCCTAGAGGGCCCTCCGCCAGTCATAGTTGTAGGTGTGGGCTGAAAAACAAGCACTTGGGGATCCAGTGGAGAGTCTTCCGGAGCTCTCCGTAGATTGCTAGTGCTTCGTCGCTGATTTTTTGCTCCAAGATTACTTCGGGATGAAGCGGAAGCTGCCTTCGAAGAAGAATGAAGAGTACTACTAGACAAACCCTGAGCTCTACCTCTAGAGCTGCTTCCACTTGGAGGTTTTAGATTTGAAGCTCTGCTGGACTCAGCAACAGCTGTACCACCAGACGAAGCTGAAGATGTGGTAATTGGAGGAGACGGCGATGGACTCGGATCAATACCAAATTGCAGATTGTTGCTAATACAGACAGCTTGTGCTGTTCCTTGTGATAGTGCTGGTCCAGATGAAGCGGGTGGGACAAGTCTAGTACTCCCGGAAGCAGCAGTACTCGAACAATGCTTATGTTGATATTGTTTTTGTTGGAATAAGGAAGATGTTCCACCATTACCAGTGCCAGCACAACTAGGTGGTGCAAGAACTAAGTCCGCACTACTTGCTGCAGTTGACACGATTCTTCTCGACGAAGTCGCAGTTCTATCTGGTGGCGCAAATAAGCAACCATTTCCAGTCGCAGTGGCCTCGTGATCTTCGGGCTTCGCGCCTAGTGACTTCAGACTCGTTGAGGATGTCAATAACTGAACAGGCTTCATTTGTTTCAGACTTCTCACTAGAGGTGAGGTCTGAAATTGTCCTAGTACCATCTTACTTGTTTCTCCCTGATTAGTGTTGCAGAAGAGGCTGTTCTGATTCACTAGTCCTGCTGCATCTACTCCAGGTCCAGCATGACGCTCCTGCCCATCCAAACCTTCTACTATTAGAGGTATCGGGAATTCATCTCAGGGATCATTTGGGTCCCTTTTTCCTCTTGTCTTTCTCTTCCAGATGACTTTGGAGATGAATTCCCTACACCCATAATACTAACGCCCTGATTGTTCCCGTTCTTGTTTCCACCCCCTGTTCAACAAGGCTACCGTCAGCGTGAGCAATGCTAGAAGCATCCCTAGAAGACTGATGAACAAGGTGCTCACCGGTCTGACCTGCTCCGCTGCTAGAAATAGAAGATGAAACAAGTATCTGATGTTCCAGGGTCATTTCCTTCAATACGCCAGAAGCCTTATCCCGACAAGCCTGCCATCTCTTTCGTAGCGTCGCAGAGAATTAGAATGGGAAAGAAACTTTTCAAGCGCTCTCCTATGGAGTCAGTCACAAACACCAGTGTTCATGGGCACGAACACAAGTAGAAGTGGTAGGACAAAGTATGAGTAGAAAACGGAAAATGATCTCATCTATTCTATCAACATTACAACTACATGGTAGAGAGAGAGACTCAGATTCATTGTTCACGTTATATATCCTTATCTTATCCACCACAATGCATAAAACTTCTTTCGCTCTTCGTTTAATCTATCTGCCGCATCGCTCCTTTCCCTGTTGGCTAAGCTGCAGTCGTCTGCGAGCTTCCGCACCTTACCTTGCTGACGAGCATGCCTTCCAGAATTCAAATGCATTCGGCCAAATGCGGTTGAGGTTAGATCCTACGACAGACGAAAAGACCACGACGTCTCGACAGGATGGATAATTATGATCTTCCTGCTCAGAATGAATGTAGAGTATTCTCCTCGGCGTTCGCGTATGTAAGTACTTTTTTAACACTTGGTCGAAGCACATCATCCTCCAGCACATAATCCTAGTTGTAGTAGTTGTATTTCTCTGGTGTGAATCTTCATCAAACAATCTTAATCATAGCTTATCCATGACATCCAACAATCTTAATCATGGCTTCAACAACAACAACAACATCAACATTCATTAAACATCAATCCTACCTCCAACTCATTCCTCGCTTGTCGCAGTTGGGCTTCCATGTACTTAGCCCGTTTGTCTAGACGGTCCACAGCTGCCTCCGCCTCTCGTATACGATCCTTCACAGCGGTCATTTGACTCTGTATTCGCTGTCGTGTCATTGCGTTGCGACCTAGCTGCTCGTCTTTTGTTGCGGGAGGTGGAGGAGGAACCGATTCTACATTTCTCTTTTTCTGATGAATCATCTCCGTTCTGGATCTCGTGTACACGCTAAGCTCCTCTTCCTGCTGGTGATATTGCTGAGCGGCACCAACGTGGACGATTATTTTTTGCTCCTGCTCGTCTTGTTCCATTTTTGGGAGACCAGCAGTAGAAGTAAGATCTCCTTGTTGAAGCACATGCGAGGACTCTTGACCTTGATCGACCCCTAATGTCAAAGTTTTGGACGTCGTCTTGTGGTTGTCATCCTCATGCTCTAGTGCCACAACTAGTGCATCTACTTCGGGTCGTTCGGGTCCTTCTTGTTTATGTAGCTGCAATGTGCTCGCTTCATCGTGAGTAGTTTGTAGTGGGTCCACCTCAGATGGACCGTGTTGATCTGCTGCTATTGGGTGGAGACCTGCCTGTTCCTCCGGTACCTCGATCTCCCTAAGCGTTTGCAGGTGACTACAATGAGCTTGTTCTCCATGGTCATCATGTGCGACCTGAAGAACTAACGCTTGCTGAAAAACAGGATGACTATCTACTTCGTGTTCATCATCATCATCATAATCATCATCATACGGCCCTACTGCTAGTCATCCTCTACTAAAACCACTGATTATCTTCACGACTAGCCATTCCAGAAATCAAATACATAGAATTCTTAGAAGTACCGCTGTAGCCTGCTTTGCCATCGTTCCTTTGCTGAGTTGTTCCTGATGTGGCAAAACGGTCTCGGTACTTTCTAAGCTCTGTTTTGATGCTCCTGCTGGTACAGCACCAGAAGTCATTATATCCTGGGTTGATGCAGGAATGCCATCGTGGGTCGTGGTCTGTGTTGGCTGATGCAACACTGATCCAACTGGAGGCACCGAATGGAGAGCTGACATCAAGGTTGCTGAGGTACTTGACGAGGCAGAGTTGTTCTTCATCACACAACTGGATGTTGCGACGTGTTCTTCGTACGGTTTCAGTTTGATTTTGCGAAAGTCGTTCTTTGTCGACGTAGCGAATAACAACGGTGCTGGCACTGGAGGATGAGCTCCAATAGCTTGAGGAAGAGGAACTCCTGTCGTGGTCATTGAGTTAGAAAAGTCATTTCTATTTCTTCACGACTATATTTTATAAGTAAGGGATGAAAGTCACCAATGTCCAATGCTTAATTGTCACTTTGAATTTTTTTAGTTGCCTTGATGTACTTGTTGATCTTGTACTTGTTTAGACACGAACATGATCATGAAAGATCATGATTATTTATAGGAATCCTGTTGCCTTAAGCGGAGGTCGGAAATCCAAGGTAGGGGTACTGTACTGATAGAGGTGAATCCCCGTCGTGCTAGTACTGCTTCCAGAAGCAGTGTAGTTTCTGTTTAAGCCACTTGCTGAGGAGGTAGACAACATATGAAACCAAAATCTGTTATCATTATCGTACTTTTCTACTTAAGAAACTTGACAATGATAACAGATTTTCGTTCCATACAACATGCCAGGTTGATTCTGCCTCTGTGGTAGTAAAGTAGCACTCCCACGACTTCCTCCTAGCAGAGGGAAAGTAGAAGCAGGTGTTGTATAATTTAGTATCCGACGTTCAGAGGCACTACGCCGTACAACGCGGGTAGTCGTCGTGCTGGTCGTCGTGGTCCCATTTGCATGTGCTCCTGCTCCGTCACTAGTTGTATAATAATTTGCAGTCGTCCCCTGCTGAGGTAATGCAAATGGAGAAGTGTTTCCTGCAGCAACTGCAGCTACTTGTTCCGGCTGAGCTTGAGATTGAGGAACTACAGCGGCTGAAGCGTTCACCACCGACGCTTCAACAGTATGTACTTTTTCTGCAGCAGCAGAACCAGACGGGCCAGACTGTATAATCGTCCCGCCTGCCTGTGATGAAGCTGTTGGAGGGACCAGCAAATTAGTCGTACTACTTGTGATATGATAATTGTTCTTTGTCGTGTTCCACAAAGTGGAAAAATCTTTCAGGCTAGCACTCCGACTCTGCAATCGCATTGGCATCTGCGGGGTCAGTGAGCAATACGAGTTGTTGTAAATCTTTTTGACAGAATTGCTTGACAATGTTGTAGAAGATGAGCTCGAAGATGTGCTGCTGGCGAAACCACCGTGCTGGTGCTGTTGCTGATAACTATAGCAACTCTTTTGCCCCCCGCCCCCGTGTTGATTCGTTGAAGACGAAGAAGCTGTCGCACTCGTTCCAGTTGTCCTTGAATTTACACCATCCTTCGCCTGTGGTTCCTTGAGAAGCGACTGCTCCATCTCTAACTGGACACGCCTTCGTATCTCTTGTTCAGACTGCTGTTGGCTTCCACCAGGTTGAAGCACCGGTCTAGGCTGTGTTAGTCTAGGTGCTGGAACACTCAGCATCCCAGCAAAGCCACTAGAGCGCGTATCACGACTTGTAGAACGACCACGCATCATTTTGATGATTTTTTATGCTCGAGGCTGTGGTGAATCTAAAGTGAATCTGAATCAATACATTTCTTCTAAACTGTAGCTCTCGTCGTTGTAGTCAACTATCGATGTTGTACGTGTACTTTAAGATATTTCGTACGACTACTTAGGCACATCAATGCCGATTTCAATGTTCTTGTAAAAGAAATTGGTCTTGATTAATCAAATCACCCTCTTCAAGAACATCATATTAGTCTTGTTCTACACCACAACAACTCTTCAACAATATAGCGATGGTACTTTGGTGCTCGATCTCGTCTTTCAGATAGAGTTCATTCTATTGTTCTTTCCCGTCGAATGGAAAATCCGAGAAAACATTGTGCCTTGTCATCGGAAGTGAACAGCCAGCACGTGCCTTCGCCTTGCAACCATAGCAATTGCGCACGCTCTTGGGCTACCTCGACAACACTGAAGGCAAATCATACTGTGTTTGTGTCCTCTTCTGGAAAAAACTATGCGAAAAGTTGTCAAGTCTCTGAAGGCACAGGCATGATAGATGAAAAGATCATAAGATTATCAAAAAGGAGCTCTTTGGTTCGTACTATACTAGTACAGCCACTTCTAGTGCAACGACGATACTAGTCTTCTATTAGATGAATGATGCCGATCCTGTACACGCAAGCTTGGCTTTTCTGTACACGTCGCGCACCGCAGTAACAACATAGAAAATAAATATCCTAATCTTTACCCAGACTAGCATTTGCAACGCAGAGCGCTGATGTACAGGATATCAAGGAGACACAAACAAAAAAAATATCTACAAGAAAACCCAAGAAGACAAAAACAGAACCAACAGTGTACTACAGTACAATGTCGAAGATATTGTGGTGCTAGATGTAGCCCCACTCTTCTCCGCCAAGACGCGATCTATGACTTCTTGCTTTAGAGCTCAAAGCGTTTCACTTCTTCCCCTCATTTCTTCCGTAACCTGAGAAAGAAACCGAAGAAAATGACCCTTGGAAATGAATTGTGCTAAGCCATAATTGCTTGATCCTCTCAAGCTCCGCCTCTGCGGCTGCCTCGCGTTCTTGCGCGGCTTCTAAGGCCGCTTGCGCCGCAGCTAATTTGGCCGCCCAAGAGGTGGCCTCTGCGCCTTGCGTACCTGCGTCAGCCTCTAAGGCTCGCAGGGCTGCCCGTTGCTCCTCCAACGCCTTCGCAGCAAGCTCGAGTCGGAGGTTAGAATGTACTAGTAACAAGCACTAAAAAAGTTTCATTGGCGAACGCGAGGCTAGCCGTCCACATCTTTACCCGTTGGTATTTTTATCAACTCTGTTCTACTTCTAAAAAGTTAAAGTACAACAACTAACACGTCCTCTCATAGGGTAGATTTTATGAATGGAAATCACAAGATCACAACATCTATTTCTACAACTACATCAACCTCTATGATATCGGTGGAGCACTCCTAACTAGCAAACAAAAAATCAAAAAGGTCAGGTATTCCAAATATCTAATAAAATTCTAGTGGCCACGTTTATATTAGGATCCGTCTATTTTAGGCGCCGCGCGTTCGTCCTTCTGCCCTGGAGGTCTTCTCATCTATGGCGGCCGAAGCCAGTGCGTGCCTCAGAGAAGTGCTCGGTTCTCGCGCTATGTGCACCCACTAGTTCGCTCCAGGGTACCGGTTCACCAAACTAGTGCACAGCGCGAGAAGTAAGACTAACTATATCCGTATCTTATCCCCAAGCTTTATATCTAGTGCTAGGCCTAACTTGTTCTGTGTAAATGTTAAGTTTCTCGCACTCGTTGTGCCTCTTCCTGAGTTTCACTCTTCAATCCTTATCAGAGAGGTCAGGACATAAAGAGATCATCTATTCACGATAGCCATCATTGGCTGGTCTTGAATACCCAGGAGTGCGAGAATCGGGGCAGCGAGAGGCCCGATCTCTTTGGCCGTGTTTGTGTGCGTCTTCTTCAACTCCTCGACGTGGGTCGGCCCTCTCTGACGCATATCCGACGAATTCAACGCAACTACAGCGCTGAGGAGTCTTCGAGTTCGCTTGTCTGAGTCTGTTGGAAATGGCGCCACCTGAGGACTCTGATCCGACGCGCGAGCGTACGCCGAAAGCTCAGGGCTTTCCTCCAATGCATCCAGGATGTGCGACGGCACAACACGACGAAAGTGATCCAACTCCTCAACTCGTGTATTGCGCTCAGGAAGTGCAAGCGCTTTCTTCACACGTACACACTCTTCCGCAATCGCGTCGATAGTCAATCTCCCTAGCATGACGGGGGGAGCGTGCGCAGTCGCCGGAGTGATGTACAAATTGCGCCACGTTTTCAGAGTGCTGCTCCCTGGAAGCACTAGTGAAACTGCCATTAAAGTTTCTTGCATCGTGAGGGCCTGAGCGATTGCAATTGGAAGCGCTTGCTTCTCTACTGCGTCCTGACGCTTTACTCCAGACAACGAACAGCCCATAGAGAGCCCAAAGGAGTAAGATAGTGTCTTTCCGTCCTTAAAGCTGCTCGTCAAGGAACTAATTACTTCACGCGCCGTCAACTTCTCAACTACTATCTTGTTGAGAATCAGCGCCGTCGACAGCAAGCGAATCTTTTCCAAACCGCTAGTGATATCGCCGCCCGTGGGATTCTGAACTTTCAGACGCGAAAAGATCTCATCGACGTCTGTCAGATCCACGGCAGGATGAGCAATCAACTTCGCGGTCGGATCCAAAGTATTCTGAAATCGCCTGCGGGCAGTGTCTTCGTCTTGCAAAAGACGAGCGCGACTCACATATTCGCTCGCACTGGCAATTGCAGACTTTTGCTCTGTACTGAGCAGACGAAGGTGAACCAGTTGGGCCACTTCCTCATATCTATGCGCTCCTAGCATAGTCTGCTGAGCAATGAAGTTCGAGAGTTCCCCGATCTGTTGCCCCATCTGAATTGTTGCATCCAGAGAAGTTGAGTTTTGTTCAAAAGTGGCCAGGCCACCGGCTATAGGCGCTTTGAGATCCGACATTTTCCACGGCCCTAGTCCCTAGGTGTATGTATACAACGCGTAAATCGTTGTTACACTTTACTTTTGGAGCGGACAAGTGAAGATAGGAAAGCTTGAGCCAAAATGACCTCTATGATCATAATATCCTCCGCCGCTCTCAGTGCTTCCTTTGCTGCAGTGGCGATCTCGGTTGCTGCGGCTAACTCTCGTTCGCGCGCAAGCCTTTCAGCCTCTGCATCAGCGAGACCTGTGCGCGCCGCGTCCACACCGCCATGCTCCGTTGCGTGAGCACTTTCTGCAGTAGACAGAGACTCAGAAGCGGTATCGACACTGGATGTCGCGGCAACGACCTGTGATGTTGTTGATAAAGATAGAGAAGCGGCACTAGTCGACATCTCGACTACCAGACACCGATTCATTATGAATCTGAGTCGTGATCGTGATGATGATGTCATGTGCTCAGCATTCTGCATGGCTCCACCGGTATTTGGTAACCTGATTTTGATCATAAGGAAAACAAGATGAAGGGAATCCTTGTGATCAAATTATTAGGCTACCAAGAAATACCAGAACCATACACATTCAAGATCATCAAAAAAAGACAATCTTCTATTATTAAGTACATCAGCTTCCTCTTTCGCTGTTTGGCGTTCTGCTTCCGCTAGTGTCTGCGCGGTATCAGCGGTAGTCTTTTGCGCAGCCTCGACCTGGTCCTCTTGCATTTTGACTCGATTCAACTCCTCTTCAGTCGCACCCGGTGGGATTTGGCCTGGCGCTAGAGTTGTTGTAGACGTCGTAGTGGTCGTGGTTGTGGAAGGAGAAGGTGTTGTACGTGTGTCTTCAGCACTCGCAGTAGCAGATGTAGTGGACTCAGCACTTGTACTGTCATCAACCGGAAAATCCTCAGCATATTCATTGGCGGATTGTGTTAGAGCTGTCCGTCATTCATCTTTCAAGTGCAGCTGCCTTGAAAAGTGTGCTGGGGGAGGCCTTTTCTCTCAGCTAGGTGGATGCTCCCCGTCCATACGTTATTTCAAGGATGCGTCGTCCAAAGATGTATCTATGTATTAGGCCGTTTAGGTACAAGAACAGCCTTAATTGTACAGGTTCTCCACTGGTGACTGCCTTAGATGTTGTACGGAGAAATGTGTTTCTGTGCTGCTGCCCGTCTCCTGGAGATGGAGCTCCTTTTTGCTCTTTCCTAGTCGTGGTGGCAACTGATGACGGTGAAGGGGTAGTGTTTCTTGTGCTTTTGACCACAACATTCTTGTAGTTGCTAGCCGTCGGCTTCACAGCTACAGGGATTGCCGTATGAATTGGCCTGTCATGAGGATCGGTTGGAGGATGGATGGGTGGGCGTTCGCCAATGCCCGCTACGCTGGCAGGTGGACGTACTTCTTGTGCTTGACCATTTCTAGCACCACCTTGCGACGTTTCTGCATTCTCATCTGCATTCTGCTTGTTGGCCTTGACTGCTCGTGCTCCGATAACACTTTTATAGATTTTCCGAACAGCATCCTGAAATTTTTCCTTGCCTCCAGTCCATTCCGATTCTGTCACACCTAGTGGCGCGACACGATAGGCGAGAGCACCAGGCAGAAATAGCAGAAGGTAGAGAAGAGGCAAGTAGAAGCGCACAAGAAGCAACATCATTCTAAATGATCTCCCTCTAGAAAAGGAGGTACGTCATTTTTCATCCAGTGCTTGTTGCAATACTTCTGCTCTCATCGTAGTAGACAGCAGTGACTTTCTTGATGGGGTCACAAGAACACAAACTCACAAAGCAAAGGGCGAAAATAAGAACATCATCCTAATCCAGGCACATCCATTTTTAATTTTTTTTCACAAGAAAAAACAACATTTTCCACTAGTTTGTTCAATGTACTTATGCAAACGAGGACTCCATTTACGCTAAGAGCGACCAACATCAAAGGGCCGAGGTTTGTAGTTGTCAATAACCTTCCATTCGCAGCGAGACGCAGAGACAGAGATGAGTTCCAGCTCGAACTTCTAAAAACCTCTTGGTTTACTTGGTGTAAAAAGTAGCTCACCATACAGGTACATTATGACATAAGGAGCTAGCTCATCATGATGCAATATCGATATGGCCTCAGGACCTATCAAATCCCGCCCACAAAAACAAAAGGACAAAGAATGAATGTACTTAGGAGAGCATCGACGTCAGTCAAATTGAAGTGATGAAGATTCACAAGAAACCACTTGCATTGAGATGACTATAGATGAACTGCTTCATGTTCATTATTTTTCCAAATGCAGCAGTGCTCAACGCCGTGCTTAAGTAAAACAACAAGCAACAGCGAGTTGTAGTGGTGCATCTAGTTGTTCGAGATCCGGGAGTACGCCGTTCTTAGTGTCGTTAATTTGGTAGTGCTAGTGTTCAGATTGATAGAGGTATGCAGTTGCATGCAATCGAGAAAGAAGAAACGTTTATTCTCGTTAAGTGTATCTATAATTGTCGTCGATCTGATTCATCGTGATGTGTCATCGATGCCATGTGGGCACCCGCCCAAAAATTGAAGAACTGTAAGTGTAAGTCAATAACAAACTCCTGAGACAGAGAGAGAGCAGTCACTTATACTGTATCATTTTTGTTGTGTTCTTGAAGTCACTTAATGGATCAATGTTGTGTTGAAGTAGAACTTCTACTTCTAGGACAACAAATTATTGAAGATTACCCTACTTGTACATGTATGATGCAGCTGCTGCGGCAGCTGCAGCAAGTGTGACACCCACGGCTGGAGCAGCTCTTCGGGAAGCCAAAAAATTTTCACGCTGTTGCTTCGGAACAGCAGTGAGGGCGTCGTCGTCGGTGTGGAGGACCTGTTGTAGTGGTCGGCTTTGGATAACCACAACGCATATTGACTTTGACAAGAAGATTATCATATTAATTTCGAGTTGTTTGGATTCGTGTTCTCGTGCTTATGAGACACGGAAAATCATGAATGTGTTCATGTTCTGGTGCGTACTCTTGAAAAGGAACAAGATAAACGTCCTCTCGTAACCCCAGGAATCAAATCAAACAACCAAAAATACCTCGTCTTCGTGTGCATCCAAAACCAAAGTAGCCGTTTGCTCGTTCGAAGAATTCCTAATCCTACCCTCGACGTTTGGTCCTATCAACTTAGCATCCCTGTGATCTTCGGTGGTCGTTGGCAGGCACACACGATTCTGCTTCGAGGAGAACGGAAATCTCCTAGCAACTTCGTGCTCGCCAAAACAAGGAAAATTTCGGCTACCCCAAGGAGCAGCCACACCGTCGTTGACCTGTAGTCGGTAATGGTCGCTTTTGGTATTATTTAACATGTTGCTGGTTCTTCAGAAATTCCATCGAGGTTCGAGAAGTTGTTCTTTCTTGTTCTTCTTGAAGCTTGTTCAACATAGGCTTTTTTGTATAATCGTACATTCATACATCGACACTGTTCTACAACTGGTGCAAGTATAGAACAAGTACTCGAAAGTAGATACAAAGAGGTCTGAGCCAGACACACGCTTGACGGAAAATAAAAAAATCCACATACATTCTACTATTACAAGGAAGTACAACTAGTACTACTAGTAATTCAAACAAAAATCAAAATAATACGTCATGATAAAAGCCTTGTAGCTCTTCTTCCCGTTCTCCAAATCCGTAATCATAGCCATACGCTACCTCATCGTCGACGTCATTGCCAGCAGGCTCGGGAGTGATCACCGCTCCTCTTCTCCCAACACAGGAGTTGCATCCATTTCCCAAATCGGGAAACAGAAGATCGTTTGGGTGGTAAACGAAAGTCATTCCTTCTCCTGGAGGCGGATTTCTCCAAGTCTGCGAAAGTTAGACGGTGAAGGTCTGTTTTAACAACATCTGATGATCTATCATGTTGTAGGTTTGTGAAGTGCTTTGAAGAACCCCACCCACTACTTGATCTTCGAGCACGAGGAGAACGTTGGCCAGCATAGAGTAAAAACAAAATCCTCAATTTTCAATCAACAAACAAGCTTTGATGTTGAGACAGAGACAACATACAGTGCAAGAACGCTCGTCATGCTCCTCATGTTAATCCAGCAATTGCAATTTTGCAATTGGACGCTCAATCTATCCCTTTTTATTTCTCAATGTCAAGAAAGAGTGATACGTGATTGTGCCTTAATCAATACCAGCAGCTAAGAGAAGGACCAGGGTGGTTAAGCAGGGATGTTTCGTCACCCATCTTGACACCAACGAAGATGCGCCGGATGACGGCTCTGACGAGACTGAGCTCCTAAAAGTTGCTGCCCCTACCTCGTCATCTACTTTCATCTTCTCATCTTCCTCACTCTGCATCTGCTTTTCAGCAGGGGCTGCGACGATCCTCTTCGCTGCTATTCTCTGATAAAGGTATTGCAACAATTGCTTAGCTTCTTCAGCCTGGTCCAATGTTGCCTCGATCTCGTCTTGTTCAACTTCTTGGTCTAGAACCTCCACTTGTACTTGTTCAACATTTGCTTTTGCTACTCGATGTATTTGCTCCCCAGGTTTCAAGGCTTTTGGTTTCGAAGTTGGGATAGGAAGACCCATGATCTGTTCTAGAAAGTTTCGAGTCTCTCGACCTCCACTGCCGAAGTATGGACACCAGGCTTCCGATTTAAGCTTTCTCGCCATTTCGTCTGCACACTCTTCCATTTTTGTATACTCCTCGGAGGCTTCAAACTTCCAGGAAGGGGCTGCATGATCCGACGCACTACTTGTGGAAGAACGCTCTGTTACACCCGGCAGTTTTAGTTTTTTGAGGACGTCTTGAAGATCTTTTAAGGCAGCTGCACCCGCCTCCGCGTCATACTCTGGACATTGCCAGGACCACGGTTCGGTTCTTGTTGTCTCTCCTGGTCGTTCTCCGGAAGATGCTGCTGCTGCTGCTGCTCCTGCTACAGGATCTACAACAGATGCAGTAGAAGAGCTACTTCCTGCTCCACCAACTGATGAGGCTGCTCCCACTTCTACGGACGATTCTACTGCTGTGGCTGTGCCTGTTCCAACAATAGAAGAAGTGGAGTCCTCGGAAGACGGTTTCGCATCAGCAGACGACTCTCTTTCACTCGAAGTAGCTCCACCTTCGCCCGACGTAGAGGAGGCCAATGATGTGGATTAGAATATTAAACACAAAGATGACAGAGCATCCACCATGACAGACATGAAACAAAGAATTAATAAATTGTGTCTCTATTCTTGACGAGTGCGTGATATCTAGCATTTCATTCATCGATCCCTGCTCATATCTATGTATAAAGAAAAAACATTTTACGACGTACAATGCTGTACTCAGATGCGCATGTAAAACTTGGGAACATAATGTGAAGAGCTCGGCCGCGGAGGTTTGATGTTGTCTCTAGTGAGAAAACAAGCCTCCGTTTCAATTTCATCCGGTTCACGTTTATCCAGATCGAATAATCGTCCAAGGCTTGTCACTGACCGTTGCGGAGCGTTGGTTGGTGTGGAACGTTGATTAGAGGTGGATCATGTCCTTGCACTCAATGATCTTCACCGTTCCAGAGCGATGTCGATGAAAACCAAATATATCAAACTAGGTCATAACTTTCCGATCTTTCTGTCTGAGTGCTGCGTCTTCGCTGGTTGGCGCCGCGACTGGTGTTGCGGTTCTCAGGAAAGCAGCAATTGGGACCACTGCCATCGAAAGCAGGAAAGATGAGAACAAAAGGGAACTGGTGACACGTGCCATCTTCGTGATTTTTGGGCAGATCCAGATAGAAGTCAGAAGTATATTTTTATTCAGAAAGAAGAAAGTAGCTTGCTATTAAAAAAAGGAAAATACTGAAGGTTGAGGTTCTCGAACTCCACCAAATCGAAACTGGTTATTCTGCTTTAAACAAAGAGGAAGAAGGGATGACTTTTATCAGTCATGGCAGCGTCAGAAACCGACGCTGCTGCATGTCTATGTCATAGTCACACTGCTTCGTTCTAAAGCGAAATAAAATCAATGACGAGCAGAAGCAAATCTGTAGCAGTTTTTCCTTGCAGCTTTTATCACAAGAATGGCCAGTGTGTTCTTTCATCCCGACGAAGACGAGAGAAGAATAGCAATTGATTCATCATTTCGATTTCGGTCAGCATTTCTTTATCAACAGATTGAGATTGATCGCACATTTTTTTGTGTTCCAGCGTGCTAAAGTCAGCACTCCTGTAATGCGAAATTTTCTTCTTTTTTCTAAACTAACGGAGGGATGCAGGCAGAGCGAACACAGAGATGTCACGCGTGGGCCCCTGATGGCACTGTCCGTAGTACCGCCCGGAGGGACTAGTTCTGATAGAGATCAAGGCCAAGATGATGCTTCTCTAGACTTGGTATGACATCATCAGCATCATCATCATTTTTATATCTCAAAAGGTCATTCTCTAGTACCTTCTAGTTCATCTACTTGGTTGTATGAAATCATTATCGCGTCAAACTAATAATATCCTGCTCTATGCATCACACCAACAAACATGTTGATGTGTCGTGTACTGTATGGAAGCAAACGCCGTGATGCGTTCTTGATCTGTAATACACTGCTACCTAGCAGCAAGAATTACGGGCCAGCCTAGGACTGCCTACCTTGATGTTCATCATCTTCTTCGGAGAATCCTCCTACTGAATCTTCATCCCGTCTCCCCGTCTGCTCTGCTGTACTTCTTCCATCTCTTATAATTTTATGAGGATCTTCATACTAGATTCTAGTTAATCTTCATCCCGCAGCTTGTTGCACTTCCATCTCCAATTCTGCTAGCATGTCCTCGTCTAAATCGCCGTAGTCGAAGCCCTCTACTTCTGGTGGCGGCGTCCTCGGTGGTGGTGGCGGTAGCCCTTCAAATTTCTCGTTCAGCAACTTATGGAGGCCCCCTTTTGTTGACATCATTTTCCGGACGATTTTCTTCATGGACTCTTTATCATCCACTTTAAAGGCTTGGTACTTGCTCAAAGCGCCAGTGTAGGCTGCAACTTGGACTAGGACGTTGCCCAGAGCACGGACAGCTTTGTTAGACCTTCTTTAAAACCATCTTAAGTGAGTGAGTGAGTGAGTGAGTGAGTGAGTGAGTGAGTGAGTGAATGAATGTGCCTATTCGAAAAACTGAAATAAGCGAGTTAACAAATATAAAAGCAAAGTAGGCCCAAACAGACGGCACTCCAAAAGGGGCACAGCCTAGGGCGGTAAGCGGGGTCTCTCTACTCTCAACCCCAAGCACTGAAAGGCAACCAACCACAAGCACTCAAAGCGCCAGTGTAGGCTGCAACTTGGATGGTTGCCCAGAGCACGGACAGCTTTGTTAGACCTGGAACATCTGATCATTAAGATTAACAAAAACAATGAATTATTATTGTAGCCTTAACTTCAGCTCGAAATGCGCCGTCTTTCTTTACACCAAGGATATTGTTGATATTGTGCTTGTTCATGGAGAATGCCTTTCTGCCTTGAAAGTCCATGACCATTTTCTTGGCCATCTCCTCCGCTAACTCGTCAGAGATCGGCATCTTGTTTTTGGAGAGGCTGCTCTGAAAAAAGCGCAGTTGCGGTTCCGGGAAGATTGCCTCGTCCGAAAGTAGATTTTTAGAGGCCGCTTAGCTGTTCTAGTAGTTGGCTATGACGGGAGAGGAACGATTGTTGCTGCGACAGCACGACGCCAACGATGTGATCATGGTATCATCTTCATCTTCTTATTTCTGATCATTTTTAATCAAATCTGCGAGATGTACAAGATCGTGTTATCAATAATTATCTTCGAGACGTACAAAGAATGATTGACATTGAACAAGGAAATGTCATCATCAATTATCTGTGATTTCGTGTGAAATTCAAATTTTGTATCGTTAAGTGTTATCATTAATCATGGGGAGCGTGTGCGAGAGGGAGAATAAACACAGATGTTGAAGTTCATCAAATGAGTTGTGTCCTCGAGTATGGTGTTTTTAAATAAGCTCCACCTTTGGAAGGCTTAGGTTTACTCCCTGTCCGATCATTTAGGTGCGTGGTCAGTTGATCAAGATCATCTGGTCGTGGAAGCGTGGGAGGACCTTTACGATTACGTTAGCTAAAAAATGATCAACAGCCTCATCATCATCTTCACGCGATGCAGACTAAGTTCTCACGGCTACAGACCACGCATTATCTCATGCTACAGCATCTACTCCTTCGCTCAGTAGACAGACAAGGACAACCACTATTGACTTTCTGCCCTCCTTCTATTCAGCATCAAGATGACGATTATACGCGTGGCCAATCGCTGCACGGAATACTTCAACTCAAAACGGGCAGAATCTCGAGGTAGTCACATAGTCTTACAGATATGCCAGGGAGAGAATAGCCTTACAGATCATATGCATACGGGTGAAATTTACGTCATCATTGGAGTAACGAGGGCGGACAGGGCGAGGGTACCTTCAAAAACAGTGTCGTGGGAGAACTGCTGTTGATGGTAACAGAAGATCTTCATCGGTGATTCATCTCACTCTCTTCAGTCAGTCAATCAGTCAAATGCTCGCACTAAGATCTGCGATGACTCCACAGAATGCGCAATGTTGTTGTTAACACTGAGTTTATTCTCGTGGTCTCGCTCCACACAACTGAGCTCAACAGATTTACTTCTTTCGATGGAGGTCTCTGCTCACAACTCCGACAGACGCGGCCATACTAAACTAATCACATATTGATCGGACACTCATCCACATCAACTTCCACGCTAGGCGGAACACCTCCAGGTCTACTTCTGTCGCGCTCGTCGTTCATCTAGGTTTACATATTAGTACGATTAGGAACGTCGCCCAAAAAGGAGTCAGTACATCATCTTTGGTAGAACCGCCCGTAATATAAGTAGAACTAAGCAGGGGCGTTGGGGAGTAAATTACTTTTGTACCAGTTTTCTTTGACGTACATGTTGACGAACAAAGGATTCAGCTGACAAGAATTTCACCTGCTCCTCGTGAAGTAGATTTCTTCGAAATTTTTTTTTCTATGCTTCAATCATCTCTTTAGAAGGCAAGCCCGCTGCCTCAGGGGTCTCGGGACCCTTCACGTCATCCTTACCACCAGCAAACTGTGTGGTACTTGGTACGTCAGGTGGCGGCTGGTCTAGTCGAGGGTTCTTACAAGGATTGAACTCGGTGACCTCTACGAGGAACCATTTGTCGCGAGCGTCCGTGCTTCTAGCAGCGTCTGAGCATTTCTGGAGTACTGGTTGGAGGGCGCGGGAAGTGACGCGGACATGCTGAATACCGTATAGGTGGCGACCACTCTCCTTGTGCTGGCCAAGTACAGGGTGCACTTCGTGCGGAAATTAGATTCTATCTTTGTCGCTCATCACTTCTGATGCGAGTCAGCTACTCAACATCTCTGAAAACGAAACTAAGTGATCATCATGGATCTGATTACACAGTACGAGTCGTACTCAGTCTACAAGTAAGTACTCGCATCTCGCTCCATGCAGAAGTAGTTGTGATACAACAAGTACTAGTGTTCAATATATATTCCATTCATCCTCCGGTGCGTCCTAGAAGTAGTACTAAAAATTCTAATTGAAAATCTTCGACCTGATTTACTTGATGTAGGTTGACGTTCATAAATAACAATCCGCAAGTAGCGCGCTTTGAGCATCCGTCCAGGCATATGCAGATTCCACTTTTCGTTGAAATCAACGTTCATACAACTACTGAAATGTACGCCATCCGTACTATTCTCGACGCTGAATGACTTCGGTGGATACTCCCAATCGATATCAATGCCGTTTACCTTCGCTGTTGTCCCGAGATCTGTGGTTCAGGGATCGGGGATGGGGATGGGGTAAGCAAGGTGGAGGGATTCTAAGGGTTTGTTTACGGGATGTTGGAGGGGGCGAAAACGCCGATGATGAGAGAAAGGAGAAAGGTAGGGTTGGGGTGATATGGTTGAAGATGATACTACATAGTAGAACTACACTAGAAAATAGCTGTAGATGATAAGTAGATAGAACACTAGAAAAACTACCGCCACCCAAGTTCTTGGTTCTTGAGCAAAAATCAAATAAATCAATGCGCTCCACCTTCTACAGCTACATCCTAAGCACCATGGATTTGTGAACATCGTCTAAATCTCATCGAAGTACCAATCGTGACAGTCTCATCTTCGGATGGATCCCAATCTGAAGCCCAGTAGGTGGAATCGTTGCCGTCGGCTACTAGTTTCGGAATGTGACTTCCGTTTGAAGATGAAGCGTCAATAGCGTTGCTACCGCGGATGAGGTTTGTCTGGTAGTTTGATGTTCTACAAGTTGATACTTTTCAGTTTCTAGGTTAAAGATGTGCTGATGTTTGCCGAAGTCGATACAAATTGAAATAAATTGAAATGCATGCTGTTCGTTGGGTAGAAAATTAAATGCAAGTATAATCGTTTCTATAATCACTCAGGAAAATGAACATACAAGTGCAAGAAGCGCCTGGTTCTTGTCAAAAAAACGGTTTTTACCTCTCCCGGTCTCGCCTGTTCTGGTCCCATCGTGAGGCAGTAATCGCCTGCTTTACCGGATTTAAGCTGCGAGCTAGGCATGGGTTCCCATAAAGCGCGACCGTCGCCAGCTGCTGTCGCAGTATCACAGTCTTGCAAGGTGATGTTAGAGATTAATATGCGTGACTAATGCCAATCTTCTCTGTTTCACTTGCATGATCCACGACCCTTCACTATGTGCAACAACGACAGCTGTACAACTTCAGGAGGAACACGCTGCTCAGGGGGGGAAAAGGGCTGCTCTCGTCAGCGTCAGGTGGCTCAGAACTCACGAGTGGATCATAGTGATTATCTTTATCTTCGTTCCTTGCCTTAATAATACTGCCTCCTTGTTTTGTCACGTTGCCGTCTTCTAGGGTTATGCATTTCTTGCCCATCAACGTGTACAAAGCGCCATTGTCCATGAAACGGAACAGCTCGTGTCCGTTCATTTTGGGGATTAGAGGCGAGGAGGATGAAGACATCTGAAACAGTACAAGTAGAGTATGATAGAAGCAAAGTACTTCTGAGCACTCACTCCATTGTTTCCCCTCTGTTTTTTGCGTTTACCTTATAGAGCTTAGCGAGCTACATAAAATATCAACAATGTCCCTCCCTCCCTCCGAACCACACACACTTGGACCACACACTTACACCTGAACCAAACACACTGGAACCGAACCCACTGGAACCAAAAACACTGCAACAGCAAAAACGTGAACCCATGAGCCCATGAACATACGAACTTATGGTTATGAACTTAGGAACTTACGAGAATACAAAATAAGACGAAGGAAACTTTCGAAGCGAGAAGAAAAAAAGACGGCACTCAGCAGATCAGCCTGAGCATGCAACTTCGAACCTATGAGCTTCTGAATTTATGCACTTACGAACTTACGAGCTCACGAGCCACGGCATGGTAAATATTTAAGCAGCTAAAAGCTCTGAGCGTGATCTTGGTTGATAAAATCAAAAATTTTTGGACTTTTCAATTTCAAGCATGAAACTTTTGAAACATAAAAACTCAACATTCGAAATTTTTGATTTTATCCATGAAGAGTGAATTTAAAAAATTTCGTCGCAAATGCGCTGCTAATGCCAAATATCACCACGCCCCCAAATGTCACCGGCGGCGCATGTTTTGCCACCAATAGCACCGATCTGCAGCATCGAAGGTTCAAGATTTGGATTTTGAATCCTAAATTTTTGATTTTATCGAAGAAAAATACATTTTAGAAAATTAAAATCCAAATAAAAATTTAAATGATTTCACATTCTTGGATTTCAAGTTTCAAATTTGGATCCAAAAGTTTCAAATATTACAAAATTACAAATGACTTAGAGCGATGTCTATTTAATGTCAGCACGCTGCCACCGCCCCCACTCCTGTCCCGCCGATCAACTCCGCCAGACGGTTGTCGGGCGGGGAAAGAGCCGGGGAAGTGGAAGCATTTGGGGGCAGCGGCTGTGCGTGTAGGGAGTGGAGGACTCTAGTGGGGGAAGTGCTGCCAGGCGCTCAAGTCTAGTATCCTATATATTTATAAGTATCTGCGTCTTTCTTGTTGTTCAGAAGCTGTTACTAGCTACGTGGTAAGCCGGTTAGTACGGGTTCCTTCGCAAAAGAAAAATCGTTCAAAGTCATAACTTCACCTGCGCTCCACAGGGTGCAAGATGGAAACTGCTGCCATCTCGATCTGGCGCGTCCGCGACGAGACAGTGCTCTTTTTCATGTGTGATGCCACTCGTAATCATGAAAGTTGGACTCTCGCTAAAGGACGTCTTCAATCTAGAAGCCACTGCCACAGATCGAGATCCCCTCCTGTAATTCCTCGTCCAATTTTTGAGAGGCAGATGAACTCCGACATCCACATGATTTACTACTTGTTGGTCCGCATGAAAAGAGGACATCGTGGAAACGCTTTTGGTTGCGGACACGGCAGGATCGAATACCCATGTAGCGGCATCACCAACGAGGCCAGCTAGATCGTGGAGCAAGGACATGTTTTTGCTTTAGTTCCTGCTCCTCTTAGTTGTGGTCGCTTTTTGAAAAAATGGAACATCAATGAAGTACAACTTAAAAAGTGAGGGTCTTGATCACTAGAGTAGGCGAGAAGGAGAATCAATGGAATCTTCATTCAATTTGAAATTGCACGTGTCAATGGTGGCTTTGAGTTTGTTAGATTTCTGGAGTCTTTCTCTTTGTCCGCTGCGTGTCGTGGTACTACTATTGGAACCCATTGTAGAAGAAGATAAAGCCTTTGATTGGGATTTAGAGGACGAGTTAAGGGGATAGAGATAGATCGCTGTAAGCCCAGATAAACATAAACCGATGAAGATGATAACTGTGAACTTAATCCTTCAGGAAAGATGAAGTGTCTAGCTGCACCACCGATCCAAGTCGTACGAAGCAGTGTCTGCGTCGGGCGGTATTCTTTTCTCTCTGTGCGAAGAGTTCTAGTCTCATTGAACCGAAGGAGCGACCCATCCCGCAACATACCGGTGCTTTGAAAAGTTATCAGACGAAATTGTTTGAGTTTCTTCTATCAACGAAACGGGAGAAGTAGAATCAGGACCATATTAAAGTCGCTTGCTCCTACGCGAATCGATAGTCCGATAGAAGAATGACAGAAAATTCTCAAACCGATGGGGTTACAGGTTCTTGTGCACCAAACTTCGAAAACCGGAGTACTCTACCAACCATGTCCTCGCTCCAGGACCGTCTAGTTTCGTTTCTCTGTTCAATATTACTGGCTTATGCTACAAAGGCACACATAACACGCAAAATTTACATGATTTACGATAGTACTAATGGTATAACAAAGGCATCAAACATAATATTTCATCAATGCTCCCAACATGAAGTAGACAAGAAGAAAGGACTTTTGACCTCCCCCTCCTCTTCCTCCGCCTCTAGTCAAACTTAAACTGGATGCGGATGAGGTAGCTGCATCACTGTCTCCATGTTCATTTTCGTTACCAGGACTAACACGAGGCACTATGTCGTTAAACGACAATGAAGAAGTTCCATTCGCTGCTCCAAAGGACGTGACCACATCCTTTTTTTGGTCTGGAGTGTAGTAGAGGAACAATCGGTTGTCTCTTTTTTGCCTGTTTTGCACTGAGAACTCTTCGCGGACAGTTACGGCGAAAGATATAATGAAGGTGCCACTCCTGATTGAGCCAATGGAGCAAACAAGGGAATGTCGTCGTCCCCTGATGATGCGCTTGCCCCCATTGGGGACGACAACATTCCCTATTTTCCTTCGTTCCCAATCAGAAGTTGTGCCACCATAGATATAGACGGATTCTCAGTTCCTCCTCGTGAGCCTAATTCACTTCCAGAATGCAAAAACACGTCTTCTCGTCGCGTTCCTCTTGGCAGCGATGCAAGGTAAATGTGAAGATAATCCCTGTCCTGTTCAACACGATCGATCATTTCTTGAGAAGCTCCCTGCAATTCTGCCAAACTTCTTCTCTCTCTGGGCATGGCTGTCGACCGTAAGAGCTGCTGCTGGGCAGATGTATCGACCACGGTTCCAGAGAAGAGACCGATGCTAAGCATGGCCATTTCAGGTCCAGAATTCCATATTGAGTCACAAGAAGTCGCTTCTGCTTCTTGTTCTTGTTGTGTTCCAAGAGGACGACGGCGCTGCATCCTCACAGCTATTTTGAAAGACCTGGAAGATGTCGAACTAGAAGAAGGAACAGGTGTACTAGAAGTTGTAGATGTTCTTGTTGCAGGATCATTAGCATTACTTGTGGAGGTCCCTGTATCTGTAGATGACGTACTAGATGATGTTGTAGTTGTACTTGTACTTAAACCATCAGCTACAACAATCTCTGACTCATCTTCGTTGAACCATTTCACTACTAAGTCAAAACACTTGGATAGCAGAGAATCATCTTCTCCACTACTAGACGTGGACGTCGCGACATTGTATTCCTGTAAAACGGAGACAAGGGTTAGGCCTGTGCTTGAGGACAAGGCTCCGCTTCCGCTTGAGGGAGAAGAAGAAGAAGACCCAAGAGGAGAGAACGAGGAGCTGGGCGTGGTAACTTGGACAGAAATCTGCTCAGTGTAATCAGTAATTGATGTTGCACTACTAGAACCTGCTCCACCTCCATCGAAAAATGTTCCGTTTTGGTAGATGGGTATGACGGAGTACAGTTCAGGGTCAGATAACATATGTGTGAAGGTCTTCGAAACTACTACTGTTGAACTTGATGAAGTGCTTGATGATGCTAGAGATGGAGGAGAAGTAGATGATGGTGATGCACCTGCTGTTGTTGTACCTAACATTTTTACTTTATGCTGTATTGTAACCACCTTGTCTTGCTGAGACGTTGATGAGACACCTGCGCTTGTACTAGTGAAACCTTGTTCCACAGCCGTTTGAAAAGCAGTGAGAGCCTCTAGGGCCACTAACGTGTCCTGGGTGGAGACAAACCCGCCAGCGCTACTGCGATGCTTCAGTAACCACTTCACTCCCTGATACGCCGATGCGACATCATTCAACAACAGCAAAATTTCAACCGCATAAGATGTCAATTCCACCGTTTGTGATGACACTATTATAGGGGATCTTGGTGTGGAAGTAACTCCTCCACCAGTACTGCCTGAAGAGGTTGTAGCTCTCGGCGCATCTCCCCAGAAGTAAAAACCATCTTCATCAGTTTGACGGAGTTGCAGAAGTTCTTCCAGCGCTACGGCGTTCGCGACAAGTTCCGCATGAGCACGTAGAAGAGCGTAGAGAGACAGGATTCGAGCGTAGACACTATCATTTGTATCTCGATCTCCGGTTGAAGGAGTAGAAGCAGAAACTATTGTACTAGTAGATCTTTCACTTGCGATCCATTGGCCAGCGGCTAGAAGGCAAGCTTTGACATCAGTTCGAAGCGAGTTCAACCTAGTAGCATCGCTTGTTGTAGTACTTGATGAAGCAGAGCTGGAGCTGCCTTTGTCCAGCTCTCTCAACACTGCCGCAAGACTAACAGTGACGAAAGCCGTTAGACTAAGCCTCGACGCCGCTGTTTCTGACATCATGGCTTTATTGAAAACGCGACCACGATCGCGAAAGTGTGTAAGAATAATCCCAACAGCAGGAGAGGCCATCTGCTCTTGTTGTTGTAGCAAAAAACGCACACTCCTTTCGAGCTGGGGCCAGTCGACGATCACTCCAGAATCGTCAGAACCTTTGGCGATATCTGCGAAGACCCGCAAAGACATCGAAGTGAGCCAGAGACTTCCTTCTTCAGCACGCTTGCCGAACGCGGAGAAGCCGCCATCGTCTGTTCGGTGGGTTTAGAGGAGCCTCCTTGAAGATGATGAGGAAGGAGGAGGAACTTGGTCATGACCGAACCTGACCATGATAGAATTTGAATTTCTTTTTCACAAGAACACTTATTCTCAAGTCACAAGAATGGTCTGATCCACTTCCACGACAGAAAGAATGAAATATTAACGTTGTTCACTAGTTGTACTAACAACCTAGCGTAGCTGGTGTAGGAGAAGCAGTCTAAAAGAATAGAGTGTTACCACCTGCTACTAACTCGTAGTACTTCTACCGTTCTTCTGTAGCCTTAATACGTCAGCTGTCTCTGGTACCCAGTTCGCATATTCTGGGTGACCCGTTTTTTCAATGCCGGACCACTAACCGAGGTCGCGAAGTATTGCCCACTATCTTTAGCAGCGTAGTAGTTGTAGACGTAGACACTGTTAGAGCTTTCTTTTCACAAGTTAGTAGGGAAAGACGAACCAAGGATCATGATCATCATGATGCTAAGGAGACATCGACATGCTTCAGCGGTAGCCATAACATTTGGCGCCAAGGAGATCAAATTCTGCTCACCACACCCGTAGGGCACGCGCACTAACCGTTCCAAATTCGTGATACTGGAAGACAGTAAATTTCCAGTGATTGCGACTGAAAGACGCTTACTGTCTGGAACTATCTTTGCAGATGTTGAAGATGGGGTCGGCCAGGTAACTGGGATCTCAACTACAGAAGTGTTAGTCGTGGAGCTACTTTGATGCCCATTATCATCTTCTTGCGATACCGATAGAAGCAGGTTTTTCCGTTCATAGTGGGTAACGCCTTCGGATTTGACCAAAAGACTCTTCTGCAAGCGATCGATGTAGTGGGCATTGGAGAGGACTGATGTGAAGTTAGTGGGTGATGTAGCCGAGAGTGATGAATTGGAAACGCCTGGTGTACTAGTACTACTCGTACAGTACACTTCTAAACGTATTTCGCTAGGTTCGAGAATAGAGGTTGCGTTCTGGTTTGTCTTGATAGAGATCGGGAATGCGATTGCACCATTCGAGCGAAGTTTTTGGGGTACTTTTAGTTCGTAGAATGTTGAGACTTGACCTAAGAACGTGGCTCCTGAAGACTGTGATCCACTTCCACTTCCATCGGAAGATGTTCCGCCTGAAGACGTGGAAGGAGTGATTGCACTTGCACTTGTAGAGGTACTTGTTGTAGTTGGTTCAGTTACCATGTCATACTGCTGTCCAGAGGAACCTAAGAAGACGTCAGCATTCGTCAGGTCTAAGCCAGCGCTAAGACCGATTCGCCAGACGCAATGTAAAACGGGAGAATTCATCTGGTCCATGTGCGACACTACGCTGCCCCTCAGCGTAACTGACTCTCCGCGAACGATTGCATGGTTAGAGCTTGGCCAAATGCATCTTCTCGAGTAGAGTGAGTCATCTTTGACGTGTTTTTCGTTTTCCCTTTGAACTTGAAAATAAAGGGGCCAACGAAACTAAGATGCTTTTACTCATCAAGATGATGTCAATACAACTAGGGCAATCATTGGCCTTAAAATACGGCATCGCTATTCCTGCTTCCACCGTCTTCGACACCACGAGAGAAGGCAAGTCGATGTCTGGCGCGAGCCCGATCTGGGGGTGTAAAGCGAAACCGGTCATATCCCACGTCGTGAGAGAATCTGGTGCTCTGAATCTGTTCGGGTTTTCTCGAGCAGTAGGACTAGGAATAGGATTTGATGTATCAAAGCTAGTCCACAACCAGGTTTCAGGGAAGAAGGAACGCAGTCGGTTTTGCTGAGCAAGAGAGCCAGAAGAACTAGCTGAGTTCTTAGAGACTAAAACAGTAGAATTACACTCGTCCTACTTAGCATGACATGATCCCTCCTGCTGGCTTCTTTTCTTATACGAAAATAAGAGCCAAGCCCAAGGATAAGGAAGGTAGTCGTGCGGGATGTAATTGTTGTAACTACTCGGTATGCCGTAATATTTGATCCGCCATCTGCAGCGACAGCCGTGTCGACAGAAGAAGGAGCTCCTGCAACAGGTGCTGCTTCTGCGACTGCTGTCGTGACGCCAAGAGCTATATCTCCACCTCCATTCCGATTCATCGTGTATATCGACACAGCTCCCGAGCAGTAGCCAACAGGTATGATCGCAGGACAGAGCTCTAATGCAGCACCCAAAGCTCCCTTCGATTCTATGTTGTTTGAAATTCCAAGTCCTAACAAAATGCGTGCTTCGTCGTGCAATTCCCGGCACAAGTTAGTTGGCGTCATAGGCAGGGAGAAAACTCCTGAAGAAGTCCTAGTTGGCGACGAAGAAGAGGCAGATGAAACACTCTCAGAAGGTGAAGTAGATCCAGGCAATAAATTCTCTAAATGTCGGCTAATGGTTTGTCCATGTAGCGTGTTCCTCCCTCCGCTAGTCATCAACGACACTGCGCGATCTTGGGTTGAGACATACACTTAGAGCTGTCCGTAGTCCATCTTTCAAGTGCATCCTTGAAAAGTATGGGAGAGCATTCCCTTAGGATACTCCTCCATACCTACGTTTCAAGGATACGCCCAAAGATGTAATATTGGGTACAGCCTTAATACACTTTTGTTGCTCCTCCTGCGTCGCAAGTTGTACTAGAACTAGGCGGTGTGGATTTTGAGTGTAAGTCGGAGTTGCTATTGTTGTAAGAACTAGAACTGCAGGAGCTGCTTGTGGAAGAAGAAGAGGATGCTGCTGCTAGTGCACCAGTAGTTGTTCTACCCTCTTCAGTGAGCCGGAAAGAAACATCATCTCCAGGAAAGGCACGTGTGATTTTTATGCCGAGGCCGGTACTCGTACTAGTAGAAGTATTGGCAGTAATATCCGAAGTGTTCCTCAGCCGCGAGGACATTTGCTGGTACCAAGCTGCAGTTATTGACCCAAAAGACGTCGATTCTAATAGGGTAGATGACATGTTGAGACTAAACATTGCCTGACCACTTGCTTTTCTTCTACCATCGACGTCTGCGGGAGTCAAGTCCTTGTTTTCAAACAGTGTAACAATAGCCACAATACCAGAGGGCATATTCGTCAGTGTTGTTGAGGTTGTTGAATTCGAAGAGGAAGAAGACCACGATGTTAACAAGGATGAGGCTGACGAAGACCTTGCACTTGCTCCACTAGCTATGGCACTAACCACGAGGTCCGTGATGTTGAGGGTTCCAAAGCCGTAGGTTACCGAGTACAGCAATGGACTTGCGATGGTAGTCGTTGTAGTAGTGCTGGTGGTCGTGTCTGGGCCATAGCCGTAATAATACGACTGTTCTTGGGCTATTTCGTGTATTTCCACTATGTCGCTGCTTGTGTTAAAGGAATCACAGCAGGAAACATTGGAAAAAGTGGCCAAGATCTTGGATGGTGATAGATTCACGGGTACAACTGGAGAGGTTGCTGCATTTTTCGTGCTCCTGGTGGTCGTCGAAGTAGACATCAATGTATTGGCTTGAGGAACCGAAACAAGTATTACACTTGCAGACATCGGTTTGGTTACTAAAGTTGTTTTGAAATTCACGATGAATGATGAGGTGTCGGCTGTGGACGAATTAGCCAGGAAAAATATTGTCTTATTTATTGCGGATGTGTTTGATGTAGAAATCTCCTCGTCTTCATCACCAAAAGGGACACTACTCGCCAGCATGTATCCTCCAGTACTCGAATACTCCCGCAAAGCACATGCTGAGTGTGCATTTTCGTCAACGCTAGTTCCGTCCGCTGGTGCGTCGTAGACTGTCTGACCGTCTACTGTCACGTAGCTATTGACCGTTTGAATGCAACAACGCCAGTAGTCGTCTGCTGTTCCCGAAATCCTCCAGCCAGGAGCCACTTGCTCAGTCAAATTGCAGCAGCTAGTGTCTTCTGCCGGAATTGGGATGGAAAAGGCCTTACTTTCTGCTGTAGAAAGAGAAGTAGACTCGCTCACTGCAGCAAGTCCAAGTGTCCAGACCACTGTTGTTTTATGATCATCACCACTGCTGGCTGGAGACGTAGCTCTTGCGCTTCTTGGGATGGACGCCACGTCTTGCTTTTTTACAAGGAAAGGAGTCAAGTCTACTTCGGTATACTTGCGTGGGATGCGCCAAGAATAATGCTGATGCTCCACACGTAGTTTCACTTCAGGCGGCTTGGAAGAAATAGTCGTGCTGCTGCCATCAACAACTGTTGTTGTTTTCACAATAGAGAGTTTCTCCACCTTCACCCGCAAAGGCAGACCAGGTCGAAACGATTCCTCGCTCAGCACCCGAACTGCAGTAGACATCAGGTTCACGTCCGCTGTGCTGGAACTCCTGGTATCTCCTGAAGCTATATCCCGACACTTTGCGTTCAATGTGAAGCCTGTAACCTTCGCAGAAGAACCTCCCGAAGCTTTTAGTAAGTCGCGAAGTGTCGTCGTAGTGGTGGAAGACACTCCAGCAGGCATGGCAGCTGCTACTCCAGCTCCAGAAGAAGATCCAGATGGTGTAGTTGCTGACCCAGAAGACGCGATCTGCGTATCAAGTGAGATCGAAAATGGAAACCGCTTCTCAACATCTTGATTTTCTGTAGACACACTTTCTTGCTGCTGCACCACATCCATAGACAATAATAGTTCAGTAGAGTCACATCTCCTATAGCTTGCCCCTCCCGGATAAGGCATTGATAATTCGCGGCTTCTTCTACGCCCGTCGAAAGTGCCAAACCAAGGCGACCAGTACCATCCCCAGCCGAATGTAGGGCATTTCCGTACCACTTCTACCTGCATCTTCCCCTCATGGCACTTCACGGCGCTCCCATGCGTGTAGTTGGCAGAAACGAAGCCACGAATTGGAGCTGTAAAATCCTTCGTGACCATCGTTGTTTCCAAATCGAGGCCAACACTGAAAGTCGGCAAAACGTATTCCTCAACAGTGAAAGTGAGCACATTGGACGTCGCAGCCACTAGGTTGTAAAAATCTTCTTGGTCTGTATTTGATGTTCTTCTTGTCGAGCTCGTCGACCTCGAGGAGGTCGAGTTAGAACTAGAAGGCGTTATCGACGTGTACAGGAGTTTCGCAACTGCGGAATAGCTTTCTTTGCTGCCTTCCCCAGTATCTGATGTCCCAAAAGTAGACGCGGCTAAAGGATAAACCATGTCTTCGCTGTTGTCAAAAACGCCATAGCTTGCTCCACCTCCAACGACGTTTTGTGGACTCACAATTGATGAGCTCGTTGGAATTGAGCTGTTGGTGTAGTTGCTAGTATTCGAACCTTCTCCTTCAGAAGATGAATTCACAGGAGAACTCACAGAAGGAGTCCTCTGAGTCGTCTTTTTCACACCAGCAGCCAGGCTCTTCAATTTCGCCACAAGGAGCTGCTCGTTGCTTGACTCAATTACCTTGCGGATTTCGATGATGATGTGATACGTCCCACCTCCTGCACTGAGATCAATTGGTTTAGACAACAATCGATCCATAGTCACAGCCCGAAATCGTACGGTCTGTCCCGGTTTATATACTGTTTTATCAGCCTCTAGGAACAGGACCTCTCGGGCGAGGAGGGTCGTCGGAACCAAAACATCTTCTGCTTGAGCTTGACGGCCTGTTGAAATTCCGCTTCCATAAACGGTGGAGGCTTTTGAGCGGAAGCGGAGGTTTTTTACTGGCCGAAGCGTACTTGGTACTTCCAGTTCATAGTCATCAGAACTTTTGGACGATTCCTTTTTACTCTGTGTTGTGGCAACTGCCAAAACCTGTTCTACAACGCCAGATGATGAAACGGTGACGAGATCGACGCCACCCGTAGTTTCATTCGACGAAGATGTAGGGATGATTACGCGCTCACCGGGTAGAATAAGCTTGGGCGGAAAAAACCCATGGCAAAGCGTGGCAGTGTTGAGCAAGAGGAAGATGAAGCTCTTCATCTTGATGCAGAAGGTGCTGAAGGGAGAAAGAGTCATTTTCTTTCTAGGAGAATTATTGTCATTGTGAGAACTAGAAGTAGAAGGTATACTACGACTACCTAGGTTGTCGATAAGGCAACTTCGTTAATATATTACTTTTCAACGAAGTGGGGCGTGGTATTAGCGAAAATGGGTAGATGTAGATCTAGAAGAGCAAAGTTGCTTCGTAGTTAGTGATAGTTTTAGCCTTTTTATACCAGTTACTTATTTCGAACTTAAACTTACCCAAAAATTGTTGAACGGCGCGAATCTTCATTGTCATGATCGCGAAAGAAAGCAAATAAACAAGAATCAAGGCTTACAATTTACCCCTGCTACATGAGCGTAAGCTACGACTCTATCAAAATTCAAAAAGAAGTCAGCCTAAGCAATTACGTACTTATTCACAACTGGGCCAATAGCAACATTTTGGCTTTTATATTTTTGGGGAAGGCAACAGCAGCAACACGGGCAGACTGATGCTGATCCATCAGAAACCTGAAAAATAACAATCCTCTATTTTCATCTTGCGCAGACGAGCCAGGAGACACCTTCTTGTTGCCGACACCTTCTTGTTCTTTCCTCCAACTCACTAGAACAAGTTTTGAACAACAGGAACAGGAGCATCATTCTGTTTATAATACAACTCCCGACGCTCCTCTCATCTCTCCAGTTTACATCTTTCTTTCTCATCAATCTCGTGCTTTTAGAAGTAGTTCTTCAAGGATCCGAGAAACTATAAACTGGCCGTGGTCCTGGATGTGTGTAGTTCTCGTTAAAAACAATAAAGGAGCTGAAAAAAACCGGAGACGCAGAGTCTAGACTTCTTTTTGTCGTTTCCGCAGACGGGTCGCATCGCCAGGAGCGAGGACTAGTTGAAAATCAGTAGAGGACTTACCATACCAGTATCTTCAGTAAGATCGGCGGGACAAAAAGAAGTCACGATCTGTAGTGTCATACTGTAGTAGTGGTGTAGACCAAGAAGGCGATGGCGGTTTTGGTTTCTATACTGTGCAGAAGCAACACAATCAACACACAGTAGTCGGTGGATGAAGAGTGAAGTTGTTCTTCGACTTCGAGGACGAGAATCAGAAAGTTGATAAAAAGAAAGGAATCAGTATCAGTCAGAAGATACATAAACATAAGGATGAAGTTGATAGAGGAAGAAAACTATGTATCAACATGTTGCTGCAGTTGGTCTGCTTGTCATCATGAATACACATAGCGCTTAAAAAAATTGTAGCTGCGGGCCCAGCAAGACAGTGGCGCGATGCCGAAGGTATATTCATCACTCAGAAGGGATGGAGGCCAATGGAGAAATTGTTAATCACAATATATTTATTCTTTCTCATATTATTTTACACACAGCAGCTCCACTTCATCTGCGCACCAGCTTGTTCGAGTACTAAGGTACAATAGGAGCACGCGTTCGGCTTCTTCATCAAAGAAACCTCTTCAACCCCGAAAGACTTGACAATCTAATATCAGGCTTCGCTTGAAAGTGGGGTCTCTGTTCGAAAAGTTCACAGGAATAAGCACCTGCGTTCTGGCCACATAAGATATCGTCCAAATGGTCTCCTATCATCAAAACATCACGAGGATCGCAAGGAAGTTAGAGCTGGAGGAAGTGGTTGATGTCCTACAAAGTAGAAGTCCAAAACCAATAAATTATGGTATGGTAATCTACTTCTACTTCATTTTTGGCAGGAAGAACAGCATTTTCTTCCTTGTAGTTGGTGCCTTTTCAATTTCCCGCTTCTATTTCTTTTCCTCTTGGGAAAAAAACACCAGCAAGAGCAAGGTGGATGATCCTGCTCCTTACTTATTATAGAGAAATAGCAGTAGGCGAGTAGGATGACGCAGCTCCACCTCATCCTGAGAAAGAGAGATATGCTAACTTCTACTCCTTACATACTAATTTTCCTTCGTTGCCTTAATGAAAGACGGTCTTGCAGAGGTCTATTATGGCGTCTCCACTGGGTTTCGGCGCGATGTTTACATCCTCTCGCGTCCGAATACCGTCAAAAAGCGTTGATATGTCATTGATCTCTTTTTTCACCGTGTCTAAAAAACGACCCACACCACCAGGAAAGTTTCGTGTGACTAACCCGAGTTTGTATCCGCGTCGCTTCAAGTAAGATAAGACATCGATGGCATCCGGCTGCAAGTTGTAGTCTGCTTCGATGGTTAGAGGAGGAGGTTCCAAAAGCCCATCAAAATGAGAAAGAACAAGAACTCAGAAAGTACTTTGTGTTTGTTAGCTGAATCAATTGGAAGCCGTAGCCGGCAAAAGTGTGACTGTAACTGTGTTGAGTTGTACCACTCACTAGTGACTACCAATTCCAATACTGATTGATAGCGTTACTGATAAGTAAGTCCGTCGCTGTCGCCTACGCCTATGTTGATCGCGTTACTGATAAGTAAGTCCATCGCTCCCAATTAGGTCAACGTCTATCTCTAACCATCCCTCTCCAACCTCCTTTTCCATAACATCTCAAGTTTCCGAATTTTTTCGTGCGCAGCTTTTCGTTCTTCCTCACTTTCGATAGCGTTTATCCAGGATACGATGTCCTTGCCCTTCGGCGCCCCAACAGCCGCTCGCATGGCTGCGAAATCAATCTGGTGTGGCAAGGTAAGAGTCCCATCCATATCGAACACCACGGCTTTTGTTAGACAAGAGTACAAACAGATCAGCAGCAGCTGCAGGATTAGTACTCCTTTATATCGATGAATAATTCATCGTAATCATCTTGTTCTTCTACGTTGTCGAAACCAGAACGACTAGCCAAAGCCATGTTGCCACTTAAACTTTAAAAAGAATACCTTCAGCACATGATGCCCATCCTTACGATCCGCCTTCAAATTAATTAATATCCTTGAACGAAGGTACATAGTATGTTTATCCTTCACTAGAAACGAACAAGCTTGTATCTGAGTTCCACACATAGCATGTTTCTATTGATGCGTTTATCCTTCAGGAAATGATCGTGCTTAACTTCAAATTGAGCGATGGCACAGTTCTAGCTTCATCCGCAAGATATTCGAGCATTTGGCTGGAATATAAAACGTTTGGGCGTTCTAGAGATGCTTTCGACTGAACCAGGCGAATCTCAGGTGGCACGACTTTTACCTCTTTTTTGGTCTTGATCTTTGGGAGAGGCGAATCCGGTGCGGTAGGGTGGTTGCCATTGGCGGTAATATTAGACTGGGAATTGCGTAGCTAGATGAAGAAGTAAAAGTAGCTAGTACTGGGTCCTCCAAATTTGTAGAGTTCTGAGTCTGAAGATGTCTTCGGTGATGGAAAGGATGACAATCTTCGACTTCGTCGTTATCCAGTAAGAATCAGACACTAGTATCCATCGTAAGACACTCAAGGCTGTAAACTGGTACCTACACCAGAATCTCAATCTTAAAAGCGGTACTATCTGTTGCATTCGTCCTCGTTCCACCTTGAGGTGCTGCGTTGACTATGTAGGATCTACTTTTCCCACTCAAAGCCGTCTCGTTGAGTACTGCTTGCAGTGATGCACCCACAAGCTCAAGAGCACGAGGTAGGTCGCAGCAATGCTCAAATGTCCTTGCGAGAGTTAGAAGAGGAGATGGACGAGGAGACAGAGAGGACTGATGTCTGTGTGTGACAAGTATCGTGAATTCGAGTGAAAAAAGAAGTTGGCAATGCCCATAAGGAGAATGATGGAAAGATCTAGATGTTGGTAGGTGTACGCATTAGTTAGTATCTATAAGTTATGATTTTTAGTATCTCGAGGCTAAATTGAACAGCTACCTTTCTTTTTTCTCTCATCCTAAAGCAATGCCTACTTATGTATAAGATGAACTTCTTTTGGACTAACATGAACATTGCTACTTATCCACCTATCAACTTCAAAGAAATCGACCACTTCCTACAGCTTAGGTTAGAAGTAGGTTAGAACAAGAACCACTAGCACTAGCACTATAATTGTGGTTGAGCCGACCTAACTAGAAAAAAGACAGACCAGAGGAAGATATAAAAGAGAAAAGGGCAACTATCAACAAGTATCCTAAAGTATCCTGCTACCTTTAAAGCTCAGCATTCAATGGTCACTGATGCTGAACGGAAGAGACCCCCTTCTTTCCCTTCGTTTTCCCCTGTTGTCTCAAGGGGTCGCCTCTTCGATCTCAGTGACCAACCCCAATGACCACTGAAAGCTGAGCCTTAATACCTGCTATAATCAAAAGTCTTAAAAGTAGCAGCGCTGCCGTGAGATCGCCGGTTCCAGTAAAGCCTGTGTTTGTTGGTCGTTGTGAGGGTCGCTCACCCTCGTCTTTCTGCGAAGAGGACGAAGACGCACCAGAACAAGAGGATTGAGATTAGAGGGCGTGCTTAGACTTAGAGATTGTGGCCCTAGTCAGAAGTGAACAAGATATTCTGAAGTATAAATCACAAGATCGATCATGTTCTGGAGGTGAACGTGGACGATGTAGCATAGTTTCTAAGCAGTCCGCAGGTACGACAGCACATTAGATGAATTACTACATTTGACTTTGACGGCGCGCAGGCCCTTGACCTTGTTGACGTGGTTGTGGTACCAAAAAATAAGAAAAAGAGCCATAATCAGAAGACGACGCTCGACTTTGTCTCCCGTTAGCGAACTCCACCAGAGGCAATTTGAGCATGTATTTCACGTTGCGCCCATCCAGTCTTGACGAGGTGGTTGAGTCTGTAGGTGAGCGCTGCAGTTCGTGATCGGGTTGTTGATCCGCCAAACCTGCAGGAGACCCAGAAGGTGTTAACATAGATTAGAGCTGCCTTGATTTCATCCACCCTGCTGTGGGGATCCCTCAAAAATATACACCGGATACGATCGAGAGAGAGACAGAGAGAGAGAGAGAGCGTAGATCCCTATTGTATAGAGACAGTGATTAGAGGCAACTACCCTTAAGCTGCAGAGGTGCTGCTGCAAGATGAATATAGCATTGTGACAACGCTTTCTTCCTCTGCGAAAAGATCTAAGCTTGTGATGAAAACATGCGGCGGCCCCATCCTGTGTAACATGTCCACGCACGCACAAGCATCTGCCAGCGATGTGATCTTGCGACCCGTTAACGCCTCCACCTCGAATTGATTAGGCGTCAAAATGGTCGCGAGCGGCAAAACTTCAGTTTTGAACGTCTCCACCATTAGAGCGACCGCGGCCGCATCCCTGAGCAGAGCATCATTGGCTCCATTTTCAGGTACTAGAACAAAAGGAGCCAGGGAAGATGATGCTGAGGATGTTCCGGCGGTAATTATCTTAACACCAGTGCTTCAGGTGCGTAGAAACGGCCATTGTCACCCAGTACAGGATCGCAAACATAGACCAGCTCCGGGCTCCGATCCCTCAGCGTCCGCACAACATTGCAGACTTCGGTGAGAAATGGACGACTCCCTATATACCCAGTGAGGACATGCGAATAGCTGCTCCCAAGGTGGAGGTGTGAGTTAGAGTGAGGAGTGAATTAGAGTATTTGTTCCTGCTACGTAAATGTTGTAATATCTGGATACTAGCTAGATACTAGCTGGAAACTGAAATTATAGATGGACCTGGTGAAGCTGGATAGAGGGCGCATTCATGTAAGTAGTTGTTAGCGTTCATGTCGTAGATGATGTTGTTGTTGTTGATGTAGTAGTTGTAAATCATACTTCTAATAGTCATAATTATAAAACAAGAAATCTACCTACGTACTGCGAATGAAGTAAAAGTGCTCCTCGGACTTAACTTGAACAAGTTTGTCTGCTAGTTTTCGAAGATTGTCAGCCGATAGTATGTCCCCAGCGAAACTCGGGTATCCCGTGTGGTTGCTGAAGTGCACAGAGTTGATCGGGTCCACGTCAAACCCTAGCAACTGCAACGGGGAGAATTAAAGATTCGTAGTGCTAGGTAGTTGTAGACACATATTCTCGTGGAGAGAGGAGGTTGAAGTAAGTAGTTGTAGACGCCAAGAACAATCATCATGTTGATTTGAAGAAGTGCTACAGCTGAAGACTAGTAGAGAAGTTCAAGTAGGCAGCTGTACTTCTCCTACTTACTGTTCCATCCTGCCTACTTGAACTTCTCTACTAGCCAGCTGTAGTACTTCTTCAAGCTTGAACGATTGACTAGTAGAAGTACTACAGCTGACTACTAGTAGAGAAGTTATATTCCGAAAGAGATTCAAAAATTCTAATTTGTTCGAGTATCTTCATCCAGATAACATCTGCAACTTTGACTTGATGTTGCCAACATCACCATCCGACTACCTCTACAAGAACAACGAACTACGTACATCTTCTACACCTATCTAACGCTAACCCCGCGTCGGCCATAGAAAACAGCACTTTTGTTGCCAACGTAACCATGAACCACATGGGATTGGATTGACAGGACCCGCTTGCGTTTCCAAGCAATATCAGACAACGCCTGTGACAACATCTTTTTGATTCTGTATCTGCAGTCTATTCGATGTTCAAATATAGAACGTCGATTGTTCAAACGTAGAGGTACTCAAGTTCTTCTGTTACGACTTGTAGGAAGTCGTTCTTACTCATTCTTGTTTTCAGACGAACGATGATGATCCTAGCAACAGCTAAACAAGACTCTGAAATAACCTCCAGGTGAACAAGATGACAAAGACATTATAAAGATAAACTATCTACACGAGTAAATGTTGTGTAGATGTTGATGTAATGCCCATCAAAATCAAATAAGTTTCTCTGTCGCACAACAAAATCTGAATCAGGGAACAAAAAATGGGTGTTATGTCAATCATCTCTTCCTAGTTCCTTGGTATATTGAGTACTAGATGTTGAAGTTGAGTGAATGAATGAATGAATGTGCCTAGCGCGAGGTAGAATATTGTAGCTTTAATTCAGTTCGGGTCATCCGCGAGTGTTTTTCGCTGTCCTTGTCCTTCATCTTCATCATGGTATCATAGTTATCCGTTAATTTAGTCGCGGAGATCCTTACATTTCGCCACCGAACCGAAATGCGAACGGATCGTATCGAAATGATTTTTGGAAATACAAATGCTTGACTGCGTTCTGATTGCCGCTTCGACGCCTTTCCGCCCTCTCTCTCTCTCTCTCTCTTACTATGTCTTCAAGCGTGTTTTTTCGATCAATCGTCTGTGACCATATTTTTCACCTGTGCGAGTGGAACAAGAGCAAGTCTGTGCAAAACTGCCTCTGCACCTGCAACAAAGATCAGCACAAGACGAAATGAACCAATCGTCTCTTTTTTCATCAATATTTATATAAGTAACTACATCTGAATAGGGACAAAAAAGGAAGAAAGTTCAATGTGTAACTAATCGTTGTAGATTCCTCTGTGCATCTCCATCATGGTCATGCGGATCTCTTCAACAGGAGACGTGAATCACGTGATAAGAACATCAAGAGCATTCATCTCGGTCTTCACGATGTAAGCAATACCAACTGCAACAATGAGTAGGAAAACACTGATTCTGCTGTTTATGATCGACAACACGTGGCCTCCACATCCATGCTATTTCCGTTGATGTTGAATTTGAATTTGTATATTTTTAGTCACATCTTCTCCTGATTACTGGGTATTTGCCTGCTGCGGATGTTCAAGGACCCACCTCCACAGCAGGAGCACTGGGATGACGCGGTTATTGATGTTGTTGTTGATCTTTTCTTCGACACCAGTTGATTCAGTCCGCACTTTCATTGCGCGGTCCACGAGGTCGTTGAATTGTTCTCCGTATTTGTTGGCAAAAGATTCACCTGTTTTTAGTGCGTCAGTGTGACCCGTCAGGATGCTCACCTCCGCCCCCAACTTTTTGGCCTTGTTTACTACGCTTTCTGAGGATGAGGACCACAACCACGACAACGGAGTCGAAGTTTAGAAAGAAATATCAAATCTGAATGAATCTTCGCGAGACAATCCTTCAATCATGAATCATCTGCGACATTGAATTGGCCGAACAACTACTACAACAGAATAGCAGCAGTTTGCTTGTGCTTGTTTTTATTTATTATATCCTGGAAAGTATAGCTGTCTTCTGCGTTTTTTTCTCGAATAAGTAAATCAACGTCCAACAATCTAAACCCTCACTGTGGGTTTGACATGTTGTTACCAGCAGCAGCAGGTGGAGCCGTAACAAGACCAAATATAATTGGACATCCCGCAATCGCCACTCCTACCAGCCTTTAAGGCTTTCCGAAGCGCGTCTTGAAATTGAATGTTGCTCCACCGTGGCTCTTGTCTACGTCCTTTTGGAGAGCCTGCTTTTGCTTTCGTTTTCCCTAACTCTTCAACAAAAGCATTGAACTGCGTACTTAAACTTATGTCCTCATAATTGATTGTCTCCCAATTGGCAGCAATAATGCCGACTCCTTCTAAAATGACTTCGGGTTTCAAGGCGTCCTCTGGCGCTTTCTTCTTCTCGTCCTTCTTGTTGTACGCTTTCAATTGCGTAAAAGCATTCACACCTTCCACATCGTCACCATCGTCTTCGACGACGTTATCTCCATTCCAACTGGTGATGACCTTTCTTTCTTCGTTCCTAGTGATTCCCTGAGCGAGGAAAACACACGTCGTCAGGAAGACGACAGTGGTCACGCGGAAGGTTAGAGTGGTTGGAAAGTTCTCTTGGGGTGAGGAAGTTGTTGATAAGGTTTCTTTTGGAATCTGGAGTATCTTCTTCTTCAACACAATCGGAATAATTAATCAAGAACGACATAAGGAGTTGCGACGCGATGCAAGCACTCCGGAGACGATCGGCATTTTCGTCATGGTCGTCATCATTTGGGACGTGGTCTTGTTGCCTAGTATGTATTAAACAACCACTTACTTCGCCACTGAAGACGTCTCTCTTCTCAACTGCAGACAACTCTTCCACCTCTACGAACAGTTCCAGTTCTTGATCATCTACTTATATCCAATCACATGATCACAAGAGCAGTCGTCTTCTACTTGAATACCTCGCTCAAAGACAGCTTTTGTGGTGGATCTTTTTACCTTCCTCACTCTCAATGTAGATCACGTTGACACTTCTCACAAAGTTTAGACTCTTCTACATCTTCTCCTTCGCGGCATGACAATTGTTCCTTTTTCCGTGTGATATTTCTCTTCTGATTTTTCTGCAATATTGTAGGATATACTTGCTCCAGTGAACAGCCTTTGGCTTTGGCGCATGGATTTAGATTTTTTTGATCTGGGACGATGCTTCATCTGGGTTAGATTCCAGATTAGTATCTTGACGAAGCCTACAGCATCATCTTGTTGATGTTTCACTGAGACGGTAATCGCTCTGCGGTGTGTAACGTGTAAGGCACGAGAAAAGTTGATTCTTGGTTGTTCTATACTCGTTGTAGTCGAAGCGCAGTCACGACTTAGTCTTCAACATCGACTACATCCATCTTCAGGTTTTGTTCCCTCCTACCGCTCACGTCGTCTCCAACAGGGTTTTCATGATGTATCTCCATTCCGATATCCACTGCCTGAGCCTGCTGCTCGTTCTTACCTCCACTTTTAGTACTAGTACTACCTAAATCCTGCTCGACCTGTTGCTGCTCGTTACCCCCGTTTTTAGCACTATTTAATCCCGGATCCAAGACCTGCGCGCTACCCCCATTCGTAGTATCAAACGGAAGTATACTGCTCCTCCCTCTTGAAATTGATGTTGTAATGGCATTAGTAGTTGTGGACCATGGGAAACCATGAATATATTTCCCTTGGTCCTCGTGGACCTGTGGTCCTGTAGTTGCAGTTCCAGTATCATAAAATCCTTTATCCACTCCGAATCCGGAAAAGAGAGGACTAGAAACCGACTGAGCACGTTCTTGATGTTGAGAGGAGGGCTGTTGTTGAGATTGAGAAGGATGAATTAGAGAAGCATCAAGCTGGGTGTAGTAGGAAGATGAAACGCGTTTACTCCATAATCATGGTCACCGACGTGATGTCTCCTCTTCACAAGAGTCCTGTGTTCTTAACTGTCACAACAAGAAACACTCTAACTTGACAAGATGATTCAAGATCTTCATTCTTCAATTCCAATAGCAATATTATCTATTTCTCAAATGACTTCCTCCAATTCTCTACTTTCTCTCCGTCTCTGTCTCACACCATTTGTTCCATCCTTTCCCCATAAAAATGAAGTTGCGGTGATCAACTGTTCGTCGACATTGCTGCTCGACGATCTTTGGCACTTGGTACGCGGATTCTCGGTTTCGTCTTCTACTTCGTGATGCGTATCCAGACTCATTCTCATCGTCAAGTTCACCAAAGCGTCTATCTGTTTGCGCTTCCGGGACACGTCATGAAGATGGAGGACGGGGTAGAGCTAGCGCTAGGGGTCCTTATGATATATAGATACAATCTGATGTCAATATTCTTCAAAAAAAGTGTGGTAATGGTGCGTCACGCTCACGACCTAAAGTTAATATTATCCCACTACTTCTTCCTTGTTGGCCTGTAGTTTCTATCCTACTGATGAACTGATGAAGCAGGCGACCAACCAGCGAGGATGCAGCTCGTAGCTGGACTTTCAGGAAGATTCGTCAGATTGATTGAAGATGAGGACTAAAAAACTGCAAAGGATTCAGCTTCTTGAAATTGAATATTACAAAGAAAAATGCTCTTTCTTAATCAATCTCTATCTTATAACTATGAGGGCGTCCACTAGTGATATGAGGAGGTAAGTGACTCGCTGAGCTCGAAGATGAGGTAGGGGCACCAGTAACTCCTTGCATGAAATGATAGCCCTCATACTCCGAAAATTCACTCTCATCGGCGTCCGTCTCGTAGCATTAGAAGGTGGTACAGGTGACGCAAGTAGCTGCTACAACATTTGATTTAGATTTTAAATAGAAATCTTCATCCGCATGATGATAGCTAAAAAATGTAAATGGATATCAAAAGAAAGTATTCCCTCTAGTTGATAGTCGCTTACTCCGAGAGCAGGAACAATAGCATCACACAGCTTCGACTAGAAAAAACCATTGTCATTCAGAACTAAGTGAATCACTTGCACTTCATCCACATCAATGCCTTAATAACCCGCCTGATATCCGCTATCGCTTTCACTGTTTGTTAACTGTCTTGCCTGCTTCCAAAGCTGGAAGCTTGAGGGACCGAACAAATTGTCTTCCCTAAATTGCAACCGTTCACTTGTGGCCCGGTGAAGGAAGAAGGTAATTGGAGTACTCACTCAGGTTGAGGTAAGACGAGAAATGATCATTGATAGACAAAGACGCAACGAAATGATAGACTCAATGACGAGGTCAGATCTAATCACAACAACAATGCAAAAGATTAAGATTTGCGTCATTACTATGATTCTGGTAGGTGCCATCGATTTATCCCCATCCGGCTTCGCCAAAGCTGTAGTAGCATTCGGTATTGAAGATACTGGTTTGGTGGATGGGGCATTAAAGATAAAGGTCCGAATGAGCGCTGATCCTCAGTTCTGATATCGTTCTGGTCTCCTGCAGTTCACCCCCTCCTCGGAAATTTGTAGGAGATGGGCTTGATGTTCGTTGAGTAGAGCAGCAATAAAGATGAAAAGCAAGTAGAGTTAATGTTAATAGGATGTCGATGTTAATTTGTTACAAATTTGGGATGATCATGGAAAAATCAGTTTCAGTATTACATTAGGAACAATTTGATTAGTATGAGTAGTCGTAGTAGTGGTCATGAAGATGCAAAACGAAGGGACTGAAACTAATGATATAGACTTACATCAGTACTAATAATTTGGCAATCGACGCCTCTTAACTTGATGACCTCCGCGGTCGTCTTCCATTGGGCTACTTTGGTGGCTCAGGAGCATCAAGTGTGACCTAAAGAGGCACTGGAGGCTCCACCACCTCCTAGTAATGCACCTGGTCTAGGCGCCCAGAGAAGCTGTCCTCCAGATGCGAAGGCACCATTTGGCGATGATAAGACTGCTGAAGAGCTGTCTTGACCTGAAACGGCACGACGGAAATGATCTTGCAAACTTTCGCAACTCCACCTCGTATTGCGTAGTTCTGGTGGTCGCTGATGCTTCTCGTGGTCGTCGTGGCATAAAGGTTGATGAAGATCCTGCTGTTGTTCTTGTTGCCCACAAAAATCATAATCAAAATTACTGCTAGTACCAGCGTTAATATTTCTATCTTCAGGTCCAGGTCCAGCAGATAAAAGATCGTGACTGAGGTGATTCATAGTCTTATTCGCAGAACTAGGCGAACTTCCACCACCAGTGCCTCCACCTCCTGCTCCAAGTGAACTTTGATGTTGCGCTCCTGCGCCTGTGAATGCGTCCACTCATTGACAGGGTCGGTTTGGGAATGTCGTTCCCCCTTTGCCATTCGAACTTAGGAACGACATTCCCGTATCTTCGTTATCAATGAGTGGCATCATACAAACTGTTGCTCCTCCGCCTCCTTGATAAAGCAGATTAAATGTTTTTGAGTAGCAAATATTGAACTGGAGACGACTTCTAGATTATGAGTTCCCTCGAACGCAGCAAATGGCAATGGAATCGTCTACAACTTTATCGTAATGAATCTGAACGAGATTGCCATTAACATCATCACAGAATTGTGTAGACGGTCTAGTTTAACATTAACAACTCACTGAGTGGGTGTAGGTGTTCACTTAAGACCGCTAACGATCTTTGCTTCTAGCATAAAAGAACTGTCAGCGGTAAGCATCGCCGATATAACCGTCGCAATCAACTCTTCATGATTTGTGAGAAAGTTCCCGCTTCGGAAGCGACGCTTCCTTGAATCGGATAAATATAAATGTGACATGCGTCTCAAGGCCTGCGTAGGATTCCTCGAAAGGGTTCCTGAAACTGTTGAAAGGAACTCAGAGAGTGAATTACATCTACCCCGAGCACGGAGCGGGCTCTTCTGAAGTGAGGGCCTATGAAAGGAGCAATGAGCATGAACCCCTGATACAGATGTGAGCGACGGCACGGCGTTGGAGCAGAGAGCGGCGCTGGAAACTGCTCACGCTAAGCAAAAGCGCACCGTTTTCGCATCCATGGGCGTGGAGGAAGGAAGCGAAAAGCGACAGAGAAAGCGGAACAAATACTCATGGCGAAAGCGAATGGCTCAAAGAAAGTGAGCCATCGTTTTGAACAGTACTACAGGATTAGAGTATATGCAGCCGCCAAGCGATAAACCAACAGGGAATGAAGCCGACACGCGTTCCCCCTTCGCACACAAGTTTCACTCTCTCGGCCCAGGAGCTTAAGTTCGTTTCGGCTATTTTCTGTTTCATGCGCAAGGGCAACGAGCGGTCGGGTCCGTCAGAACCCTCCTGAGAAACCTACTGAGCAACGCGATCCAAGAGCTCTGCTCCCACCGAGTTTATCTCTGTCCCCGCCCCATCTTGCTGCCTTCAGTCCTGCACTCTATGGGGAAAGGCTACACCGGGATGCTGGCCAGACATATGATCATAAGAGGAAAAGGACTACAAGGCCTGTGGTGTTGGCAGCGCTTGGTGCGGCATGCTGCCAGGCTTCATCTCTTGCAGTTGCGTAAAACCATTCACACACACATCGTCACCATCATCTTCAACAGCATTATCTCCATTCCAACTTGAGATGGCCTTTTTCTCCTGGTTACGAGCGACTCCCTCAGCGAGGAAAACGCACGTTGTCAGGAAGGCCGCAGTGGTCATGCAGCAAATCAATTAGAGTGGAAACATGTTAGCGCAAGGTGCATTGGAGAGTTTTACGGGTTATTTGAGGGTGTGCGGTGATTGGGGTATGATGTTCTGATCAAGATCATGACTCAGGATGAGAAAGGTTTTATTTGTTGCAGAAGTTGTTGAAAAGATGAATTTTGAAGCATCTTCAACACAAACACAATCGGAATAATCAAGAGTACCATAATGAGTCACGCCGTAACGCAAACACTCGTCCAGAGGCGATCGGCATTCTCGTTACCGTTTCTCTACAAAGCTAGCCACTTATCGCACTTATCAGACAACGACTAGCCCTTACAATTACAACTGCAAATTTTTCGAGAAAGTTGTGGCGGGTGGTATAGATGCTGAAAGAGTATGGCCCACATTTTTTCCAGGACGCAGCCCGAAGAAGGCGGGAGTTCGTTAACCTCCTATACTACTCACTACTTTTTTCACGCAGCACCAGCTTGGGCGAACGCAGAGAAAGCAAAGATTTCGATACGCGCAGAGAAAGCAAACACTTCACAGACCCAAGAGTCCTGCGCACACAGCGGAGGAGGGTCCTGGTCGTCCAGCTCAAGACCTAACGATCTAAGTCGTACGCTGATTTTCTGGAAGAACGACATGAGACGGGTGGATGGATGGAGCAGTGCCAGCGTGTCGCTCAAAGGAGAGCGGCGGACGGACCAGAGAAAATACTGCAGAGAGTGCTATCTTGGAGTAAAGGAGAGCTTTTCTCGTCGCATATTTGTCGTTTTCTGAGACAGAAAGAGATGCTGGATAAGGCGAGCCACTGACAGCGTTCCCAGTTGTAGAGAAAATCTTCATGATCAGACGGCGCACAGAGACCGAGAAGGGCAGGCATCAGACAGGTGATGCTTGGCATCAAGATCCATGCGAACGCATCATGTGCAACAGGCGGAAGCTGGTCGTACACAGCAAAATAGCTGAAGTTACACTTCTCGTCTTTGCCGCGACAGAGTGGCAGTCCTGCAGCAGATGGCAGGAGATTATGCGTAAGTCACTTGTCTGAAACTATGGTAACGCCCGATCAAGACCAGCAAAAGCTAGACTCACACTCATTAGTACTCCTTCGTGATTCAATCCAAACCTCGTCTCCAACAACAACCCCAAAGAAAACAAGAACATCAGCAGGCACCTTGCCATGTGGCTGCACCTGCATGTGACAAACAAAAACAAAATCGTACTCATACAATTGAAAAACATACATCTGTATGCCAAAAAACGAAAAGTAGTGGCTACTTCAATGAATAAGAAACGGACCACTCATCATGGATGGATGTCAACCTAAAGGAAACACAGCATGAATTTCTAAATCCAACAATGAGATTCGCAATCCAACCTCACATCGACAGCACCAACAAGTCTGTCTACTAGATTGATGAAGCTGGATGTCCTCCTAGCTTTCCTGCTCGATAGCGATGTACTAGAAGAACATCAATGAGACGACGGAACCGGTGGCCACTGTTGGTCTTCTCCGCGTGAGGAACCAGATCACTCCGTCTTAGTCATGTCCGGGCCGCACACTGGACGCTGATCGACACAGACAGCCGCCTAGATTCGGTTTCCTGGATGTCAAAAGTAGAGGAATTTGAATTGGATGAGATGAATAAACCAAAACTACTGTTGCAAGAATCCACGTCAAAGTCCAGTACGGGTGATTATCATGATCCCTCTCATCAATCTTGCACAACCACAAAAAAATTCATTCATTCATACAAAAAAAAAAACTCAAACAAAGCATGAAATAAACTAAAACTACCTCTGCTCTGTTCTCCTTCTCAGGAAAGTATCTGCCGGCAGCGACGATCTCTCGTCGCTTCATGCGTCCTCCAATGATCTCCATGGTCTTGCGTCCAGGAAAGTGCACGACCTGCATACACCGGGTCAACTTGAAAGACATCGGCTTGGCGAACGCCGACGCCTTTCGGCTCGAGTAGTAGCGGTCGAGACGCAGGTTCTTGAGCAAGTCCATCGCATTGATCTCGAAGTCGAACCAGCGGGACTTCCACGTGCGCTAGGCCGTGTCTAAATCCATCGCGAAACGCAAGTAGCAACCAAGTGCGCTTGCAGAACTTACCCTTGGACTTGTCGCCGTTGCCCCTGAAATAAAGGGTCAATTTCATAGACGGAAAAAGTAAGAAGATTTAGAAGATTTAGAAAGAAGAAGAACGTTTTAGCCGCATTTTGGCAACATGTTCATCAATCAAGCTTCACCCCTAAACTCTAATCCTACATCAACGGAAACAAAATGTTGAGAATGACCCATCATGGTCTACCTCATTGTCTCTTTCTGTCAACTACATCTTTAGATTAACATTAAGTATTTAGTCCACTTTTTAGATTTAGATTTTTTTTAGAAGAGAAGTTGTAACCAAATAACTTTTGGTTTGTACCTGTACTACCATCGTGGCCGCAGGATGTCCTTCACCGAGATCTAGTGCATCATCCACCACTCACCGGTCCATATTGTGACGTCGCAGGCACCCTCTGAGTGGTCTGCTCCTCATACATATCCGTTACATGACGTAGATCACAGTGCGCGTTTAGTTCACGGCGTTAGTCATCATGTCGATGGTCGCAGACTCGACCGCCTGGAAAGAGCGAGTTGCTGTTTGATTTCATGGGAAACGATAGATTTAGATGACTCCTCGTCTGTAAGTCTTCAAACTGGATTCTATGGAGAATAATCGGAGAAAAGTACTTATACCACTAGTTACTTTCAACAATTGCTATCATTCTATGTCTAAAAGTACCATATGTAGCCGACCGATGCTTCTCCGCATCCTATGAAGGCCGTAGAAGGAGTGCCGACATACATCGTCTTGCTGCCTCATGTAGTCCTGCAGGGTAGAAGCGATGTTGGTCCGCCCCGCCAAGCCACCAGACTCAAAGACGAGCGGCAACATCGTCCTGGCCGCGAGCAGCACGATATCCTATTTGAACTTGAGCTGCACATTGCGCACCCACGCAGTTGCCGGTTGACGTCGACGATCTCGCTGTGGATCGATCCGCAGCGCGAAGCCCTGGCTTCCAGTTGGGAGGCCAGACGAGCCCTGTGCTGCAACTACGCTAGCACCTGCGTCAGAAGAACAATGCGAGTCCATGTTTATTGCTTTTGTTCTAAATAAAGCGAAAGTCTTAGATGGGTTATGATATAAGGTACCTAGATGCAACAATAATAGAAGATTTGGATTTGGAGAAGATGAGCCATACTGTATCTTGGTAGCACACTGCGGCTAGCTTCTCTTGTTTCTCAGGATCTCTTGTTGTAGTTATCGTATGCCTCGATCTTAGACGTAAAAGTAGTGACCCTCTTCTTGTGTTCACTCAAAAAAGACGCACTCGTCTTGCACTCGTGACTTGAAGCGCCTCTGCTCCTGAGCACTCTCGCCGCAGCCTGTCACTAGCGGTTCGTCTGATTGCGTGAGTAGAGCCTCTTTCTCCGTGAACAGCTCTAAAAATCGGCCTCTCTTCCTCTTGTTCGTCTACTTCTCGTTGTGTGGTAAAAAAGGAGGCAATCCTAGTCAGATCTTCTTCACATTCATTCAGATTAGGGAAAAAAAGAGAAATCTTGACCAATATTCTTTATCCATGATGCTGAATTCTTCAAGGGATTCTTCAATATTCATTTTCATCGTCTTCGCCACTCAGTGACAAGTAAGAAATGGGAAAAAACGTGATGGATGATGTCAGGCTCAATGCCATCTACAACTTTTTATGGAGTTCGTGAGTCAGGCTCGAGATGGTAACTTTACGCATGTACTACCTTTCCGACATGATGAGTGTGCATGTTGCTCAGCTTTCTCTTTTAAGTTAATAATCCAGCTTCATCAGAATGCTTCATAATGCGTCTCATCTTCTGCCAGAGTACTACACTAAGTCCGGCGCATTCGTGAGTTTCTCCAAAGAGGCGTGAGGCAGCAGCCGCGACATATCAATCTTCGAGTTCATTACCTGTGATGAGAAAGAGTGACGAATGTAATACAGAGGAAAACTAGATTGGTGTCTTAGGAAACCCCAAGACACACGAGAGCGAGCCACCTTTTATGAGTTACTTGTGGGAGTCTTCTCTAGCATCTTCTTCTTCTTTTTCTCTGTTTTCAGAGTTTCATCAACATGATGAGGTCCGGTATCATAGAAGGATGGTTTGTTTTCTAGTCCTTGTTCTAAATAGTCACTCTTTCAAAGAAATGCTCTGCTTCAGCACATTCGAAGTACAGAAGTAGGAGTGTATTACGTATTTTGGATCCATGCCGACAAGGACAATGCCAAACCAGTGCCACAACAGGAGCGCTGGGATAACCCTTCCGTTGAGGTAATCGGTGGCCCTTTTCACCCTGTCCTCACGATATACTTCCCGCTGATTGATGGCCACCGCAAAGAGGGTCGCAAAGCCAGGACTACCGGGGGCAGGAGCCTGGACCATTTGAAAGTGAATGGTTAAAGTCCCCGGATCCGTCGCTTCTCGATCTGTCACGATTTCCCCTAAATTAAGGGACGCCGCGATAGATCAGAACGCGAAGGGCCCAGCTTTTCGAACCGTCTTAGGGCTCCTTTGGCTCCGTCCCTGTGAGGTATTCCACTTCTTCCCCCAAACTCCCGAGTTTGAACCTCATGAGGTCGAGGCTTTTCTTCTACGGATGCACGGGGCCACTTTTCGACTCTGTCGACTTCCTACTGTCGGAATCGCTGCCATAATTCCTAGAAGAAACTCAGCGAGTTATAATTTATGAGCACACACCGACAAATTTGCGGCACTAAAAAACCACAGGCCAGCGGGGTGCAACAATCATTGCGCCGCCTCTTCGTCTTTCGTGCTCAGCGTCGGAGAAGATCTGAGCCGACAAAAGCAAAAAACCGAAAGCACCGAAACACGAGTAGACCCCCCAAGAAGTGGGGCCCTACTTCTCAGGCCCCCCACTGCTACCGCCGGAACGTCGAAGCGATCCCTGGCAAGCAAAGTGACGAGATCCGACAGTATTTTTTTGCAGAAGTCGAAAAGTGGCCACATAAATGCTATCAGTGGTCCTGCCAAAGCCGAGGAACCCGTGCCCCTCCACTCATTAGAAGAAATGCTCTGCGAAGATGAAGAATTTCGAATCTGCTCAGGCTAACACTAAAAGGATGCGACTAGCTGAGAACAAGTGGCTTAGGCGTTGGCGTAGTGGTTTAGGCGTTGGCCTGTTCGCCTATCACTAACTACAATAGTTGCCTCCTGTTGAAGTCTCAACACTTATAGGGCCCGAAAAAAGTATCCGCCTCGCCTCTCCTCCTTGGCCTTCACTTTTTTCGACTTCAAGGCATAGCATTGCGTAAGCATGAGTAGGAAATGGACCGATATCAGAATTAAACAGTCAGCCTTCTATGCCTACATATCAAAAATATGAGTGCGACGTATCAGTATCTAATCGTCTTCCAAATTTTGTCATGTCGCGCCTTAAGTGGGCCACTCGACCTCGAAGTAACCGCATGCGTTCTTTCTAGCAGATATGAGCAAGTCCGCCATGAATTGTAGGAACTGTGCGTTATCGGAAAACTGCTTGCCACATATTTGCATCAGGTTTTCCTGCACCTCCTCTGCCGTCGGGGTAAAAAGTCTCGGCGGTTTTTCTGCTGTTGAAGCTAAAAAAAGCTTACTGGTGTCGACAGTGGGCGAAACTGAATGGTCAAAGGTTCTTGATCTGTCGTGTATCGCATCTGTCATATTTTATGCCCGGCCACCCTTAGCATGCTATGACAGAGACAGAGCTGAAAAGAGATCAAGGACTTTCTTCAGCCATATATTGCGGGAGTTGGACGAGTACTGTTAGAACGCAAGAAATGTCCTCTTGTTATAGTTAGTCCTCTTATTCAGTCTTCAACGGGAACGAGGGGGACCGGGATCGGACAAACCTACTTCGACAACATGAATCGTCTTGGCGTTCTTCATATGCCACATTTAAGTCCAACAGAGTCTGAGAAAGTGTGGTCTTCAATCTTAAGTTGTCTTCGCTTGTACTTCCGCGCCAATTTTCTCCAAGCAAGCTCGCACCTTATCCTTGTCGCCAAGCCACACCTTCGTGGGTGTTCTAGAAGCCACTCCTACTTGCACAAAAGCATTCACACCTTCCACATCGTCACCATCATCTTCAACAGCGTTATCTCCATTCCAACTGGTGATGACCTCTCTTGCTTCGTTACGAGTGATTCCCTGAGCGAGGAAAACGCACGTCGTCAGGAAGACGACAGTGGTCATGCGGAAGGTTAGAGTGGTTGGAGAGTTCTCTTGAGGAAGTTGTTGATAAGGTTTCTTTTGGAATCTGGAGTGTCTTTTTCTTCAACACAATCGGAATAATTAATCAAGAAGGCCATAAGGAGTTGCGACGCGATGCAAGCACTCCGGAGACGATCGGCATTTTCGTGATGATCGTCCTCCTTTGGAACGTGGTCTTGTTGCCTAGTATGTATTATACAACCAGTTACTTCGCCACTGAAGACGTCTCTCTTCTAAACTGAAGACAACTCTTCCACCTCTACGAACAGTTCCAGTTCTTGATCATCTACTTAAATATCCAATCACATAATTACAAGAGCAGTCGTCTTCTACTTGAATATCTCGCTCAAAGACAGCTCTTGTGGTGGATCTTTTTACCTTCCTCACTCTCAAGGTAGATCACGTTGACACTTCTCACAAAGTTTAGACTCTGTCTTCTACATCCTCTCCTTCGCGGCATGACAATTGTTCTTTTTTCCTTGTGATATTTCTCTTCTGATTTTTCTGCAATATTGTAGGATATACTTGCTCCCGTGATGAACAGCCTTTGGCGCATGGATTTAGATTTTTTTGATCTGGTACGATGCTTCATCTGGGTTGAATTCCAGATTATAATATCTTGACGAAGCCTGCAGCATCATCTTGTTGATGTGTCACTGAGACGGTAATCGCTCTGCGGTGTGTAAACTGTAACGTGTAAGGGACGAGAAAAATTGATTCTTGGTTGTTCTATACTCGTTGTAGTCGAAGCGCAGTCACGACTTAGTCTTCAACATCGACTACATCCATCTTCAGGTCTTGTTCCCTCCTACCGCTCACGCGATCGTCTTCTCCAACAGGGTTTTCATGATGTATCTCCATTCCGATATCCACTGCCTGAGCCTGCTGCTCGTTACCTCCACTTTTAGTACTAGTACTACCTAAATCCTGCTCGACCTGCTCGGTACCATTATTACTATCTAATCCCGGATCCAAGACCTGCTCGCTACCCGCATTCGTAGTATCAAACGGAAGCAGACTGCTCCTCCCTCTTGAGCTTGATGTTGTAGTGGCATTAGTAGTTGTCGACGATGGGAAACCATGAATATACTTCCCCTGGTCCTCGTGGACCTGTGGTCCTGCAGTTGCAGTTCCAGTATCATAAAATCCTTTATCCACTCCGAATCCGGAAAAGAGAGGACTAGAAACGGACTGAGCACGTTCTTGATGTTGAGAGGAGGGCTGTTGTTGAGATTGAGAAGGATGAATTAGAGAGGCATCAAGCTGGGTGTAGTAGGAAGATGAAACGCGTTTACTCCATAGTCGTAGGACAATTCCGAACCGACTAACATCATCACTCCATAATCATGGTCACCGACGTGATGTCTCCTCTTCACAAGAATCCTGTGTTTCTAACTGTCACAACAAGAAACACTCTAACTTGACAAGATGATTCAAGATCTTCATTCTTCAATTCCAATACATAGCATTATCTATTTCTCAAATGACTTCCTCCAATTCTCTACTTTCTCTCCGTCTCTGTCTCACACCATTTGTTCCATCCTTTCCCCATAAAAATGAAGTTGCGGTGATCAACTGTTCGTCGACATTGCTGCTCGACGATCTTTGGCACTTGGTACGCGGATTCTCGGTTTCGTCTTCTACTTCGTGATGCGTATCCAGACTCATTCTCATCGTCAAGTTCACCAAAGCGTCTATCTGTTTGCGCTTCCGGGACACGTTATGAAGATGGAGGACGGGGTAGAGCTAGCGCTAGGGGTACTTATAGTATACGATACGATGTGAAAGTGAATATTCTTCAAAAAAATGTGGTTGTGGTGCGTCACGGTCACGACCTAAAGTTAATATTATCCCACTACTTCTTCCTTGTTGGCCTGTAGTTTCTATCCTACTGATGAACTGATGAAGCAGGCGACCAACCAGCGAGGATGCAGCCCTTCCTCTGTAGCTGGACTTTTAGGAAGATTCGTCAGATTGATTGAAGATGAGGACTAAAAAACTGCAAAGGATTCAGCTTGAAATTGAATATTACAAAGAAAAATGCTCTTTCTTAATCAATCTCTATCTTAACTATGAGGGCGTCCACTAGTGATATGAGGAGGTAAGTGACTACTCGCTGAGCTCGAAGATGAGGTAGGGGCAGCAGTAACTCCTTGCATGAAATGATAGCCCTCATACTCCGAAAATTCACTCTCGTCGGCGTCCGTTTCGTCGCATTAGAAGGTGGCACAGCTGCTCCGAGAGCAGCAACAATATCATCTTCATGCTGCTTCGAACTTGCCAAAAAAAACATTGCCATTCAGAACTAAGTGAATCACTGGCATTTCATCCACATCAATGCCTTAATACCCTGCCTCATATCCGCTGTCGCTTTCGCTGTTCGTCAACTGTCTTGCCTGCTTCCACAGTTGAAAACTCGAAGGGCCGAACAAATTGTCTTCCCTAAACTGTAACCGTTCACTTGTGGCCTGTTGGAGGACGAAGTGGTTGTAATTGGAGTACTCACTCAGGTTGAGGTAAGAGAAATAATCATTGATAGACAAAGACGCAAAAATGAAATGATAGACCACTCAATGACGAGGTCACGTCGATCTAAATGATTAGGATTTGGTGCATCATTAGTACTATGATTCTGGTAGGTGCCATCGATTTATCCCCATCCGGCTTCGCCAAAGCTAGGTTTCCACCCCGTTGTTGCGCACCCGTGCGAGGATTAAAAGAGATGAGAATGAACATACAACGGGTCGAAAATTAAAATACATAGTATCAATCTATCTCTATGTTAACTTTGTACATCCATTTGTCACGTAAAACATCAGGCTTAACAGATGTATTGGTGTTCCCGTTCTCTCCAGTAGCAGGCATATTCAAAGCCCCTTTCCCCGGTGCCTTATGCAAACGCGGTCCGCGCTCCCATGTTAGATGACCAGACATTTTTATCTCTTCTGGTTCTGCTGGTAGAAATTGTGAAAAATGTCCATGACCAGACATTTTTATCTCTTCTGGTTCTGCTGGTAGAAATTGTGAAAAATGCAATTCTTGGACATGATGAAGATGATGCATGATCATCTACTTCTCTGTAGCTGTAACTGTAGCTGATAGAGATTGAGACTGTAGTTCCTTCATGGCTTATCAAGATGCTCTTTTTATTTTTTACTTAGTACAATTACATACATTAGAGGTAGGCTTTTGGTGCTTGCTTACCCCGCTTGTTATGCCTTTCTCCCTTAGGAGAGGCATAAAAAGCGGTAAGAAAAGCACCTTTAACCTACCCTTAAATACGGTGACGGTAATGGTAGCCTTAAAGACACATGCTCCATGAGACGCGTGAGCAGTGAGTGCGGATTCTGCGTTCCAGAGAGCGGGTGCGGGAAGACGACAGGCGAAAGCGACCCGCTGCCTGGCGATAGGAATTCTCTGGCGGATGTTAGACTTCTATCTAAAACTATGTATGATGATTCGAGTCTATTCGGCAGATAAGATTGCCTAAGATTTCGTCTCTGAAGAAAGTTTCTGCCCGAACCCGCTTAAGTCAACAACATTCTCTATTATAACAAGTACAAGACCCACTCCTGCACCATAACAAGGGAAACAGTGCTGAGACTGGCGGCGAGCCATGCTGCAACTCTGTGGTCCAGTGATGTTGTTGTTGAAGTAAACCCCCAGACGCTTTGACAATCTCAGTCGACGACAGTACTCCTCCACCTCCCATGTTGACTCCAGTACCATTAGGGGTTGCGCAATTACATTCTTCAGATCATCCTTGCCTTCTTTCCTATTGGGAAATAAGTCAAGAATGGTAGTAGAAAAGGATGCAATTCGGTAACCCTTAATACCAGTTGTTGTAGTGTTTGTAGGCGTTAACGTTGACGCTGCAGCGCTAGTGGGCCCTCCTATATTACTTGTTGATGGTGTACTAATTATATTGTCGCTGGGATTAGTGGGACGCTTAGTGGAATTAGTAGTGCTAGTGGCCCCTCCACCTGTATGTCTAAGCAAAGATGTGCTAGATGGGTCTGCAATATTATGAGATGTTGAAGAGTGAGAGTGAGGAGCAGCTCCTGTAGAGATACTGAGATTATTTGTAGTGGGATTTGTAGTCGGATTCGGTATTGAAGATACTGGTGGATGGAGCATCAAAGATGAAGGTCCGAGTGAGCGCTGATCCTCAGTTTTGAAATCGGTCTGGTCTCCTGTAGTTCCACCCCCTCCTCGGAAATTTGTAGAAGATAGGCTTGACGTTCGTTGATTAGAGGAGGTTAGCCTTGGCACAAACACAAGTAAATGTGAAGAAACTAGATGTAGATTTTTGACTGATTAGGGACAAGGCACAAGCACAAGTAAATAAAGAAAAGCCAATGCTAATACATAGAATGTTGATATTAATTTGTCGTCGGGATCATGGAAAATGAAAAATCAAGTATTTCTACTAGACTGTATTAGTAGTAGTCGTGTGCCCAGTCTAGGGGTATAGCTGTAGTTGTAGACCTACAGTACTAACAATTTGGCAATCGACGCCTCCTAACTTGATGACCTCCGCGGTCGTCTTCCATTGGGCTACTTTGGTGGCTCAGCATCAAGTGTGACCTAAAGTTTATGCTGCTTGTACTCGTATTCAGATCTGACGCTGAAGAGGCATTGGAGGCTCCACCACCTCCTAGTAATGTGCCTGGTCTAGGCGCCCAGAGAAGCTGTCCTCCAGATGCGAAGGCACCATTTGGTGATGATAAGACTGCTGAAGAGCTGTCTTGACCTGAAGCAGCACGACGGAAATCCTGCAAACTCTCACAACTGTTCGTATTGCGTAGTTCTGGTGGCCGCTGATGCTTCTCGTGGTCGTCGTGTAATAAAGGTTGATGAAGATCTTGTTGTTGTTCTTGTTGCCCACAAACATCATAATCGAACTTACTGCTAGTATCAGCATTATTTCTAATATCTTCAGGTCCAGGTGCAGCAGATAAAAGATCGTGACTGATGTGATTCTTAGTCTTATTCGCAAAACTAGACGAACTTCCACCTCCACCAGTGCCTCCATCTCCTGCTCCAAGTGAACTTTGTTGATGTTGCGCTCCACCTGCTGCAACTGTTGCTCCTCCTCCTCCTTGATAAAGCAGATTATGTTTTTGAGTAGCAAATATTGAACTGGAGACGACTTCTAGATTATGAGTTTCCTCGAGCGCAGCAAATGGCAATGGAGGCTGTTGAACCATCTGCCGACTCGCTTGTTCTTTCTCCCGTCTTGGGGCTCCTGGCAAGTTGTGATGGTCCTCTTCGACTGAACTAGAGTTAGAGCTCCTCGTTCTCGTACGAAATCGTCTACTTTATTATCCTGATGAATCTGAACGACAATGCCATCATCGTCACGGACTGCGCCGCCGTCTACTTTAACAACTCATCGGGTGAGTGTACTAAGTGTTCACCTAAGACCACGGACAAGACGATCTTTGCTTCTAGGTAGTGTAAATTAAAGCTCAGCCTTCAATGGTCATCATGACTCTGAACGGGAGGGACCCCCTTCAAAGCTCTCCCCTTTCCCTTCTTTTTCTCCTGTTCTCTCAAGGGGTCGCCTCTTCGATCTCAGTGACCAACCCCGATGACCATTGAAAGCTGAGCCTTAAGTAAAAGAACTGTCAGCGAGGCGATGCTTTCCCTGGAGTCACGGTCATCTTGACACTGTTTTCCCCAGCATACCAAGGAAAAACAGCTTGTGCGTGTTTTCAAGAATCAGCGTGCTTATTAGTGTAAATGCCTTAATAGAAGCCAAAGAGAATCCGGGTTTACTCCACAGAGCACGGTCACCCGCAAGCGCCGCCGGGATCCGCCACACCCTTTTTCTATGCCGCATATATTTCCGCATGTTGCGACTGTTCAGAAGTCGGCTGTTGCGCGCCATAACCATCCATTCTTTCGCTGTCAAAGAGCCAGGTTGTTGGACCATACTAGACGTAGCACCTCCTGTAGTTGCTGTTGAACCCGCAGCTGCAAGCCCACCTCCTGTGGCACTAGAGGTCGCTGTATTTGTTGTTGTATTCACGCTGCAAGTGTTGTTACCATAATTGGCATTCATGTTGTTATTCGTAGTAGTTGTAGTCGAAATATTGTTCGCCGTCATCGTCGTCATGCTAGACGACGTAGCTGCTCCACCAAGACAGGTGCCAGTTCCTGAAAGACCTTGATGAGAATGTCCGAAGTTAGGCGGCGCACCTCCAAAGTTAGGGGGCGCATGAGAAGATGAAGCACCAGAACCGGAGATGTGCAGCATACTCATCGGCATGGATGAACTTGAGGACGCGGAAGTTCCTAGGATTTAGAGGTTGTTGCAGCATATCTAAATGAGGAGGAAGACGACCTGAGAAGAAACAGGAAGTATCAACATCAAGCAAATAGAACTGCAAGAACGGATCATTCGTTTGGTAAAGATTCCTGCTCCAAGACTACCATGTCAATGTCGGTTGTATGGGTAGTTAAACAATCAGAAACATGATGAACAAGCACAAAATGGATATTCACCAGTCGCGTAGAGACTAGTCTCACTTACACTTATCTCGACACTGTCGAGGTAAACAAATAGAAAGGTGCTCCAGACTAGGCCAAGATTTCATATGATCCAACAGTGGATTTACGTAGTCGTCACCTAGTACTAGTAGCTGCTGCGTAAGTAATTTTTACCGTTAATACGTAGTTACGCACTAGTTCTAGTTTCAGTTTCTGAAGTTTTACTACAACATACCAGTTTATTGTTGTTGAGTCCATCTTTATCTCATCTACATGATGCACGTCTTTCTTCTTCGTAAGGTTGTATGAGATGGTCACGCGTGCCCATATCGACATCCTCGCGATCGGCCAAGTTCGGCGACGATGAGGAAGAGCTCACGCTCGAGATAGAAGTCTGCATCTCGGGGGGAACTCAAATAAACAAGCATAAGTTATCCAAAATCTAACTAACAACAACAACTTTGATACATATTGTTTTTAATCTCAGCCAACAAGATGAACAAGTTAATATCAGACGAGAGCATACAAATTCTCATGCTCACTTACTTTTACACTGACATTAAATCAACCAAGAAAAACAAAAACGAGCGTACTAAAAAACATCTACACTATGTCGCCGGCCCTGCTAGACATTTCTTGAAGGAGGAACTCGAGGAGTGATGCCAGTGGATAACGGTCTTTGTTGCTGATCCTGCGTGCTGTGCTCGTACGACCCTGCGAAGGAGCATGGACTGTCAGGACGACCGATTTGTTTCTAGGAGGAATCTCAACACTGTTGTAATATTTCAGAGGTCATCTCCTGTGATTACTACTTTCAGAAATTAGACCGTATGGTTCTGACTTTTTTTTTGTTCGGTCCTCCAAGGAAATCGAAATGTCTCCTTTCTCTACAGATCGCAGCGGCAGCGAGTTTCGTTCTACTCGTGCATAGAAGAAGTTCTCTTACACCAGTGCATTACAAAATGCTTGTTGGTGCTTTTTTTATGCACCTTCTCCTTGTCTTGAAGATGCCAGGTGTCTTCTTTTGCACTGTGCATGGGAAATTCCTTTCTAAATTTCTTATCGAAGTGGAGAACATCTTTATTCTTCACAAGTTTGAGATTTCTCTGTACAAAGCAAAAGCTGTCATATTTTCCAGCTTCGTCCTGTGCGGGGGGTATATTTCCCTTCATTTTGTGACTCATCACGGTTTCTTGTTTGATGCATCAGAGTGAGAATAGCAAATTTTCAACAAAAACATCTACTCATCCACCAAGCACCACCATCTACTTCGTCTACACCACGACCTCCGCAACATGTCTCCCGAAGTTGCATCCTGAGTCATTGGGATCACGACTGCCACAGCAGGTCCAGATGCCAAGGTTTCCGTCTTCTCCCTCCCCGCGCACAAAGTTCGCTACATGAACTCGGCAAGCAAGCGAGTGGTTGTATTCTGCATGGAAACGACTAGAGCATTTAGCTTAGGTTAGAGGAAGAAAAAGAAGAAAGTCTCTCAATCATGAGGATGCATGACCTGGTCCTGCTTACCTATCCTCATCAGTGCATCTCAAATGATTTTCCTCAACCAAGAACAGCTAGGTGGTGTAAGGCATCCGCCCATGCACTGTTCGATCGAAGCCTCAGCATTCATTTTTGGGAATGGCCGTAAACATTGCTGCGCAGCTAACAAAGTTGTCTTGGTGGCTTCGTCTTGCTTCAACTCTACAACACTGTCACCCTGGTCCGCACCCGCAGTCGTTGTTGACGCTGCAGTACTACTACTAGAGGGAATTTTCTTCCTCGCCACTTTCTTGCCTTCTCTGTTGTATTTTTCCAGCCACCATTGACCTGTGGCATCGAGACAGCGGAATTCGCCTACCCGCTTATTCTCCTCCCACTTCCCCAGAAGCACAAGGCCTGCACTGCTCAAAAACACCCCGTCTCCATGCGCTCGCCCATGCTCGAAGCGACCGATGTGTTGCGTATTTGTCCTCGTGATCAATGTTGCTCCTGGATCTCCACCTCCCTTATTTTTACTATAATTGGTGGCGTCGATGATCAGAACGCCTTCACCGTGTGGTCTCTTCGATGATGTTGATGCGCTTGAAGTGGTTGTGGTAGTGACTTTCGCATTCTCCACATCACCAATGAACAGGGAATCCTTGCCAATTTTCAAGACATGCTTATTATTAGAGGTAGGTTCTTGGTGCTCGCTTACCCCGCTTGTTATGCCTTTCTCCCTTAGGAGAGGCATAAAAAGCGGTAAGAACAGCACCTGTAACTACCTACCCTTAATATTATTTGAGGTCGAGGCAGAAGTCGCGGATCCTCCAGAGAAGCGTGCTACGCGACGCTTGAATATTTCACGTGCGTGTATCAGGCCACCAATCGTGTCATTCAGTTCTTTTGCTGCAGCGAAAGGGGCACGACCTGCTGCTGCATCAAGATTATGATCTTCAGTCGGCAACTTCTTGTCAGCCGTAGGAGGGCCGCTGGGAGATGAAGTAGGTGGCATCTTCGACTTGTTATATTTGTAGTGATTTTTAGAAGAGGTTGACGCCCCATGTTCTACACTTTTGTCTTTCATTGCACCTCCACGAGCACCTTGTTCCCCAATGGATTTTTCTTCACCAACAAGAAGTTTTAGTTTATCCATTCTTGCAGTTGCAGCAGCGACAGCTGCATCAGCATCAATATGATCCGCATCTACATCATGACCGTTGTTACTAGTAAGATGCACCATGACTTCGCTTCCAAGCATTTCGGCGATGTTCGTTTGTGCGATAGTGTTCGTTCTTGGGTTTGGATTGATATCTGGATCTGCTCTAGCTCCTGTTTTAAGACTCTCTACGCCTACACTACCTCCAGTAGCAGTCGATGTCCCAAGTCTCCCAACTTTTTCCATCAAGTGCGGTCTCCTATGATGAGGTCGCGATCCGACGATCAATTTTCCCCAGCCTTTGCCTTCTTGCACTACGGCTTCATTTTAGACCTTGTTCCCTGTAAAGAACACTCACTTTGAAGAAGCGTGTCTTTAACCTTTCTTCACTTTTTAAATCAATTATAATTAAAGTATCCCCTTGTTCGAAACGACCGTGTCAAGAGAGACGCACATCTGAAGATCCATCAGATGAATTCATTCTATTCTTGTCAACAAGCCTTAATCGTTCCAAGGGAGTTTGACCCGAGCTCCAGCCATACTCGCTGGCGTTCCTTTGGGGTGGATTCCAGGAAAGTACTGAAATTCGCACATGAAGGCATCCTGTCCGACAACACCACTGTTACCGGACATGATTTTTGATGTTGCTGTTGTGATGTAGATGTTTTTTCTTCTAAAAAAATTGGCGCTTCTTTTGGTTGTGATGTTCTAGTTCTCTATTTTTGACCTAAATAATTGGCACATAGAGACACAGTTCCTGGCACCACCTGAATGTACATGTACTTCTGCAACAGCGTTCATCTCTTCCTCTTCTGGAGGGACTGCTTGACTTTGAATGGCCTAGTACCAGAAAAGAACGGTCGATCGAAATCGCCATCGCCATGCATGGATTCATCACCTTTTTCGACGATGAAGTAAATTCAAATACCGATACACGAATGAAGAAGAACGCCATCAACACTATTGCAACCAGTGTCGCACAAACACAAGGGCCACTCTTCCACAAGCAAGGACGAGTCGAGCAGGGGGAATTCGATTGCGAATTTTGTACGACCTTTTTTTCTTCATCCCGTTATTTGTGTAAGTATGTACAAGAGCCCTTTAATATCTACTTATCTGACATTTCCCAAATCTCAAAATACAAGTACAGAGGTTAGTATTTGTATCTACAACAACAGGTCCCTATGGCTATGCATAATGAAGTCCGTTAATCTTAATCGTTCTTGTCGTCGTGCTTTAGAAGACATGATGGTAACTACCCCAAGGTTTTTGTACATGTTGAATAAATTTGAAATGAATATACAGTGCCACCTCCCATCAAATCATTAGATATCCAAACTGCTATGATGAAGTTAATCGTATTTTTGGAAATTGTAATGGATCAAGAACATGGAATATATATGCGAATCTTGGTATAATTGGTACTCTCATCATCGTCCAATGTATGAAGAAGTGCTCCTCTTTCTTTTAGTACAACTGTCCTTTACTGTGTCCTCTTGCAGACATCGTGTTACTGTTTCGCCGTGCTGACGCATCTATGGACCCAAACTGGAAATTCAGATTGTTCGATCCTCTAGCCCCATTGTCCGTCGCTCCTCGCGTTGGGCTTCCATACGTCGCTGTGCCCGAAAACGTGTTGGCTCCACTGTAGCTGCTTCTCAACAAATTCGCACTCGGTAGAGAGGGATCCATGATGGGGGATGCAAGCTCATGCCCGGTTTTGATGTGCACGACCGGAGCTGGCTGCAAGATGTTCATTGGACTGCTCCCTGCGCCAGCGTAGATCGTGCGTCTCGAGGCCGCTGGGCCCACTTGCTGAAAACCACTCCGACGCGGAGGACTGGCACTCATGCTGCGACGACTGAGTTAGAGCTCCAAACAATTCACTTCTACCCTACGTTTCTTCGGAATCCCAAGAAGAATACTGTAAGAAATGATCATGATCATTGCATCTCAAAAAAATATTAAATGAGTCGTTGCAGAAATGAAATATAATTATATTGCGCCTTAACTGAGGTAGCTCTTCATGTGGGGGCTTGCATTCTGCATGTCCACACTAGTGACAACGTCGTGCATCCCTTTGACTGACACGTGATCTAGTGGCGGCATGCCGTAGGAACCGTGATATCCTTGGTCATTGTCGTATCGACCAGCAGCCTTGTTGAGCATTTTGTTCGAGGGACTGCGGTTTTTCATACCACTTGAAGGACTGCGGTTCTTCGGACTCACGCTTGTAGATGACTGTCCACCCCCTCTTTGCATTCTGCCAGTGACCGCATCAGCTAGAATGATCTGATTCCGGAAATCATCATGACTGACGCTACGCTTCATGATCTCGCGTTTGACCACGTTATTTGCAGCATGCGCGTTTTTGGAACTGGTCAGGCTTTCACGACGGTCTAGCAGTTTGGCATCCGAATCTTGTCCACTTTGCAACCCTGCAGAAGTTAGACCTCCTAGAAGAACAAGTAGTACAGTACTCCAATAATTTAAGTTCATGATGATCTTCACCAGGTAGTAGAAAAATTGAAATCATCTCTAAGTCCAGAATGTGCTTATTTCTCAACATTCTTAATAGAAGCAAGATGAGAAAGGATCATCACACTTTTCACAGATCATGCTTTCTTACTCTTAGGAAGATGAAAATGAATTAGAGTATTCGCAAGGAGCCATAAGTAAGGGATCGAGATGTTCTCCTGTGAAAAGGGGTAGACCGTTGCGTACTTGTGATTCTCTGACCAAGCAGTCGATCTAGCAGAATCATTGACCTTCTTGACTGCAGGCATATATTCTCCATTGATGTTGCCGTACTTCACTGGGTTCTCATACTCCATGCCTAATTTTTCCATCGTGGCATCTCTATATTTGCCATACACGTTCAACTCGTTCACGCCTCGGTACCTGTTGTAGAGATCGTATTCATTATTTGTGATGAAGCTACTGTTTTTGAATGAAGAAGCCACAACCACAAGAATTAGCAATACCAATAGCATCATCTGCACGCCACAAACCACTCTCACAACTGTACTACATCCAAATAATTCAGATGCTGAAGATGCTGATGAAGAAGAAGATGATTGTACCTTTTATAATTTAGTCCTAATATAAAACTCTTTTAAAATAAGATCGTTGTACCACAACGGCGACCAATTTCCAATCGCCTCTGAGCTTGCCTTGTTGGGAGAGATGATTCCGCAATCCCACACTTTGGTGTTGATGTCTGGCACTTTACGTCTGGCTTCGTTAAAGTAGGCATGGATCGGACTGCTTCGGTTCTGGTCTTGCATGTGCTTAGCTCCAATCTTGTTGTAATGGGATAAGGATTAGAACGAAGAGAAATCCATCTTCGGATTCATCTTGGCGCCCACTTTGATGTTTCCGATTTCTTACTCAAAAAAGCGACCAAGATTGATGCTGGGGAAGATGGATTTACTTCTTGTATTTAGCCTTAAAAAGAGTTCATGCTCAGTCCGTCTTTGTTGAAGCTGGTGACGCAACTACGATGCGAATCCGGCTGGCCGTAAGTGTACATGGTACACTGGTCTCTGAGACCTGACTTCGGATCTGCATCTTTCAATCTTTTGTCAGTAGGCAAATGGTAAGTTACAGTGTCGCGACCAAGAGAAGCTTCGCGGTGGAGCTGGTGATTTTTAGGTTATAGTTTGGTGGAGGAATCACCAACAAAAGCCTCGATTGGAACAATTGAATTGTCGCTAACGCTTGTCGCTAACGCTAGAATCATCTTCCCACGAGGAGCGACTCTATTTCTAGTTCTAGTCTCGCGCAGCTATATCGTCTTCTCTAATAAATTGCGTCCTCCACCACGACCCGTCCGGTGACAGACTAAATGCTAAAAAACAGAAGATAACTTCTTGTACCTGTTTCGCCAACAAATCAGGTTGATGGTATTGGTTGCCGTTAGGGTAATATGGACCACCATGCTCAGACCCTGGACCCATATTTGTCGCATAAGTATGCGGCGCCATGATCGGAATCGCCTTAAACTGCGCCATCTTGTTCCGTTAAATGAGAAAAAAAACTATCTTCAGCAATCTAACTCTAAGTATGTGTAAGTATGAATGTGTGGATGCGGGACGAAGGAGTTATGTACTAGAATGATGAGAGGGTGAGGTCGTGGGTTCATATCCAAGTGTGACCTGTAAGAAAAGGAGAAAGTTGTTCGTTAGGTGGAACTGGAGGTCTTTATGCTAAAGATCGCTGAATCAAAGCTACGTACACTTCCCTTCGACAAAAGAAAAAAAAATGAAGAAGAAGCCGTTCTCGGTGAAGCAGATTGATGGAAACTCAGCATGGAAAAAACCGTCGTGACAGATCGATGCCACGTCTCAGTCTCTCTGCAACAGAGTTCTTCAGTGCAGCTCTCATCAACAGAGTTTCTCCGCGCTCTCAACAACAGAGTTCAAAATGATGTTGTTAATCTCATCTCCTCTTTGCTATATTTTCATAACAGATCACGTTGATATGAAGACAGATTTCAAAACCTTCATGAATGTCTCACCTTCAGAGCACTCAGACTCACATATTAAGACAGAAACTTGAATATCAATATGTTCAGTATCATGACAGACGTTATTCTTGCCAATTGTTCACTCTCATGCTTGTTATCAAGCATGGACGTTTTACACGGTCAACTTCGACGTCCTCGCATGCTACTGCTTACAGGCTCCAAGAACAACAAAGAGCAAAGAACTCTTTCCTTAATAAACGCTCGAGCGTTCAGCTTCATTATCTCAAAAAAATCTTCACTAGATTTGAATTTTCAGGACAACTTCTGGACACTCAAGGTAATCCTGTTTCTGTAGTCTTCAGATGAGGACTTCCTTGTGCAAGCGTCAGCCTCTTGCGTGGCTGGTAAGGAAGAAGTAGTAGAAGACCATGTTCTTGCAGAATGCAAACCTGTTTGATATTCATGAGGTAAGCCCTCGCGAGGCAAGAAGAGCTCGTCCTGTTGATGAGTACGTATCGTATATAAAAATAAAATCGAACTTTTTGCGCGGAAGAGTTTTATTGCATGTAGCAGCAGTCGCTCCACTTATGAAGAATGTTTCCCGACGATCATGAAAAAATGACTCTTCACTTGTTGGACGCAGATTCGTATCTATTATGAAGACGGACCTCCATGAACATCCGTGGTACAGCTAGATGAATACAAGAGTGCAGGCAGTAGAGGGACTAGTCCTAAGTCCATGTGGTCCATGTAGGTGGCCCTGGTTTTGAGACCGACCTTGAAAAAACAACATCAGTTCATGTGCAAAAAAATGTGACGAGTGTGAGACATACTTCAACTACAACGGTCATCATTATAGGAGATTCAGACTTCATCTTCTTTAAGTTTCATACATAGAGGTTCTAGAACAAGAAGTATTCTACAACCAGTCTACCTCGTTTCCTACATTCCACAAATGGATGCGATCTTTGCGAAACAACCAGTGTTTTCGTTCGCACAGCTGACTGAAGTAGCGGTTGCAGTAGTAGCTGGAGCTTGAAAAACTGCTTTGGTTAGAGCTTGCCCAAATTCATTTATTTCCAGTGCATCTTTATAAATATATAATGGTGCGTATTCTCTTGATGATTGATTGATTGATTGATTGATATGCCTGACAAGAGGTGGACGTGAAAGCACGGCAAATCAATATGCCGCTAAAGATGAATCAAAGTAAGCCTTAACTTGGCTAGGAGGTCCATTTCGTCATCCTTGTTCCTGACATTATCGTCGTTACTAGTGTTGCCTGCGATCGTGCCTTTCTGAACAGGAGAAGGCGCAGTATCTGCAGAGACTGTCTGCGATATTGGTGGCGCGGCCGTGCTACCACTTGCAGTCGCTGTCGGATGTTAGAAGAGGAAAGAAGTTGTGTGATTACGAGGACTGATCAGTGATCACGGGAAGTTAGTTTAATTTTTTTGACATGGCTGCTGGACGTAAGAAAGTTCAAGCTCACAGACGAAGTAGTTCTCCCAAGTTTTTCTATTTGTTTCTATCAGCCATAAATATTCCCACCAGCACCTTGCTGTTGTGTGTCTTCCTTTCGGATTTCGTCAGCGAATCGGGCTAAGAAATCGGAGTCGCGGTATGGCTGTTTCTCTTTCTCCACGCCAGGAGGTCCACCTTCACCGCCAGAAGTAGTCGACTTCAATATTAGAGGTAGGCTCTTGGTGTTCGTTTACCCCGTTCATTATGGCTTTCCCCCTTCAGGAAGGCAAAACGAGCGGTAACAAGATCATTTTTAACTACCTACCCTTAACGATGGCAAAACGAACGGTAACAAGATCATTTTTAAGTACCTACCCTTAACGATGGCAAAACGAACGGTAACAAGATCATTTTTAAGTACCTACCCTTAACGATACTATTTCCTCATTCCCTGAAGAAGCTACCGTGCTGGCAGATGCGAGAGTTGGAGCGACCTCTTTTTCATCGGAAGTACTAGAAGTACCGCAACAAGGATCGGAGGAAGAATCCTGGAGGTAGGGGTAGTTTTTCGATTAAGTACAACTACTGTGGATAACCAACATATCGTGTTTTTTCATGCCATCATACTCATACACAATTCATTGCGACAGGAAGTAGTATGGGCAAGTATCGTCCATGATCAATTAGTCATCTTTATTCGATAATACTATGCCATGAATCGACTGCTTCTGCAGATGAATGTCGTGAGTCTCTTGTTTCAACAATACTTAAAAATCATAGATACATACCTTCTGTTCCCCATCCGTCTTCAAATCCTCGAGTGACGGACCGTTGCGCGTTAGGTTGTCGAACGCTACCCATCGGCTGGCTATGCCGTACAAGCGCATCGTGTTCGGATCAATCGGGTGACTCTGCTCAGTTGTGGTTGCTACTATTAGAGGCGGAGGCGGAGGATGGGCGATATTTGAGGCACGATGAATTATTGAGACTTTTTTAGTTGTATAGGTTTGTAGAAGTAATGATTTGACTAAGAAGTAAGTATCTTTACATGTTGATGCTTATTCATTGTGATGGAAATTGATGACGATGATGCCTCGTCCACTATCTCTATCATGTACTAGGTCGCTGATCAATCATATGTTCTTCAGCTTCAGCTTCAGGGTGCTAGAGGACTTAGATTCATTGCAATAGTGTTCACTGTGCAGCTGCATGTGATCCCGAATTACAACCGTACGTGTTTCATGTTCATCTATTTCTATGCTGGAATACCAAAACTATAAGAAATACGCAAGTAGTCCTAGTCGTTCATCCTCGTCCATAAGATTCTGTGAACTTCCCGAAGTCTATTCGTGTACTCTTGAAAGGTTTTTTCGTTCGTACACCTTGCCTTCAAGGCGTCCAGCTCTGCGAGGATTTTCAGCATTAGCGCTCTCCGTGTTTCATCTTTCAGCTGCATCCTTGAAAAGCATGCCAGAGTATCTTCGCAGTGGGATACTCTTCGCTACGTAGTAAGTTTCAGGGATCATGCCCTCAATAAGGAACAACCAGTAGTAAGTTAGTATTGACAATGAATTATGAACATCAAAAGGGAAAGTGCAGCTACAGCCTTAACAGAAATTCGCCAATTTTCTTCTGCTGCTCTTCCTCGGGTAGGTCCAAAATTGCGTTCCGGTCCGACTCCGACATAGGTGGCTTCATCGCTTGGATTTCTGCGAGTTTTCTTGGCAAAACTTTAGCGCTATAATTTTTCACACATTCATATCATGTTGTATCTCGGGTTGAAGAGTGGAAAGGTGCCCTGTGTCCTCACCCTTACTTTCTTACCGTTTAAGCAAATCAAGGAGGACTACGTACATCCACACTCAGCATATGTCACGCCATGTGTCCCATGTGTGATCATCTTCCAAGTCACTGGCGGGACCCTCAGAATAGACTGATAGCTCCACAAGAACCAGCACAAATGGGACAGTGTTGATTGAGTGAAAGAATGAATGTGCCTAGCGTGAGGTGGTGCAGTCTAGTTTTATGTCGCAGAGCGACAAATTGGAGTTATCCTTTCCTTTTCTATCCTTTATTCTTTTTTGACTTCTCTTTTCCTTCTTCCTGTTTTTTCTTCTTGTTGATAAACTAGCCTTAAGAAATTTGTCCACCGCCTCGTGGAAATCCTGTTCTTGCGCGATCATGTCCCGCTCAACCTTCAGCGTGAATCGTGGAGTGAATTGTTGGGCATTTCCGGTATCGCTTCTCACGTGCAGCGCTTCACCTTGGAAATGAAACTCGTAGGTGACGGCGGGCATCCCGTGCCTTGGTGGCTCAATGCGGAGTTGGGAGTCTGTGAGCAATTCAAACCCTGCGACGCAGGAAAATCCGCCGAGTCGCGTATCCATTTTGCCATCTAAGGAAAAACGCCAGACTTGCTCTTGTTTCCCAGCCTCTGATTAGAGCCCAAAAACAGAATTGCATTAGACTCCTTGTTCTCAAGGTCAATACTTTCTCTAAATCTATGCTAAGGAAGAAAATCGAAAGAAATCTTCATCATAATTTGACACCCATCCACCTGCTGGCTTAGAAAATTTACACATCAGTCTTTGTTGAGCAACTTGTGATTTGAGAGATGCCAGCGTTTGGTTTTTGGCATCGACCCTCAAGCCTTCCGCTATGTAGTTCGAGGCAGAGTCCAAATCGGAGGTTACGCGTTCGGAGATTAGAGGTGAATGATATGATGAAAGAAAAAAAAGAGTTTTAGTACAATTCGTTGCTCAATTTCTGGCTTTTCATGTGAGCTCGCTCTATTTCAAGTATGTAAGGGAGTTGTGAATGAGAACCCTTTTCCCTGTAGTAAGGAAAAACGATTATAATCGGAATCTGTTTAAGTAGCCCAACAGATTCTGTACAAGATTAAAGTTTTAATTTTGATCAACCTCAGTAGTTTTCGCCTCATAACAACAATGAATAATGAGTGGAATCGGCTTTATCTAGTGCGTCTTGGTCTTGTGGTATTTTCTTACCACCTGCCTCCTGCGGAGATTCCATCAACATCGCAGCCCTATGGGCCTCGCCAGTTGACTCCATTAACTTAGCTGCACGTCTGGCAGTGGGGTCTTAGAAGATCATGTGTGGTCATGTCTTGTTACTCGTTATATAATAAATAGAGTACAAGCTACTTAGGTGAAGTAGAGAGAAGTAGCAGTTGTAGAGACTATGCATCCAACCATCTGGACTAAAAGTTCAACACCTTGTTGTTCACCAACAGCAAGCTTAGTGCTTGTGCATTCATAAGCTTGTGCGTTCAAGCTTTTTAGTCTTGGTGGTTAAACACCGGAAACATTTTTCCTGTCATAAGCTTGTGCGGCCCTTAGCCATGCTTTTGCGAAGGTAGGGTCAATTTGGAATGACTCTTGGGCGTCGGAGAGAGAGGGGTCCATTCGATCTAGCTGGAAGAAACAGTTCGACCTGTTAGAGAAGAGGCGGCTCATCAAAATCTTCCCCTCAGCATCAAGGAGCGATGGTTCGTAAGCGGCCTGTGAGAGTCGGGAGTGGAGGGGAAAATTCCCTTGGAACAAAGACTCTATTAACTTCGGTGGGGCGGAGACGAGAGAAGTGTTGTTGATGTTGGAGAGTGAAAGGTGACAGAGTTGTATTCCATTGCGGAGAGATCGAGATGGTTACGAATGAAAATTTAATTGTAGTAGAGCGACAACTACAGGAGCAACTCTTGAAAACTCATAGATATTACAAGTAGAAGTTGTACCCCATTCTCATCTTCCACCAGCTTCTGCAGCTTTTCGATTCCGGTACTGTAAGCGGTGGCCGCCATCTCATGCACTTGCATTTTGTAGAAGTCATTTCCTTGTGACTTCAGCAGCTCGATTTCCGCATATCTACTTTGAGGCTGAGAGGACGATGAGCCTCCCTGACCACCTTTCATGCGATCAAGCTGCGCTCGGAAATTGAAATAGTCACTTGATATGTCTTTCTCGCCTGTGATGTTTGGTGTAGGTGTGGGGTATGGGGTGGGGCAGGAAAAACCTTGCTAGGAACTAGTAATTCTGATTCGTTCAACTTTGACTTTACAGCAGTGTCTTAACCACGATCTTAACCACGTAACAGCTATCAGTGATCTTCGTCGCGACATGCACGGAACGAGAAGATTGCATCGAAATGCAGCTTGAACAATACCTCCTGTCGCTGGTTCTCCTCCAGTGAGACCCATTTTGCGCATGAATTCAGGGTCTCTGAGGGCAGGATGGTCCGACGGGACAGTAGGAGGTGCACTTCCAGATACTTCTTCAATTACCTGGTAGAACAGGTGTGACGTTTTCAAACGTCAAGAATCATGTTGACTTTTTTATCGATACTTACGCTAATCATATGTGGCTTTAGTTCTTGTAGCAGCTGGTTAATTTTAAGCGTTATAATTACAAGTGTGGATAAGTGGGTAGCATGAAAAACTTTCTCAGAAGTACTTCTAAATCAAATTATAAGTACCTTTTGAGGAGAAGCAGTAGATTTGGGCGTAGGTGTCTCCGCAGTAGAAGGAGGTGGAACGGCCTCTCCTTCTGACCTTGGGGTACTGGAGACTGCTGCATCCTTACCTGTACTAGCAGCTGAGGCTGCGGCTTTTTTAGCCTTAGCCTTGCTCTTCTTTCCCTTTGGAGGCATTCTGATGATTTAAGAAGAGGAAGCGAGTTGTTCGATCGTTGCGTAAAAAAAATTAACTTACTGGTGATCTACTCAAAAATACTTGATAGTGGTTCAACAAGAATGTTGAATAGTCTAGCAAGTCTTCCTAGATGGATATCGATACAATTCGTGGATGATCGCGTGAGGGTGATCGAAAAAAATTCAGTGGGTATCAGTATCCCTTTAAGTACATCATGGGAACATAGAGAAGACACCAAGGTTGTAAATTGAGACTGAGAGAGTACTCAGTATTAGGTAGTGGGGGAACTCAGGCATCAAAGGTATAGTGGCTGCAAGCGGAAGATGGAATGTGGCTAGCCGCGATGATGACTCCAGGTGACCAGCAAGTCGGGATCTGGATGCTCGTTGAGGCTGCAGCTAAAGCTATAATGCCGTGGTTGTCGTTACTAACTTCGTGTGTATTTCATCACGAAAAACTAAGCGTAGATTCACTCGTTGATTCACACCAATCTTCAAGCAGATGAGCACGGAGCAGAACAAGACTGAAAAATCATCTCGTCCGGCTACTTTATAAGTCCCCAGAAACGGACTGCCACTGTTGTAGCGTCTGTTGTATATTGTTTTGCGAACACTTTTCATCAAAAACAAAACATCTGTGAGGTCATGCTTCGCGTCTCCTTCGTGCTTTACGCGCGTCTCCTTCATGCTTCGCGCGCGTCTCCTTCATGCTCTTAACTTAAGTAGGTACTTTTTCTGTACACGTGACGGTACAAAAATCTCTCTTTTCGTTAAAAAGGCAATCGTCGAGCAAGTTGAAGTAGTTTGTTTTTCCCTTGGTCTCGAGTACTTAAGTATGATTTGTGGCAATCTTGCTAGAAGTCTCCATCTCCATCTCCAAAAAGTCAAGAAGTCCCAATATCTGCCAAGAAGTGTTGAGAAACGCTTCTCGTGTCCTCCTCATTCTACCTGTAATTACAGACGTCTCCTCCCGACTAGCACAACTGTTGTAAACTGGAATGAAGCAACTACATCTTTGTAAAAACTGCCCCACGACGTTCTCAAGATCCCTAAATTTATCGTCACCAATATGATCGTCGCTGGGAGTCTCGTCGCTCTAATCATCAGTCAACCGTATATAACCCAGAATCCGTTTTCGAGGTTCGGTGACTTTTCCAGTTTCGTAGTCAACGTGGTGCTTGTTCCAGAAAGACTCCTGAGAGCAGTCGTAAGAATACTTTCGATAGTCTCGGTCTTTAGGACCGGAGAGGGAGGGTTAGAGGAAGGGAAGAGACAGGAGAGGAGCGTGTACCACCAGCACTCTAGCTTCAGGGAGCGCGAAATCTTCAACGCAGCTACAACAAGCACTAGTAGAAGTACGAGTACCCTTAGCGACGCAGCTACAGTACTCTATCAAAGAATCAAGGCCAAGGGCCATTCTACAGCCATAAGACCATGATGATGCATTTTTGTCAATGCTTCCCGGACTCGAGACTTCGCCGAAACCGGCCAGGGAATAGACCCAGTTTTCGAATTTCTCACTGGGAATGATGCCAGCAAAGCCACCCCAATTCAGATCGCGCTGCGTAGGTGGTAAGTGCGGCTCATAGTTGTTGAAGGTATCGCCTTCGAACATACCAACGTGTCGGGAGAAGAGACAGAAGAACAGGGTTTTAGAGGACGAGGGGGGCGGAGAGGAAGGAGATGAGGTCGGTACTGTCTCTTTATTTCAAGCTGGTTGTATAATGCTAGACAATAATACTTATTTGTTGACATCATTACAACCTGATTAGCCCAAAATTCTTTAAATTTTGATCAACAACAACAACATAAACATTATTCATCATCAACTTTAACATTTTATCTTCATAATAAAAGCCGGCATGCAGAAAGTGTAATCTCGAATACGACCACGCCAATAGCTCATCTTTCTGTCTTGATTCAACGTTTGGACCGGATGTCTAGGAAATATCGCAAACCAGGGAACGGTTGGTAGATTATACTTGTGGTTCTTCGGTCGGATATACCACCGACTGATAGGCGAAGTGTCCAATTCGCCGCTTACCTGGTGATGTTGTGGGTCGTGATTTATGTACATGTTCATGTTGAAGTTGATGCAGATGCACAACATTCGTATCTAGCAGTACTAGACCGTAAGTCAGCGAAGGCGATTGTGAGGGCAAAGGTGATTCTTGCTAAAGACTGATTGTTCAAAAATTGTAAAACCAAGAGATATTATGGTACCGGATGTTTCCATTGACTCCTCCCTGACCACGGATGCAGGTACCATTTTCTTCCTTCCCTATTCTGAAACTGGTACCAACCTGGCGCAACCTCAGGTTGCTCATCGGCGATACCACCTCCCGTCCACTCGATGGCAGGTGTTAGAGCATGAGGAGTAGCAGTATACCATAGGAGAGAAGGTTGGAGGAGAAGTGGAGGTGCGACGACCGGTGTTCTAATAACTAATGTGGCGCACGACTAACACGACATCATGATCATGATCTTCCTACTCTGGAACTCCATCGCATCCGCCACGACGTCATAATTTAAACTTTCTTGCAACGATGGCTCCCGTGGCTCCTGCGACTTCGAAGTCTTCGTCAATTAAGTCTTCTCTATACGCAGGAAGCGGCGGAAGATCTTCAGGATCAGAGGTCATTTTTGTACCGACCATAGGCTGACCCTGCAGGAGCCCTTGTCTCATTGTGCTGGACGAAGATATATTTGTACCAGTGCTTGTTGAAGTTGTGGTCGTCGTACTGGTGGTCGGGTTACTTGTTGTACTTAAACTTGATGATGAAGAGGATGAAACTCCTGTGGATGCCGGAGCCCCTACTTGTCGTTCAGTTGTTGTAGAACTAGAAGCAGAAGAGGATGCTGCTGTAGTTTGACCTTCACCTGACCCATTACCCGCAGCAGGAGTCGCTTTTCCAGCACTTTGAAGGACAGTGTTGAGGTCCACCATGCTTCCTGTAGGTTCGGCTTCCTCATAATGGCTTTTCCTTGCCAAATTAGCGCGTGCCTAAATTCATCTTCTTGAAATGCATCTTTATACCTTACTTTTCCCCTTGAGAGCACGTTGAAGATGGTGCCTCTCAAGTAGTAGTAGTAGTAGTAGCAGCAGCAGTAGTAGTGTTGTACCCATTCATGCTCATGGAGTATAGAAGAAATTGACCCCATCATGGAGTATAGAAGAAATAAATTAGAGAAGTAAGCCTTAGCCAACTCAGCTTCGCCATGTAGGATGCTCCTACGCAACCGCTCACCGCCAAATACCGTGCCACCATGTGGTGTCCAGCACTCTGAGTAGACGTGCCTCTTATCGTCTTTGTAAAACATTCCTCCGTATTCTGGGGAAGCAGCTGTAGATCAAATTAATGATGAATGGTGTGGTGTTTTTATTTCCACCTTCGTTCCAATCACTTGTGTCTATCACTTCTCAAAATTAATAAGAAATGGAATCTCTCCTGAATTGAAAAATGGGGCAACTTCTCCATTTTAATGGTCGTATCATTTTCTTCAATCTACATTTTTTGAAGTAGATGAAAAATGCAACTACTTAGGTCATTTGCTTCGATCTACATGGATGTTGTAACCAAATAAAGTTATTACCAGGCGGCAACACTTCCTCGGTTGGTTGATCATTTTTTGGGTTGTAGCATGGACTTTCTAGGACGCTGGAGGGTCGATCTGGCATCAAAGCTCCTATAAACGGCATCGGCATATCCCGATTTATTTGCCCACGAGGATTAGATTTGTTGTTTTTGGGGTCGGAGTCAGTGTCCTGTACCTCTTCGTTGTTCTACTACTCATTTCAATGTCGTAGCAAAAATCATGTCTCTCCTGAGTCGAAGCAATCATCTACTTAGTCCTTACCCTCATATCTCAGAGAGTGGCCATAACAGAAACACAGAGAGTCACCAGTTTCTGTTAAGGCCACTTCCTGAACATCTCCAGGACGTGGCCTGAACAGAAACTGGTGGCAATCATCTATTCGAAAAACTGGAATAAGCAAGCCACTTTGAATAACCGAGATACTGAAAGAGGAACAACGTAGTGACCCTTTAGCTTCAGTTAGCTCCTCGCTTATTTTAAGTTTTCGAGTACTTAGTCTTTACCCTCATATCCCATATCTTCTCAGAGAGTGGCCTTAACAGAAACTGGTGGCGCTTGCTGCGGATAGTTTTTGTGGTCGCGTCCACGAACATATTGGTAGGAGAATGAAGAGGTGGAAACATTGATGTTCAAGGAAGATCAGAATAAGAATTATAGCCTGTTTGTGCTGTCGCCTGTCAACATCTTGATACGTTCGTCAGTCTACGGAATTCAGGTTCAGCATCCTCATGCAGAATCGATAGCAAGAGACGCCAGAATGACCTAGTCCACCAGAAATACAAAATTACACAACTTCTACTGGACAGAAACCAATGAATACCTCCAAAAAAGCAAACTACATCCTTACAAGCCATCAAGACTCGTCATAAGCGCAATCAATATGGACACACATCTCTACATTAGCCCATAACATAAAGCCATCAAGACCTGCTCATATGGCCAAATGAAGCAACATGATTTCTTCATATAGCCTCCACGAAGCAACATCCTCACATACTCTCAGAAGCCAAAGTAGCCCTCATAACCTCATAATGACGTCTGCTATACCCATTCCACTGTTCACAGCAAACGCTTGGCCTGAACTATGCGTGTAGACGTGATCCTTCGGGGGAGCCATTCTTGGATTAGAAGGCCTAGCGGAAGAGTCGTGGTCTAGCGGAGGAGTCGTGGTTCCGCTTGAAGAAGATAAAAGAATACAATCAAAAATCAAGGACAGAGTGAAGTACTCGCCCGATACTTGCACTACCTAGGAACCCGTTACAGAGTATTCGAAAAACTGAAATAACCGAGTAACTATTGAAAATAAGGGAGATACTGAAAGAAGAGGAATGTAGTCAAGCCTCTCCTATTTCAGTCAGTAGCTCGCTTATTTTGAGTTTTCGAATAAGTAAATTCTAATTCATACTTGAACTCGTCGTCGTCGGGTTGATGGAAACAATTTGTTCATCTCGCAGATGAATGAAGATGCAAAACTCCAATGATCCATAATCTCAGGCACTCCTTTTCCTGGTATGTAGCCACTCTGCGACGGGTCCAAATAGTTGTAGAAGGTCGGTGCTTTCTTGCTTTTCTCTTTAACTGCTTCAATCACTGGGAGGGTCGGAGCGGTAGTACTTGAGTCTTCGGTTGCCGCAGAAGTCGAAGCATGGCGAAGCTGTGCCAGTATTTTCGACGTCCTGGATCGTGCTATGGAGCTTAACCTTGATGAACTTGACGAAGCAGTAGGAGCTCCCGGCACTTTTACTAGTATCCCCGTCGTGGCACATGTCGCCCGCTTACCGGGTCTCTTGATTTTGTTGAGACGCGGAAGCATTTTTTATTATTATTCCTCTCAGATGAGGATTCTCAGTCTACAGCATATTCGTGATCCAAATGCAACAATTTTTACAAACGTACTGCTAGCTTACATTTTTCATCTAATCAACAACTATCAGAGTTCGTTTTCGTATAGTGAGTATCAACAAGTTTCAGGTTCTCGTGGTAAGACTCCAGCATGATATGTCCTCTGGGTTTCATCCAAACGCTGGAGGTGATCGTGATGTCGCTCTCTCGTTGTACTTCTCGCTCCTCATAAGTCGCGCTCTCGCTACTTCAGCGATTATGTAGCCTCTCAGTTCCTCACAACTGTACAGCACATGATGTTGTACTTTTTTCTTATTCTTTCAGCGTTCATGGCTGCATAACTTGTACAGGGAGGGACAGAGTTCAAGTTCATGGCTCGCTGCATTCCCATTTTATTTCTGCAAATACCAAAACCAATCCTCTTGGTGCAGCTGAGTTACAGACACTGCAGGCCGAGTAAAATGATTCTCATCCTTCCTCTGATGTCGATGCGAGACTATTAGAAGTAGTCAGTGCAGTGTGGAACTTGAAGAGGAGCTAAAGCAGAGTCCACTCCTGAAAGAGGACGACGACGAGGACAATGACAGCTCGTTCTTGTACCATTTTGATATAGCTTCACCTGATAAATATGTTGATCTTAATGACTTGTTTTTAAGTGTGTAAAAGGAACAACTATTTATGCGTAGCAGAAGACTTGTTGTTCTGGATGTTGTCACCACGTCATTTATTCTCAAATAACTCGATCGAAATCGAAGAAAGTAGTTCTTAAGTCATCAATATCTTCTAAGAAGTCTGGGTTTTATTGACCACAGCATAGAAGTGCTTCTAAATTCTCGATATTTCTACACAGGAATCAATCACATCGATCATCAAGTGGTCGTTATAACAGTCGCGCGCGCGACAATATTTAGTACAACTTCCCTGGTGCCCGTTGTACTAACGTTAGTTGTAGTATCTTTAAAAATGCAGCCAGGCGTATTTTTCATGTGAAGGAGAAGGAGGGTGAAACACCGAGGACTCAACGAAGTTGTACCACAGCAACAACGAATCTACGTTCTTCTTCGGTGTAGTAGTAAAATTTTTGAATGAGGACGACATCATCATCGAAGATGATCTGATTTATTAAGAAGGAGAAGACGACATAATCATCGAAGATGATCTGATAAATATTTTATGAACGACATCACCAGCATCGAAGATTGAAGATGATTGATTTCTTAAACTTAACTGTGATAGCTAAATAAGTCCAGTTCTAGTACCGATTGTAAGGAGAAATATATCAATCTCGACGGGTGCTATAAAGCTACCACGACATCGGCATCGGCTGAAGTTACCTCCACGTCCACCCTTATGCTGAGCCTGATAATTATAGGTTCATAGGTGAACTTATTATTTTTATCTTTAGGTTTTTTGTTCATCTAATAGATAGCTGCTCCTGCAGGCGATTTAAGTGTCGTATCCATTGTCCCTGCACAAGCTGGAGTTTGTTACACAAGAGAACTGGAATAGCACGCCGAAGAGAACTGGAGTTTGTTACACAAGATGCGCGGAAGAGAAACTGGAATAGCACGCTGTTCTTCTTTCTGAAGTAGTAAAAGTCATCTATTCATTTGGTAGTTTCTGGCGTCCTTGATCATCGTCGTGGAAACGATTATGATTATGTTCTCAAATTTCTACGTGAAGCTGCTCTCGCATGTTCAAGGCAGTTGCAATAGTGTGTGTAATAAAAATGTTATCAACTAGTAGATAATGTTGTTGTACTTGATGTTCTTCTACACTACCGGGCCTCGGGAAGTAATAAGTAGACATAATTTGCGAGATCCTCATTAGATACTAAATCTTCATTACGTGCAAAAAGCACCTATATTCTTAAGCTTGTTAGCACGCACATCCATTCTGAATGATTACGTGTCAGCACGACTTGTAATTCGATATATTTGTGAACAAGAAAAACGACGATCATAATGTCATCAGCACGATCGTCCACGTCTTTAAGTGACAGAGCTTTCTTTGAAATCCCTACATACAACTGATACACCTAGCAGCAAGTTTATGTTTGAAAATAGAAAATGAACAAAGAGCTAAGTGTAATTTGTTAGCGATATACCACCAAACCATTCGATCAAAAAGGAGAAGATAATCTATCGATCATTCAAGGAAGAGCAAGAGTTACTAGACAAGTATAGCAGACAAACCAGACAATCCTCTTTCACTCTGTTCGACATCCAGAGTGTTTGACCCTCGAAAAAAACTCCGCTGCACGGTTCGATACCTGATTCGTTTTTGATTTAAGATAGGGAAACAGATGAGTGAAGAGGTGGAGGCAAATCTGAAAACGTAAAAACCACTGGCGACGGAGTTTGTTCGACTTGATGGCAGCTATTGTCGTTCTTTCAATCATCGACGACGACTACATAAGGAAACCTGACAAACTTCTTAGCATCAACATTAGTAGTACCAACATCTTCACCAGCGTCTTCATGCACACAGAGTGTGTTGAATTTTCGTCGACAGGATAGCGTCATTCACTGCGTCACGCAATAATGATGCCAAAGTCGGCTTCGACTCTAGCACGTCAATCAAGACAGCGGGACGCTCTCGTGCAGCTGGAGCTGCCGAGGTTGCTCCCGCCTTCGGTCCAGAAGTGGAGGTTCCCGTGGGACCCTTAAGTTGTTCCTCTTCGCCTACTGCTGGTAATCGACTCGAGCTGGAGGCCACGCTGATGACGCTGCCACCGCTTGAGCCAACAGCTCCTCCTGGGTACAGATTCGGACCAGGAGGCACCATAGAAGTTGCTGCATTACCTACTACCTGATGCATCGGAGTGCCCGCGCCAACTTGTTGAGGACCACCTCCTGAGTCAACTTGCATACCCATACCACGACTACCAGTGCCACCATCTCCGCTTCTAGGCGTTGATGCGTCTCTTAGTGTGGGCATAAGATTGCATCTCGGCCCCCTCATCTTGACCCCTTTTACTACCCTTGTTTACCTTGCATTTTTTCATGAGTTACAATGTATCATTTCATAGGAATAATACAAGGGAAAAGGGTTGTACCGAGATGCCGAGAAAGATGGACACTATAAATGTTTTGATTTTAATTCTAGTTGCCGCATCCCCTCTTCTAACTGCGTCTCCTCCATTTCTTCCGCCTCGTCCTCGAGCGTAGCCAAAATCTCCTCATCTTCAGTTGCGTAGACTAAGCCTGTTGTGAGCAAGTCTGCAATCTCGTAGTAGGTCAGAAGCAAACTGCGCATTGCTTCGGACATGTGATAGCGGTCAGTATGCTGGATCGCTCTCACCCACGTGGAGGGGAATTCACGGAAGGCGAGATGGACGAAGAATGCGCCACGCAACTCATTCACCGCAAACTGTCGGATTTCACGTGGACTCCGATAACGTAAGGTCTCCTTTTCAAGGGGTGACGTCTTCGTACTACCACTTCTACCAGGACCATGATGTAAAAAACTAGAAAATGATCCATGGAATCCACCAGGTTCTGCAGCTTGTTCCTGTGGCGGAAAAGAGCCTTGGCCTACGCCTGAACAAAACGCTGACGTTCCAGGCGCAGATGAGAAAGCTGAAGCAGCTCCTGGGCCTACTGTTGATGTTCCGGGCATCTTAGAGAAGGTGGGGAACGTATATTGAATCTGAAAATACTTTTACTAAAACGTACTTAATCCACAGCAGGGTCACCATAACAGTAGTACACGGACGTCCACCCGCAGCCTCTGGGCCGTCCATCACCTCCTCTGCTGTAAGGAAATGCCTGTTTCCGACACGTGGCAGAGACTCGTAGAATGTCATCAACTCGGCTTTCCTTCTAGTAACCACAGCTGCTTCATGATCTTGTTCATCTCCTACCCCTTGTTGATGTCCTTGACCGCCTTGTGCCTGTTGCGCTTCTTGTGGTTGCACTTCCAAAGCAGCCGCCGCTTGTTGCGTTATCTGCTGTTCTGCATATTTTTCTTCGTAGTTCTTCCGACTACGACCTGGGTTCAGAGCTTCTTTTCGTACGCTTTGGATAGAAAGTTCTAAGATATCAGCGATTCTGCTCAAGCTGGTGCGCCGCAAGTGGTAGAAGAGTTCTTCTCCCATCCGCGTGTTTGAGGTCTGCGCGATTCCATAATCGGCCATTTTTACTCCGAGTTCGTCGCTCGGACTAGGGCCAAAGTACTGCTCGTAGGTCAAGTCCTCTACGAGTGTTATGGTGCCCGTGGCAGCACTGTCGGTGCAGACGCTGCTGCGGCCGGTCGCCCTCATAAGAGGTGGAAAAGGACATGCTCCTGCACCGCACTGAAGATCTTGAAATAAGCCTGCGGGGGGTATGTTGCCCAAACTGCTAGGACTTGGCCCACCTCTTGTATTAGAAGAAGATGAGGCCGCTCAGAGGTCGTTCCCCCGCCTCCGAATTATACATAGTATAATCTTTGCACTCATCGTGAAGATTCTCGTTCTTTAGTAGAACCCTTAACTGTAGCACCTGGCTGCTGTTGCGATGCTGCGGTTGTATCAGCAGGCATACCACAGGCAGGGCAGTTTCCACCTACAAACGACGTAGGCCCTGCTCCACTAGCTGAACGACCTGAAACGGGGGGTCGTCCCGGAGTTGTTCTACAAGAACTAGAATCTACTGCTCCTCCTACTCCTGAACGATCTCCAGCATGCCGCCCCGAAGTTGTTCTACAAGAACTAGAACAAGAACGACCGGCACTTCTTCTATTATGGCATCCGTAGCAAGCAGTCTCTGGGCTGTCATTGAAACCGGGAAGCCGGAACAGAAAGGAGTCGTAACCCGTAAAAGGATTCTCTGCAACGGCACAAATAGGAGGTGAAGCGGCAGCTCTGGTACTCTGGGCATGCCTGCTATCTATACCTCTACCATGGGTAGTGATAGATTTCGGAACAACTATTCCTTCAACAGTATGCCTCTGTTCATCGTGTGCGGCCACCACGCCGGTTGCACCCGCCGATTCCACCACGTCAGAACCACAACATATTGGCCCCAGGTCGGCCTGAAGTAGCCCAACATTACAACCTGGCGTTTGTTGTTGTTCTCCTACTGCTTCAGAACAAGGGCCATGATCGTCATGATAAGGTGGGAGACCCTCCTCATCTTCTTCCTCTTCTTCGTCCGCATCTGGTGAGCCTCCCCGAAAATTGGAGATATGCGGAGTCCTATTTAGCAACACATTTCTACTACCGACCTTCTGTTTAAATTCCGAGAACAAACGAACTTCATCCACGTGGTCAACATCGATCGCTGGCCAAATACTTTCCTTTCGAAACCAGGCCAAGAATCGTCGTTGCATAGTTCTAGATGAATACGACCAATGAAAAATTGCAGGCCTTAATCTCAACTCTTTTTGGTCTCCGTTCTTCTCGTGATTGGTCAAGGTCCACCGACATACCAGATACCATACCAGATGCGCTCTCCTCTGTGCCTGCATCTACCTGTCTTTGAAGCAGTCCTCTAGTAGTACTCTCTGTTTGTTGAGGATCCCCAGGAGGGTTTTTAGAATTAAGCCCGAAATTATCCAACCTAGTGGTAGCACCACTGTTGCGGCCGCATCCAGCCTGGTCCTGGTGCCCTTGGGCTGCGGCTGTCTTGCCAGAGGTTCTTGTATTAGAATTTGTATGTTTGAATGTAAAAATACTTCCACGCGGACTCGCACCATCTTCCCTGAGAGTAAGTATATGCGTGGAAGATCCACTTTTTTTTTCTGTCTTTGAAAAAAAGGCCCAGAATCTTCACGATCGGAGGGGATGCGTGAGCTGTTCTTGTGGCCTTAACAGAAGTGCCTGTTGTCTCTGGATGTTGTTGCAAAAACGGATTTCGAACACAGGTGAAAGCGGGTGTGCTGATTCCGGTTGTACCTCCCACAAGCGAATGGGAATTAGCGCTGTTCTTGATGACCCATATTTATAATCCATCTTAAGAATAAGATGCATCTTGGTGCTCCTTTCACGTACTCCTTACGGGAGGTGAACTTCAACAAGATGCTTTTGCTTTCGGAGACGGATTAACTACTTACGAAAGCCTTAACTGAACCTACGTCGGACGATGACCCCCCTCCTCGTCCACCAAGCACATGACCCGGCCCGAGTCCCTCAAATTGATAAGCAGCAGGCCCAGGGATAGTAACATCACTCGCGTCACTGCTAGCTCCACAGGGTCCGAGTCCACTACATTGATCCTTATCATGAATATCGTGGGCGCCTTGGCCTTGGTTGTTTAGTTGATGTCGATTTTTGCTAGGCTTGGAATTAGGATTCTTTCTTAGTCTACTTTGCCCACGACCTCTTTCCCTTTGCTGTTGTTCGTCGCAAAATTGATGTACGTTCGGAGGCAGCTGGCGTGAACCTAAAAATGAAGCGCGGCGTTTGGCAGCAGGAGCATCGGAACTACACGGTTCATCGCTTGGTGGACAAGGTCCTCCGCTTGGAGAGAATCCTGCAGGAGCCCCAAGTTCTTCTTGTTCTTGTTCTGGCAGTACTTGTTCCGCATGTCCACCTGCGTTGTCGGAAGCCTCTTCTGTCATGGAAACGTCCATCGCGCCATCATTTCCTGCTCCTAGTCTCTCAACATCTGTAGCACCACTGAACAAAGGCGCTTCTCCAGGAGCAACGACTGCACCTGGGTGATCATGAGGATGATTTTGATCACAACTACGACTAGGAGGTACATCAGGTGCTCCATTTGTGCGGCATGTTGCACCAGTAGCAACAATTGGAGATTGTGCAGCTTGCGGTACTAGTGCTTGGTGAGGAGGAGACGGACATGAACCACATGGACTTTGTGGTGGTCCTCCTGGTGAAGATTGTGAAGATTCTCCTACTAGCATTGGTGAGGGGCCTTCCTCGCATGATCTTCCACCTGGTGGACATCCACCACGACCCATAGAAGCACCAGCAGCAGTACCACAAGCAGCAGGAACACTTCTAGGTGCGCTTCCTCCAAGCACATGGCCAGGAGCACCTCCAAACACATGTCCTCCTCCTGCTGCTGGTCCACACGGAAGGGAAGAGCCCCCAGGTGGAGCACCAGGAGCAGGTCCACACGGAGGTGAACCATTTGGTGCAAGAGCCGCACCGCTTCCAGCGGCTGAGTCACCAGCTGCTCGACGTGGTCCGCCAACGACTTCGGGCCTTGCGATTTGCACACTGAAGAGTCCTAGTGTTCCCCGTCGTGGTCCCGCACTTGACAACACTGTGGATGCCCCAGCCGGCGCACTGGTTCCGGATTGAGACTTAGAGGATTACTAACATAGGTGGAGGAACAAGTACACGAACAGAGAATTTGAGTCGAGAGAAACTTCTAGCCACAACAAGGATCCTTTTCATGGTCGTGTTAGCTAAGCTAAGTACCTGTTCCGCGTACTTCTTGAAGACTTGCACTTCCCTCATTACACTACGGTCAATATCTTTCTTAAGAGATGACCCTGTGCCGATATGTTCTCGCATTCGTCGATCGATGGCCATTTTTTGCATCAACACTAGACGTTCGTAGGCTTCATCTACTACGTAGCGTACATTTCCCACACGCAGATTAGCGCTTACCCCTATACATCTGGAGATACATCTGGAGACAGTTTTCCCCTTGCAAACGTCTCTAAGATGCTTCCGAAGATGGAGAAGGGGAGCCCTTAAGGAGAGCTTCACGTAGCATCAGCACATACTTCCACAGGGTGTGCTGGAAGGTTAGGGTGGCTAAAAAGCGAGGATGTTGATTGAGTGTGGCAACGACAGGAGGCTTGGGAAGCTGCTTGATAGGAGAGCGAGAGGCGCTTGCTGCGAAAAATGATGAATAAGATGCGCTACGACCGTTGGTGCCGTTCTTGATGTGGCCGCGTGAAGAAGCTGCTGTACCTGGTGTACTACCTGTACCAGTACCTGCAGAACTACTGCCTGCAGCCGCAGAGCTCCTACCTCCCGTTGCAGAGGTGCTGCCTCCAGCTGCACTTGCTACTTCCTTCTCAGGTGGCGGCATCTGCTCATACTCACCCGATTGCCGCATTCCATGAAATAAAGCAGTTCTTAGAAGAGGAACTTCCAACGTACAGCCTTTACTCTTATAAGTATTCACCATCTTGAAGAAGCGTGCGCATCTTTGAGACTCTTTTTCTCCTTGGAGTAGATAGAGTGAGAAACACTACGAACCGGATATTTCATGAAGTCTTTGTTCCCCTTTTAGTACAAAAACGCTTCAAATAAGTACTGGTCGTCCACCTTAAGATGAATTTCAATTTCGTATTGGGCAACAACAATAAGGGAGCTTAACTTGAAGTCCTGTTGGCTTAGATGATCGGGAGCCTGTGCCACAGCTATGTGCTCGTCTCGAAGTCTCTTCGGAGTGACCACAAGCAGGTCCGTTGCGAGCTCCTCTAGGAGAGCCATGTATCGATCGCGGCTGGACTTTGTGGCCATAGCTGCTCCCTTTAGAGCTCACCCTTATCCATCTTGAGACTCATCCCAGGGCCCTTTTCCCCTTAAAAAGCCTCGCTAGGATGCTTCATGAGATGGATTGGGGGAAGCCTTAATCTTTGTTCAGGGTCGCGAATAGGAAGCGCTTTCACCGATTCGAATAAGTACTCAATTCTTAGAGGATACGGAGCTTACTATGAGCTTATGGATTACTATTCTTAGGGCAGGAACTTACAACTATGTATGTACTGATCTATTAGAGCAGGAACTAAATTTATCAAAAATATGTTCATGTATGTGCTCATCTATTTTTAGAGTACTCATCTATTAGATCTAATTATAGAGCACCTACTTACTATGTGTCACTTCTTCTAGGTACTATGGGGTCATGGGTCATGGAAGAAGGTGGGAGGGGTCGTCGCTTGAAAATTTTTTATCCTTGAAGACCTTGATATTGATAGTGACAAAGGACACCCCTCTATTACGTTCGGTTCCTCCCATGTTGCCCATCAAGAAGTTCAACATAATAGTATACCTACGTTGGCTCAACACGACCCCATTTCCATTATAATTATCAAATATGTATCTTATAGAGTTAGAACTAGAAGAAGATAGCCATAGATTTACAGAATTCGGAAAAAGAACAGCAGCGCCATAATTAGAGCGCAAAGCATTTCATTTCTTGCCTTCATTTCTCCACAATTGCAAGAAGGAAGCTGCGAGAAATGACTCTTAGAAATGAAACATATTGAGCCTTAACATCAGGAGTCTCTGACGAGGAGGACAGAGGTGCCCAGTGATTGGCTTTGCCTGCGGCTTGTTCGTCCAGTAGTCCTTGTTGTAAACCCACTCGCTTGTCAATCAGAAATTCGCCCCGAGAGCCCGAACCCCTGCTGCTGTTTTCCAACAGTGGTGTCGCCCCAGTCCCACCTGCTGTTATTTTAGAGCTGCTCGTCACAACTCAATTTCTCTTCTACGTACGCTCATGGACATGGTGTCAGGAGACTCCAAGAAGGAACTACTGAGTCTCCTGAAAGGAGAAGGACAACTAAAAAGATGGTGGAGATAAGTATCTGAGACACGTATTAATCTGTTAATGTGAGCCACACTTCATCTGTGGAGCTCCAGATGTTGAAAGCATGTACAAGTCACTGAGACACTTGAAGATATCAGTCTGTGTAAGTAGACGAATTAATCACTGAGAGACCTTAACTCCTCCTGTTGCGTTATGCTGTCTTGCAGACTGCTTCTCCATCATGTAAGACTGCGCAAGGCTTTGCAGCGATTTGGCTTTGTTTTGAAGCATGTTAGCGAAATCGACGGCGTCTACGGCATCGTTTCTTGCGTCCGCCTCTACCGGTTTGAAGAGATGCTCACTCCACGTAGACCAAACTAGTGGGTGGTAGGCTCGACTAAACAAGCGCGGAGCTGGAGCATCAAAGAGTTTGCTATTCGATGAAGCCGTACAATTTAGGGGTTGCAACTACATCATTGCAATTGCATTCTTCGGATTTATGATTATCCTCTCCCTTGTTTTTCCCACTTCAAAAATAACGGTGAAGAATGGTCGCGAAGGATGCAGCAGTGTGGTAAGAAGCAACCCTTAAAGTAGTATCTTGCGCACCTGCACCTGTAGCATCCACTGCCATCCGTGTGTCTTCTTGTGGATTAAGTGCTGGTCGACCGCCTACTAGAGGACCTCCTGTACCTGTTCCATTGGATGCGTAAGCTCGTAAAGGTGACGACAACATAGCCTGTCCACTTCCTTCATGGATAAAGAGATCTTGAAGATTTGCTGTGTGAGGGTTGCCAATACTAGTTGTACTAGTTCCTCCTCCATTGCCAATACTAGTTGTACTAGTGCCTCCATTGCTATTCATCACGTCTATAAGGCTCACTGCTGTAGAAGTAGATGTTGGCGCAGACGGAGACGATTCACCTGCAGTTCTACTCCGTCCACCACCATCTTCAGCAACTAAACCGGCGTCAACAGCCATTCCACTTCCAGTAGTTGTGCTAGCTTCGTCCGTTGTTGTACCCATGACGCTCATTTCTAGTTCGACTGCCATCACAGCTGCAGTAGGATTCACGAATGTCTTCTCAGTGTGAGCATTTCCCGCAAAGGTGACGCCCTCGAGGGGCACGTCGCGAGCGCCAAAGTAAAAGCTGTTCAAGGCTGCGTGTGGTCGCAGAACAGCCATGATGGCAGCTTCTTCCCGTGATTGGGGTTTCTTCTTGGCCCCCGGTTCTTCTTCTTCCTCCTCCTCGCGAGAATTAGAGCTCACCCCAGTCCATCTCGGAATTCATCTCGGGTCCGCTTTTCCCTTACGGGACAGCTTTGAGATGCTTCTGGAGATGCATTAGGGGCAGCCTTAAGAGAAGATGTTGTCGGGGCGTCCTCCTTCGCCGAACTAGGTGCAGCTGCTTCTTCTGCACTACCACTAGCACGACTCGCTGTTTTAGACCTTCCCTAAATTCATCTCGGAGAAGTTTATCTCTCACGCGTTTTCCCCTTGAAAACGTTCCAAGACCAAGAGCGCCTCTTTTATTAAGATGTATGTTAAAGAAGTTCTCCAGGTCCAGAGCTGTGCTGGTCCATGATTGATTAATAAGATGAGTTATGGCAAGCCTTAACTGCTTCCCGCTGTAGTTGTTCACGGTTGTTCTTTTTTTTCTTTTCTTGTCTGGGAAATTCTATTCCGGGACTTTGAGCACCTGGACGCAACTGGGTAAGCTCATCCTTGTCCATGGCCTTGAAGAACCTTTTCTGCGCCTCCTCACCAACTAATCGTATACATTAGAACTAGTGCCGCGCTCGCGTCCTGAAAGAGCGAGGAGGGTGATCTTTTCTTCTTTGACCAGGTTCTTGGAAAAGAGTGCTGATTGAATCGCCCTGGGTTCTTTTTCACTCTCCCAGGAGGGTTCAGTCGTCCCTAAACCCTAAACCCAATTCATTGGGCTGTTCTTTTTCAAGCAGAAAGAGAGCAAGGGACGATGACACCGTGTGTTGACGATGGAGTTGGAGGTTCACCGGAGGTGACGGTAGCCTTAAATAAAAGCGCCTGCTGGTGGTTCGTCTATCTCGACATCCTCTGCGGCGAGATCGACTTGATAATTGCCACTAGAACTTCTTGTGATTTGGTTGCGAAAGATGCGTGCGGCGAGTCCATTCTTAACGGAGAAAAGCGATTCTCCCAAAACATTAGCCCTGGTGACAATTTGGGCGCTTCGTGCGTGCGTACCTGTTTCGTATCTTCGAAAAATCTCCTCCAAAGTCCTGTGATTCCGAATCCTGTCATTTTCCTCGGTTATCCATTTCCGGTGCGTGGCCAATCGGGCGGGTACCGCGTAGGGCTGGAACATTTCCGTCAAAATTCGAAAAGGTAGTTCTTACTTCACGACTATCCCTCCTGGTGGAGTCAGAGTGAGTTTGAGTTACAATGATCTAAATTTGAACTTCCCCACCCTTGATTTCTAATTCTAAGCAGGGGGCTCCCACTCGTCCACTCAGCATTACTATAGTCCACATGGGATAGTTAAAAACATCGTCCATATCAAAACCCTGTCTCTCTCGCTTTCGTCTCGTCCCTTCTTCGTTTCCCAATGCAGCCGAATCGAATTCAAAGCATCTTTTAGATAAAGAAAAGCCAAGGATGAATAAAAAAAGCATCATGAACAACTTGTTTGGAGGGATAGACCTAGGAAGCGGGAGGATGATACCGACCTCCATGAGGAAATAAAACTAACCGGTTACATTTTGCTTACTAGATGCTTTAAATTATCATGAGTCGTAAATTTTGTTGATAGAAGTAAGGTCCGAGCAATGAGAAACAAGCCCAGGAGTTGGCTTGGTACAGATTTTCGATATTCGGCACGCTCCACACCGGATACCCCGATTGACGGTACGTCGCCAAATCCACCAAGGATATGAGTAAATTAGAAGTCCTGTTCAGAACTGTCCTGGAACGTCCTTGATGTGACCTATTCAAGTTCAGACTCTCGCCGTGTTGAGATAACAAAAGGCCGCCAAGGACACTCTTAGTGGAAGTGGAGAATGTAATTAGGGCAATGTAGTGCTACGTAGTATTTTTAGACCTTAACTTTTGCTAGTTGTGCTTGGCGGTCTTCGACGTTGCTGCGGTCGATCAGGCGTAGCTCTTCTTGATCCAAGCTACGTAGAGACCAAGGGAAATGACTCTGCACTAGTTAGAACTCACCCTAATCCATCTCAAGGCGCATCCTCGTGGCGTTTTCCCCTTGAAAACCCTCTTGAGGATGCTTCCGAAGATGGATTAGGGGAAGCCTTATACTAGCGCATTCGACACGCGTGAAGTCGCTGCCTGCATCTTGGTTCTCAAAGTCGACATACCACCTGGAGCTGTGAGTAGTGCTGCAATCGCTCCCGCCGCAATGGGAAAGCCGCGGACCACACGACCAGATGAAAGTGGCTGTGCAGGTGGATTTGGATTTTCTGCTCCAATTGTAGTTGTAGGAGTTGTTGCAGGGGAAGTGTTTGCAGCACCAGCACCAGAAAAGGTCCTCGCCCTGGTCGCCAATAATTTGCCCTCCACAAAGCGCATCAGATCATCAAAGAACAAAGACATTCCGGAACGTGCATCCTCATCTGGAGGTTGACTAGCTTGTTCATCTCCTCCAGAAGTGAAAGACGCTCTTGCTCTAGCATTCAACTCTCCTCGACGCGTTCGCTCCGGGTGCATGAGACGAGTAGCTCCAGGTGCCGAGGGTTCACCATCAGGAAGAAAACCGCTGAGGCCACCACTCAGCAAACTTTCTTGTGGTGGTTCGCTCAACATTTCCAGTCTTCTGTGCGTTACTGTAGTAACCTCCTTCCTGAGACCTGCTGTAGATCCACCTGATGCAGCTGCTGCCGCACAACCTCCTGCTCCACCGAGCATGATTGCGGGCGATGTTCCGTTATAGAGAAGATTAGGAGGAACCCCTCCTGTCCATAGAATGGGTCCTAGACGGAGGGTATGCCTTGCCTATGTTAGAGGTTGCGGAATTTTTGCATTCTTCAGAGCGTCCTTGTTGACTTCTTTCCTATTGGGAAACAAGTCCAGAATGGTAGTCAGTGTGGAACGAAGCCCTGTGGAACGAAGCCCTTAACTGTGCGTGCTCGAAGGACGTCGCGCCGACTTGGTCTGGCAGCATATTGGAAAGTACCAGGTAGATGTCTTTTTGTAGAGCGTCTGCGAGTTGCCCACCAATATTAGAGAAGATAGAGCCCGATCCGTCCTGTGGAGATCGATCCCGGTCCGTCCTGTGGAGATTTGCTCTCTGGTGTGGCATCCCGAGTAGTACGCCTTGACTAGATTGTTGTTCCAACCGCGTGTCACAGAGGACGTCCCTGGAACTGCAACTGCGAAGCCTAGTAAGCCTAATCAATATCAATCTTCCTTGTATTCTGAGGTTGCATAGTAACCGTTTTGGTCTTGACGGATGGTCGACGATCCCTATACATAAACATAGTCGTAGGGATCATGGATAATTACTTAGGTAACAGATTTTTACTTAATAGGTAACAGATTTTTACCTAGGTAACAGATTACTTTTGTAACATGAAGCCTTAACAGTAACAGCAGTGCGGCTATCAGACTCCCATTTCATCTTCTGTGCTCCCAGGTAATCGTAAGCGTATGACAGAGAGGCCTGCTGCACAGCAGTGCCAGGTAAGAAGCCGTCTCTATCTTAGAAGATGAAGACACACCACCGTCAGGAGCTCAAGAAATAGATTCAAGCTCAACTTAAACAATTTCTTGTTCAGCATCTAATTTCTTCGGAGGACTTTTCCTTTTCGTCTGTATTAAATTTCTTCGGAGGACTACATCAAATTTCTCCAGTTACTGTCGAATCCTATTAAGAACGGGCATGATCAAACATTTCTGATTTCTCCAGAGGAATGGTGCTTCTCGGAAGGAACAGGATAAGCACTCTTAGTCTACTGTTCTAGACGCCTACTCTACTAGTTCTAGATGTAAATGTGCCTGCGCTGGACGAAACCTCGATAATCGCCAGCCTTAAGTGGAGCCTTTATCTGCTCGCTGGCGTGCATTCTGCTGGTGTGCGTGAGGAGGTGGCTGTTGGAAACTCTGGTGTGGTGGAGGAACAGAAGAAATCAGTGCGGACACTCCTCCGCCTGCTCGTACATTAGAGGTGGTCCCTCTGCTACTTCTGTGATCCACCTGCGATGGGGAGCAAGCTGCTCCTGAGGCTGAAGATGCAGCAGCTGACGAAGATGCTGGAGCCGGCTTCAACGTGCTACCATTAGAGGCGCTAGGGTTTGGCGGGTGTTTCATTTGTGCTCCGTTTATTCTGACTCATACTTTTCTCGTCCCTCAGGAGAGAGAGCCATAACAAACGGCTATAAAAGCAACACCTAACTACACGAGCTACCCGTAATACCACTGCCACTGGTGCTCTTCGAGCCCGTTGCTGGCCGTGGCGGCCGCGGAGGGGGTAGCAACTCTGGTGGTGGAGTCGTGCGACCTGTTGTCGTGGTGGTCGTCGAAGCACTTGGGAAAGGAGGTGGCATCAATAGAGGAGGTGCTGTTGTCGTGGTGGTCGTCAACAAAGCACTTGGGAAAGGAGGCGGCGCCAATAGATTAAAGCGCGACAGTATTCAGTGGCCACTGACTCGGAACGGAAGAGACCCCCTTCAAAGCTCTCCCCTTTCCCTTCATTTGTTTCCCCTGTTGGTTCTCTCAAGAAGGGGTCGCCTCTTCAATCTCAGTGACTCCAATCTAAAAAATGGTGACCATCGAAAGTTGAGCCTTAAATAGAGGAGGTGCTGTCGTTGATGTAGACGAAGACGTAGTCCCATTAGGATCTGGAGAGTAGACTGCTCCTAGTAGAGTAGTTCCATTAGGATGGTCCCCTTGCTGGCCTTGCTGCTGCTCTCGCTGGTACTGCAGGAGTAATTGTTCCTGCTCATGCGGTATGGTCATCAGTTCCTGCTGCCGCTGTTCTCGCTGGTGCTGCTCATGCGATATGGTCATCAGTTCCTGGCGTGTCCATAGAAGATGGTTCATAGAAGATGGAGCACTTCCTCTAGAAGCAGTACGCCCAGCCGCTGCACCAAATGCAGCAATTGCCGCAGCAGGGATTACAATCGGTCCATGCCTGTGACTCTTTTTTTTCTTCACAACCGGGCGATCACTTGATGCCACTGAAACGCCATCTGGTACGTCCTCACTCTGATGATGGCCTCTGTGATGCATAGATGTACTCGATTCCTTTGCGATTCGCAATAATCGTGCTGGAGGCACAGGCGGTGGCTGCATCAAACGCGCGCCTTGGTCGACTGCAGTTGTGCTACTTCTGCTTCCACCATAGTCTACGTGGCCACGCAGTGAACGTGCGCCCTGTTCTTGCCCCTGTATTAGAGTCAGCCTTTGCCCATCTCGGTCCCTTCATCTCGACGACCCCCTTCCCATGATATGGTAAGTAGCAAGATAGATGGACGATAAAAGATGGACGATAAAAGACGACCTTAACTGTAGCTCTTGTGGAGACCTTTCATTTCCAAAATGCCTTCGTTCTTCTCCGTTTTCTCTATGTCTAGGGGAATCCTCCTGCATACCCTGACGTTGCCTTTCGCCGCGCGTCAGTCTTCGAGTCGTTCCAGACGCCGCTTCTAGTAACCCTCGAGCATGATCCACAAGATAATTGTTAGAAGAGGTGATAGGTTATGAATGAGATTCAGATTGTGACAATCTACTGTTTAATTTCTATGGGTAGTTCCGGGGTACACTTCTTGTTGTAGTCCCTGTATGTTCTTTCATAAAAAAAAACAAACTCAATTCAAGAATACACCTGGATGATTGTTCGTCAGTTCTTGTACTAGTTTCAATTTTCCTTAACCTCAGATGTCGCCCCCCTTCCTCCCCCTTCAGTAATTATATACGTCGAAGATGAGTTTTCGCGTGCTGCGAGTATGTCTGCCAGAATGCCTGCCGCTCTCGCCAAATCTAGCTTTTCACCATTACGAAGACCCTTCGAAAGCTGTTGACTCAGATGTTCTTGGATAGTCTTTTGATGTTGACGTGAAGAGGAGGATGATACTGTTGATTGTAATTCTTGTGGATTGATGTTTTCTTGAATGAAACTTTTAGCTGCTGCAGCGCTAAGCCCTCTGCTGTTGTTCTCATCAACAATCCCTAATCTCGCTGTAGAAACGCGTCTTTGACTTCTAGAGCGGGAAGGCGTTCTACGAGAAGTGGACTCTCCGTCTCCGTGTTCACAACTGCTTCTACTCCTCGACTGTGAAGCTGCTCCTATCTGAAGGGTCGTGTAAGGATCATGTTTCAACACTTGTTCTCCTGATAAAAGAGCCCTAGCTGTGCCACTGTTTGAAGACGCTGCGCCACCTCCTCCATCTGGCGTGTTCCTGAGAGTGTTACTACTGCTCATTGTCATACTTGATGTTGTCGTTCCCGAGGTGTTACTACTCCGACGACGGTCAGCACGAGATCTTTTTTGCTGAAGCTGCATACGAAGATCATCACCATCTAAAGGGGGCGCGTCTTGCATACGCTCATCCTCATCGGGTTGTTGTTCATTTACGAGCTCTTGAGGCTGCCGCGCAAATCGAGGCTGTCTAGGTGGTGTCACAGGTCGTGGAATCGTCGTAGCTACTGCAGACGCATTGGCATGACTAGCCGTACTACCTTCTTCAGTTCTTCTAGATGAAGTAGCATCTTTTTTAGTGGAATATGATTCGTCTTTACTTGAACTAGCTGCAGCACTCTGTGACTTCGGTCGTCGAGCAGGTTGATCAAGAAGTGAGGCACCCTGTTCATGATCCTGCTCCATCGCGTTACTAGAGGGGCCTCCCGGAAGTGCTTTCGACCTTTCTTCAGAGGGGTCTCCTGTAGTGCTTTTTGTACCAATAGCATTTCTTCGGTGCCTTTGACCACTTTGTTCAACAGCCTCAACAGCCTGTGGAAGATGATCATGTCGATGTGGTCGGCTCATACCTTCCGCACACGCAGCCGGCTGCCACGCACCAGACCCAGACCCAACACCAGACGCAATTTGTGCATGTGCATGTGCTCCTGTCACGACAGCTGAGCTATTGGTGTTCGGGTTGTTCATATTCATGATCCTAGCATTGCCATTTCCACCATTGATGCCACTGCCTGAGCCCCCCACATTATAAGAATGCGCACCATGTTGTTGCTGCGGATTGTTCACACCATGGTAGGAATTCACGCCAGACGCAGACATCGAAACATCGGAGGCGCCTTTCTTCATGAGGACATCATTAGAGAAGCTACCGCGTTCGCATCTTTCCTGAGAGCATTCAGCTTAACTTCTCTTCGAGGTAGAAGAAAAGAAGCGAGAACGATGCTGGGGATGCTTCAGCGGTAGCCTTAACAGTGGATGCCACGTCGCTCGCACCAACCTCCGAACCACGAGAGTTATCTACCCTGATTGTGTCTTTCCATTCCATATACCGCAAAACAGGACCCCGAGTCTTCTTGCGTTTAGCTGGTGTAGTAGGTGTATGGAGGTGAGAGAATGATTATGATGTATGTTCTTGGAATAATTTATCATGCTTGTACAACTAGAAGTGGAGTAAAAAATAGTTGTGGTAAACTTCAAGTAACTTCATTATGATGATGAGAGTTGTGGTCTACTTCGAGTAACCTCATTATGATGATGAGAAAGTAAAAAGTACGCAGCGACTTTGCCTGCGGATCTGGCGGTCGACTTGTGTCTAGTGGCACTCCTCTAACGTAGTAATCAGGTTCCAACAAGATGCTCAAAAAGGCTGTAATGCACTGCGAGTCGTGCATCAATGGTCGATTTGGCTGCCAGTTATTCTCTCCACGCCAAGAACCGAAATTTTGACAGCGTAGTAAGCCCCTTGCTAGTTGGACTAGTGCGACTTTGGGTTAGAGGAAGAGGAAGTAGAAGTTATGGTTGAGGTCGTACTTGATTCGTATCAAACGTGGACTTCGACTTTGACAATTTCTTGTCCTGCTTAAACAGAATGATAGATATTAACTCAAAGAAACTCAATAAATTAATATTAATGGATAAAAACAAATAACTCAATAAATTGATGCTAACTCAATAAATCCTTCATCATCACAAGTTCAAATCTATTGAAACTTACGTTATCGATGAAGCTTTTTACGTTTGCACATGAATAAAATCCAAATACTGTAGATACAACATGCCATAATCATGTGGTACCAAGTCGACTACGAGACGCTTCGGTTGCCGTTTTTTGTGGCTTATTTCGTGTTCGTGTTGCACCTCATGAAAGAACGAAACTCCCTCACGCAATTGCCCAAATTCGTTCACGCTCATTTGGCGCCCTAGATAGTTGGGTTGTAGAGATTGGATTGTTGTGGAGGTTGTTGAGTTGTAGAAAACGAAAAGTTGTATTCCTATGCTGGGTCGTTGTGGTAGTGGTTGTTCTTGTTGTTGAGTTGTAAATGTAACGTTGTTGAGTCTACGATAGTAGAAGTTGCGAGTGTAATATTCCTGGAACTATAGTTCTACATTGGCACCGACCACTACATCACCTGGACCAACGAACTGAGTAAGAAAAACAAATGATCGTTGGAAGTACATGATCTGTTTTTCTTCCCTTTCGCGAGACGCAACCTCATGTAGACGAAGTTGAGCAAATCTTTTCCATTTTCTATTAGAGCTCATCAAAACAATTCATATCAACAGTTCCTCTTCTCAGAAGATTCCCAAAATGGAAACAGGGGAAAATATTTTATATGGCCCCGGGAAATGATCAGGTAGACCACCTTAGACAAAAAAAGATAAAGAATTTACTTAACTCCTCTAGCCTTGGAGGAAGTGACGAGATTGACCGAGGAGGACCAAAGTACTCATATTCTTTTTAGTACAACAAACAAAAAACAGCCTTGGATATGAATGTGAATCATTTTGACTTATTCGTATGCTAGCCTGTAACTACTCTATTTGAATCATTTTGACCACCTCCCTTAACTGTATGCTAGCCTGTAACTCGGCAGCTGCTGGTCCTTGATCGAAACGTAAGGCATTGTACGGAAGCGCCGTCTCTTCGTTCAATCTCTTCAGTCTTTCTAAATTAGAGAAGGAGGACGGCGTCGTAGAAGCTAGGAACTAGAGAATATACCAAAGAAATAGAGTTAGCCAAGCGAGGTCGAGGAGAAGCTAACTACTTACATTATTTTTCTTTTTTGTGATCTAGATTCGGATAGAGAGGGTTGTCTCACGTGGTCTGAAAGGGAGGGACAAAGAAAACCAGCCTTCCTTAAGAACGTTGCCCTTTCCAGCAATAATATTCCACCAAGACCAATCATAGTAACTAAGTAACTAATCAAAATCATTTATTCAACAGATTCAGTCTCAGTCTGAGTCTATTTCATCTACCCGTAACTCTCGCTCCTCTGCCCCGTGGTCGTACGCGGTATTTATGCTCCGTCTCAAAAAATCGAAACAGGGAAAGCAAAATTGATTTTACGACTTTCTTTAGAGCTTCGTTCAATTGTTGTTCACGACCTGCTCTAACTACTACAATCGAGATGATCCTCCACCAAAGAATAAATATGCTTTAGTGCTGTCTGTGTCTTCGTTGTAAGTATATGTATTCATCTTGGGATGCATACTGTAACTGTAACACTGTTGAGCTTGAGAGATCCGGATCTCTGTATTAGAGATGGTGGTGGACGACTAGTACTAGAGGTTGAGGTTGTAGCCTTAATTCTTTGTCCCCTCGCCAATCCCAGTGAGCAACTTTGTGCTCTGCCTTCAGTAATTAGAGGCACCGCATTGGCATCCTTGGCCGCATGCCTGGCGTCTTTTTCATCTAGTAAAAGAGGCAAGGACGAGGCTGAGGATGCAGGAGCGGTAGCCTTAAAGTAAACTGATCACGGGAGGCTTCAACACGGCCACCAGTTTTTTCGTGAACCAGTCTTGATCCCGATTCAATCGGACGGCCTCTGAATATCGAGTCGTAACGTGGACGCGTTCGATTTTACCACTTCTATTAGATCATCATGAAGGTCTCGGTCTGTCTCACTGTAAGCTGCTGATCATAATGAAGGTCATCTTTCTACTGTAGTTAAAGTGCTACGAACTACTTCGTCTGAAAAATAGTGCTTTCATAACAGTAGTTCCCTCACGCTGTCTTCGCGATTCTTGTTCCTCTTCGGGCAACTGATAGTCAGCAGGTCGTTCTGTTTGACTCTTTACTTGGACTGCGTCCACATGTGTGTTCACTACGGCCACTGCTTCCTCTATTAGACGCTTTCCCCTTGAAACAAAAGCCTCTTACTTCAGGATCATGCATCAACAGAAGATGAATCAATAAGGGTAAGCCTTAACTCTAAGAAGAATCTGGCCAGTAGTTCTGCATTTCGTTTGACGACGCCTTCCCGAAAAAACTCTTGTTCAGGCCGCTTAAACGCGGAAAAGTGATCCCTCACGTACTGCCTCTGCTCAGCGGTTGTGGACATTGAAATGTCTACCGCAACATTGCTGTTCTTCTTGCGTCCTAAAGAATTAGAGCTTACTTACTTGTTGCGGCCCATAAGGTTATCTCTTAGTCGAGTGCATCTTCCTTCGACTTCGTACTGTTTTCCCCCTGAAGGCACGTAGTTAAAAATGCCTCTTAGTTTTACTAGTTTAAATTTGATGATGAATTTCAATTTTTGAGCTTAAGTTGTAGCTAGGTAACAAGCCATAAAAGAAAACAACCTGGCACTATACTCTCGGAAGGCCTGGCTCGAAGAGATACTGCGGAACCGGTCAATAGGATGTGAATAGGGCATCAGGTCGGCCCAATCTTGGGGTGGTCGCGCACCACGTGCAAACAGGAACATCAGGTCATAGAAATTCTTGCCACCAACACGTCTTTGTTCCCAGGGCAGTTCCAAAGCCTCGTAGTCGTTGAACTCATACTGACTCGCACTTGCATAAGCAGCCTCCGCTGCAGCCAAACGGGGACCTAGCCAATCACGCTTCGGATTTGTTCCATCATGAAGGTCTTGTTCCTGTTGCTGTTGCTCAGGCTTCTTTTCCACATCATCTTTGTGTAAAGAAGTACTAGAACTACGTGCTGCAGCTGCCGCAGCAGCAGCGCGAAGGGCTGCTGATTTTGTTCTTTCTTCCTTCGTTGACAAATCCTGTCCATTGGCACCAAAGAGTTTTCGTTTGCTTAAAGAGTACGGCAATGCGCCATGTGCAACGGCGTGCATGACTTCGGATGGCCCGTCTTCACTGTTGATATCGAAATGTCCGTCCATTACTACGCGTTCCAATATCGGACCCGTCAGCGGCATCTGGGCTCTGACAAGAATCTTGGCCAAGCCAACCATTTCGGATGGGGGTAAATTCACCGCTCCTCCAAAACGCAAAACCTCTTTTAAGTTAGCCAATAGTTCGCTCGGCTTAGTTACTTCGCTGCCCGCTTCTAATGCTTCAAATGTAGGGTACTCCCATTTCTCAACACCTACTGTGGGAGTATCGACGGACTCTTGTTGTTGCTGTGAACTGGAACGTGCTGCAGAGCCCCCTGATGTCAGCATTTGTTGATCTTCACCTCCAGCACTTACAGCAACACCTCCTGCTCCTCGGAAACCACTTGCTCCTCCACTACCACTTCCGATTCCGCTGCCTGCAAACAGTCCCCCTTCACCAGAGGACGAAGCCGCTAACTGCGAAGAAGATGAAGATGTTTGCCCAGGTAACCGTATTCCAAAAGGTAGAGGAGGCATACTAGGTTCTGCTTGAGGCATTGGGGCTCTTCTGCTTTGATTTCTCTCATTCTCGAGACGTTCCAGGGATGCTTTTGGAGCTGGGGGAATGTAAACCACTGGTTCATGCGCGGGGTGATAAACAATATTGCCGGACAATGTGCTGGAAGCATCCTCCTGTGCTTCTTGTCGAGTTGCTCTACTACCGTTTCCACTTCTGGAACTGGAAGCTGCTGCTCCTGTGTCACCATCACCAAATGCTCTAGTTAGAGGTTGCAGAATTACATTCTTCAGAACATCCCTCACCTCTTTCCTACTGGAAAAAGAGTGAGGAATGGTTGTGGGGGATGTAATTGGTTAACCCTTAATCTAGGATGTGGGGTGCCGCTTCCACCACCTTGTTGTCCTTCTTGTCCTCCTG